ATCATAACTAACTTAAGGTTATACATGTATCTCCAAACATGCAAAGTTGAGGTCACACACACATGTTTGAAGGTGCTTTGAAATAGTGTACAGGTTATAACTTTTTCTTGAAAAGAAAGTTTTGTTATTAGACCCCTACCGACGAAGTCGAAGGGGACTTTAGGTTTGCATTCTGTCCGTCCGTCCGTCCGTCCGTCCGTCCGTCCGTCCGTCCGTCTGTCTGTCTGTCTGTCTGTCTGTCTGTCTGTCTGTCTGTCTGTCTGTCTGTCTGTCTGTCTGTCTGTCTGTCTGTCTGTCTGTCTGTCTGTCAGTCCGGCAAATCAGTTTTCCACACTTTTTTTCTTCATGCTTACAGGTATTGATTTGAAATTTGGTATAATGTTTTATCCTGACAAGTTACAGATCAAGTTCAAATTTTGTTCCGGTCTGATGATTTTATGCAGAGTTATGGTCCTTGGACTTTGATAATTCACTCAAATAATCAGTTTTCCACACTTTTTTTCGTCATGCTTGAAGATATTGATTTGATAATTGTTTTATAGTTTTATCATGACAAATTACAGATCAAGTTCGAATTTTGTTCCGGTCTAATGATTTTGTGCAGAGTTGTGGTCCTTGGACTTAGAAAATTCACTTCCGCACTTTTTTTCGTCATGCTTGAAGATATTGACTTGATATTTGTTATATAGTTTGCACCATGACAAGTTATAGATCAAGTTAGCATTTTGTTCCAGTACAATGAATTTTTAACCGGTAGGGGACTATGTATTGCCATGCAATACTCTCAGAATGCTTGTTTAGGTTGTTATAGGTTTATATCAGCAATGTCTTTGACGAGTTCGAAAATCAGTGCTGATCAATTATTTTTGAAAGAGTTATGTCCCTTGGAAACATTAAATATATGGAAAATTGCATTGTTGGCGCTCTCATTTGTACAATTCTTGTAGAATTCCATTCTCTAACTTAAGTTTGCCTCAACCAAATTTTATGAAACATATACACAATGCTTATTACCACAAAATAAAGATCAAGTTTGAATTTTGGTGGGGTCACTTTAACCATTCTCGAGTTATGCCCCTATATAAATGGAAGGTGGGGGAGGTGAAAAAAAAATTGGAAAAGGGGGGGGGGGGAGGGGGGGTAAAAAAGAAATTGTGATGGGGGTGGGGGTGGGGGGGGGGGGTCAATTCGCAACAGCATAATGTATTGCACAAAAGCAAAAGATTGAATATAAATTCAAATCATATAACCAATTCTAAGTTCTTTGACTTCAGTAATTCTGTGTCAGAAACCTATTATATGTCAAATATTTAATTACAATCCAAATTCAGACCTGTATCAAGCGCAAATACTGTGTCCATTTTTGCCCCAATTGTTCAGGGTTGGACCTCTGCGGTCGTATCCAACTGCGCTCGGCGAAGCAATTCATTAATTATTGCCCTTGTACCTTTGATAGATAAAATATGTGCAATGCGGGGGACATTGGAACTATGTTCTTTTATTTTTATGACGCTCAACGAAAAATGTTATGGTATGACTGATCCTTTTCAAATATACAAAATAAAAGGTCAGATCAATTATGGGGGTCCAAGTCCCTACCGGTCCGAATTTGGAATCCACAAAGAGGGCGAAATATAAAGTTTCTAAAAAGAAATGTTGATATATTCATTCGAAAGGTTTTGACTTGTTAGATCCAAAAAAATGATAATATTAGGGATCCCAGCCCTGCCATGTAAAAAATGTAGGTCTAAAAAAGACTGAAGTATGTCCAGCACATTACTAAGTTAAGCACAATACTGCGTCCACACTTGCTCAACATAACTTGTTCAACTTTACATTCTTCCGATACTGCGGTTCTATCATGCAGTGCCCGCAGTAGCCCCTGAGTTAAAGTATAACTTGACTTCGAAAATTGGTTTCTAGAAAAAAAAAAAAGCATAGAAAGTCACCACATGATTTACTTTTAAAAAGGTATGACTTCAATTCATACTTCAGCCTTAAGTCGAATTGTCAAAAAACTCTAAGAACATGCAGAGCACAAACTTTCACTTATACCAAGATTCGAAATGCAGCATGGTATTGTACACGACGAAATTACAGACCAATTGAATGAAGGACACAAAGAAATGCTGGATCAATACAGCATTAAATACTGACATTTTTTACCATCCTTTTATGTGTGTAGACAAACATTGATAGCAAATAGATTTTAACATCCTATCATAGTTTTTCTTTTAGGTGCTACATCAAAAGTTAAATGTAGGATTAAAAAGAAATTGGAACCTGACCAAACCAACTACAAAAAAGTTTATCGCCAGAGGGCTGATTTATAAATAAATGTAATGGGTGATTGGAAGGCACTTTTTTTTGCATAAAACTAGCAATGATAGGTCCTCAAATTTGTTACAATTTCATGCAATTGAAAAAAATCTGCCAGGAACCCCCCGACCCCATTATTGTATCCGAAATTGAAATTTTGATGTAAATCCTTAATAGTAAAATGTCTTGATATATTTTCTCAATGAAAATCTCGGACATAACATTGTAATTGCAGTTCTTCTCTTATTCTTGTGTTCTATTTCACTTCAAAATTTCACTCCAAAATCTCACTCCAAAAATTTCACTCCAAAATCTTACTCGAAAATTTTCACTCCAAAAATTTCACTCCAAAAGTTCACTCCAATACTCCACTCCAACACTCCACTCCATAAAATACATTATATTCAATTATAATTGTTGTTAGATATTTTGAAATGTTCACGACTTTTGATTTGAAAGAATTTTTGTAACACGAGCCACTCAATATTGTGATTGTGATTTGGACATAAACTATATTATTCACTGAATTTCCTGTAAATCTTATATGATACTTACGTATATGTATATATATACCCGTCGTTTTAAATACAAATAAGAAAGTAAAAGTAATAGCGACTAGAGCCTGAATATTTGAGACAAAATAAATAAATTTATGATTATATGTATTAATTATCATGATTACATTGAAAATAAAGAGGCTATCATCATACATTTCATTCTCAATTTGATCAACCTGATATTATTTGCAACGCTTAAATTTACTTAATATCAATGAAGTCATTCGTATAATAATATGAAATAAATGCATACATTGACATTCAAAAATAACATACCATCACCCAGAATCCGTTTTATCTTTGGTGAAGATATGAGTTCTCCAGCTTTTATGATTTTAGCCAGAAACGGAATGAACACACCAACCATTTCTCTGGTATTGGCTTTCAATTATGTAACGTAGTTGTAAATTTCCTGAAATCGAACATGGTATTACCCTTTTCTATGAATAGAACCCGATGCCATAATTAGATAATAAATTTCCGGACTATTTATACCCCCACCTCGAACATGTCGAATGAAAGGGTGTATGGATGTCCTTCCCTGTGTACTATTCGTCCGTCACATTCCGGTCCCAACATAATAGAGAACAGCTAAGACATTAAGCAGTATTTTGAACCACTATATAAACACAGGTTAAATCCGCGATTTTTGCCATTTTAACATTTATGGTTATAGATTTATTGTTGTTGGTTGCTTTCAATCGATCCCTGTTAATTTATCGAGCAAACTATTTGATGTCTTAAAGGAGCATTGGATACGAATTCGACAAAAAAAGAAAAATACGATTTTGTTGTTGTTGCAAACATTAATAAATGCGGAATAAAGAAATAATTTTTCGCTATTTTCAGTCAGTTTGGTTCAGTTTCGTGCTATTTTCAGTCAGTTTGGTTCAGTTTCGTCAAAATAAGCTAAAACATAACTGATGTATTATTGACTTGCAAGTCAACAATTCTACACATTTAAATCCGAATTTATACAACCTTTAGTTTGACATTTTAGTGCATGTATTCAGCATGTGATGGACAGCATGTTCATTCATTTAAAAGAAAAGTACGTGTGTTAAAATTGAAAAGGTGAAACAAGGGAGACACTAGGAATAACCATTTCGTTTACTGATCCGGCAAACAAAAAATCATTCTTATATTTTTAACCTATAACATGAAATCAAACAGACTAGGAAAATACGATTGCACGTGCTCGCTATCTATTTATATTTATATATATGTTCATATCGGGTTACATGATTGTCGGCAGTCTTCGGAGGTCATCTCGATGAATAATTTAGATGTCTTCTGGTCTAAAATACGCATGAAATGCTGATACATTACAACGAGCCCATACAATATTAATTGTTTCTTTTCGACTTTTTGTAATTTGGATAGATGTCTTAGTACATTATAAATCATGATATGAGAATTTGGGTCAAATCGGTGAACATGAATTTGACAGCGTATGCACCTTTAAGAAGACCTGTCTTATTATATATATAATAGTGAGGTCTGGTTAATGGAAGTTTATTTTTCCAGTTTTAAATCTTTGAAACGTTCAGAACAACATGGCTCTGTTTGTGATACTTGGTCTTTAGAAGATAAATTTTACTATGAAATAATTCACAACAAATACTGTAGATCTGTCCTAGGACTGAAAACAAAATGCATGCATGTAATATTTCACCCAAAAGAGAACTGGGCAGATTTTCTATGGCTTCATTTATTAAACCACAAGTTATATCATATTTTTGTAGATCTCATATCCATGATGTTAACCCTATGTTAAAAGAAGCCTATGCGTAAAATAAGTCCCAGTATAATGATGGTTTTTATAGTTGGGATAGGTTTGCTCTAAATCTATTATTATAATAAAAGACAGGTTTGGATGCTGCATATTTTGAAACTTATGATAAACCATATAGCAAAATTTGAAACTCCTGACCTTAAAGATAAAGATTAAACAGACATCACTCGACGTCCACACTAAAATAAATCTTTTGAACTAATTTTGGATAAGGACAGTTGAAATGTCGTTCTATATATCTATTCTTGGAGCGTGGAAAACCAATATATCTGTGACTGAAGTAAATTTTCAGTTGTATTCCAGACAAACTATTTTTAGATTATCTCCTACTGAAATAAAATAAATAGTGAACAGCAACAGCTGTCGTGAGTAAGTTTTTGAAATCTAATTTTATTAAATGTATGCAATTAGAACGTTCTTTTACATTGTATAATCGAAATTAATAATTGATTTGTAAAAAAAAAAAGAAAATAACATAGAACATACTGTTTGCTCGACTGTTTGTTGGATTTATTGCTTGCTCAACGTCAAGTGGAAAATATTTCATGCATATTCAGGACAAAAATAAATAAAATTGAACAGAAACTGCCTGCCTCTGGAAAGTGAAGGTGTGTTAATGGAGGAGGGACATACATTTTGCTATGAAGCATACGACCTACAAACCACGGAGAGGTAATGTAAAGGGTTCTTAACACGCATAGAACGTACGTGGCACGCATCGGGTTAACTTCCCAATTCCGGGGTGGTGTAACTGCGTCTCCATTCACCCTGTACAACCAAACGAACGCCCCTCTTTAACAGGAGCTCAAGTTAGAAGTCCCTCAGGGACAGAGGCGGATTTAGAGGGGGCCAAGGGGCTGGGCTCCCCCTTTTGTGGGAAAAATTTTGTTGATTATATAGGGAATCGCTGAAGCATGACTGGAGCGGGCCCCCTCTTAGGCAGTCAGTGGGCCTCCACTTATGAAAATTTCTGGATCCGCCACTGAGGGATGACCATAGTTCCATACCGCAGTCAACCCTTTGGGTCCTGTGTGTAAGAGAGTGTATACATGAGGGTCTGGATGGGGTCTATAGAATTGAGAATAAAGGGCAAAAGGTGCAGATAGATAGCAAAAAATATAAAGAATCGAGAAAGATGGACCAAAAAGGCAAATTAAAAATAGGGGATAATGGGTTGCTGGAATATAAAACAAACGAGAAAATAGGGATCAAAAGATATAAAGAAAAGGGAAAATGGGCTAAAAAGTCAAAGAATGTAGAAAGGAAGGATCCCCATCAAGACCCTCATACATAAAAGAAAATGGTCATAAATAATGTCATATATGTAATTGTGCTAACTGTAGTGTCTACAAGTGGCTTTAAAAGTCTTAAAAGCTCTGTTGTACTGTTTTAGATATGTACCACTTTTGATGTGTGGTTGGGGTGCAGTAACATAGTACATGGTGCTTTTGTTTTGTTCATGTGTTGTTCTTTTTTCTTTTTTCGTTGGAATTTGTAAAAGTCTTGAAAATGCTGATAGATAATTATTAATCACATCATGGCATACACAGGAAAATTGACTCACGTGAATTAAAATTCACGTAAATCTCATTTGAAATTCACTACGTGAATTTGCGTGAATTTCACCACAACTTGAAAAAATCGCGTGAATATCACTGAATTATTTTCACGTGAAATTCAAGTGAATTTTCAAAATAAAGTTATTCATAATTTTTTGAAAAGCAAAGAATATGGAACATAATGAATATCCCTGAAAAAATATTTGTGGGAGCCCAGAAAGGGTGGCGCCACTTACTGTTAATTTTTCAGAAATTGACTGTCATCAAATTTGAAAATCCTGCAAAAAATCAGGTTTTTACGAAATTCTCCTACATTATGACGTCACAAATACGTCACTAATGACGAATTGGTGAAAATATATTCAAACTGAAACAATTGGACATTTTAACATATATTTTCATCAAATTTTCATATTTTCGCAATGAAAAAAATCAATTTTTAGGGCAAAATTATGAGTTATTGAACCAACTCGTTTTAACATTAAAATCATGAGAAAATACTTACTTTTTTAGGGGTAAAGTTTACGTGAGATTCACATGAAAAATTTCACGTGAGATTAGTGACTGTGCATCTCAATTCACGTGAAATTCACGTGAACATTTCACGTGAGTTTCATGTACATAAGCTCGTTTGAGATGATTTCACGTGAGCAAAATTTGCCTGTGTAGCATAATCGCCGTTTAGACATTTCCCGTAAATATTCTATATATCGATAGTACTTTCCACTTTCACTTTCTATTTTTAGAAATGGTATTTCCCGATTTTGATTTTCAGAAAACATGATAAAAAGATGGCGACGAATGAAAATGGCAGTGGCACCGTGCCTCTGTTTTCTCCAATTTTGACGCAGATTCTTTCATCAGCAGAAATAGCTTCTTCTAAGCTGAAGAAAATTCTTAATGATGGTATGTAATTTATCGAAAATATGAGATAACAAAGCGATTAACCTATTTCAAGTTTTGTTTTTGTTCATTTGACATGATTTGTTGTACTCCATCTTACCTGGTTGCATGTGGTGGAGTATAATATTATATCGTTATTATGATATGCATTACTTCATTTATATTAAGTATATTGCCCAAAACAAACAATTGACAGACATTCACAACTAGGGATAACAGAAAACTACAAAGACCAGGGAAGAATCAAGATCTTATTTCATTTGGGATTCTGAGTCATATATAAAATCATTGTGATAAATTATATTACTTTGCTCTTCATGGGCCCTTTAATGATTGGAATAAAATATCTTATCTTATCTTATCTATATATATATATTATCAGAAAATCACATCAAACTCAGAATTCCAAAATGGATAACTAGAATTTCTAGATGTATGTTTTACAAAAGTAACATTAAACTTAAAATTGTATACAATATGCAATTCCAACCATGACCATAGGAGATTTTGAGGTAGGCAAGACAAAAAAATGCTACTGGTAATGCACAATTTTTCGTGGATATTGTCTAACAGGAACTCAGATTGGAAATATTGTTGTAACATATGAAGGGTAACAAAAAGTTTGGTTTCTATAATCAGGACATGAATGTATTATTTTGCAATTGTAAGATAAGATAAGATAAGATATTTTATTGGTTTAAAATCCAAAATTATAGGATTGTTACCAATTGTATATCAAGAAAAGAAGAAGCCTTTGGTGCCAAAGCCTTTCATAGCTGAATTCAATATTTTAAATATAATGAAACAAGAGTGAAGGCACGACATTATCTTGAAATTATAAAATGAAGTCATATCGGCAAATTGCTATTTAAGTCATTTCAAAAGTAATTTGGAAAATATGTGAAAAATGTTTTAGCAATTAACATGATTAAGAAGTCTCAGACAGCCATGAAAAAATGGCATGCCTTTTTTAATGGGCCGATGGGATAGGTTTTATTTCAGGAATTTTACCACTTGCTATATTTATGCAAAAGGTAAAATTTACAGGTACACACAAAGATCTAATAGCTATACATATGTATCTCAAATAAAAATGTGCTTCTAGTCAATCAATTCTTAAATAAATATGTGATTTTTTCAGAATCAGTGAAAGAAGTGAAAGTCAGTAAAGATGGAGAGATTGAAAAGGTTAGGAAGTTATTACATCTATTTGTTCAGAGCAAGGATGATAATAAATGGAATACACTTAATGAGGTTTTGGAAAATATAGGTGAGTTTACAAAAAGTTAATTACAGGTATTCAAAATTCATAGATTGTTACCCATGCATGTTCAAATGAATGATATAGGAAATCTTTGTCAATGAATACAATGTTATTAGACACTAAAACCTATGAAAAATTCTAAAAAAAATTTGCCTAATTGTAGTGATTACTATTCTTATTGCATCCTTGTGTTTAAGCACTGAATTGTGTGGTCTCATATTGACTTTATGTGTTACTCTTGCAGGTTTTGTATTTTTGCCAAAGGTGTTAGAAAAAGAACACAGTTTTACAGTACAGGAACAAATGAAGATGATAGTAAATGGTCTTTGTAATGTTGACATAAAGACTAAACCATTATCTCAAATTTCTAAAAATCATGGTTTATTAACTGAGGCAGATGTACAAGACATAGAAACAGAATGTTTAAATCAAGAGGAGAAGGCAGCATTGATAGTATTGATTGACAGGATTGTAACTCCGCCTCCCGATGAGTGGTATGATGAGTTCCTTACATGTTTATGTGAAGCAGGGCATCAAGAGGCTGTCAAGAGAATGAAGCAAGAATCAAAACCTCAAGGTGATAGTCCAGCCATAAACCTGTTTTAGTAGTAAGATACTGAAAAATTTTAAAGTTTCTGACATTTTATTTTGTGGATAATTTATAGATGTATCATTCTAATATTTTGCCATATTTTGTATTTTTTTTTTAATAAAATATGGCTAATTACAATTCAATGTTTTATTTTAAATTCACAAAATTGCAAAATGAAAGCAATCTTTACCCTTTCAGTGCTCACAAGTACTTTGATTAACTGAAATAACAATGTTTTATAGAAGCTCAAAAATTCACCATTTAATTCTGCAAAATCTAGACTACTATTGCAGTAAGAACAGACATACATACAATGCATTATAGTTCACAATTTTAAACTGTAACTCAAGTCTTAACTTCATTTTATTTTTATAAGGCCGCAAAAAAATTTTCCGGTCGTATATTGGTATGACGTTGGCGTTGGTTTCGTCGTCCGAAGACACATTGGTTTTCGCACTCTTACTTTAGTTAAAGTGAATGGATCTCTATGAAATTTTACCATAAGGTTCAATACCACAAAAGGAAGGTTGGGATTGATTTTGGGGGTTATGGTACCAACAGTTAAGGAATTAGGGGCCAAAAATAAGCATTTTTGTAACTTCCAGACATAACTTGTGTGTAAGTGTATGGATCTCTCTGACATTGTACCACAAGATTTCATATCACAAAGGGAATTGCCTCAAAATTTTAGGAATTAGGGGCCAAAAAAGGGGCAAAAAACAAGCATTTTTCTAGTTTCATGACAATAACTTGTGTGGAAGTGTATGGATCTTTCTGAAATTGTACTACAAGGTTCCATATCACAAAGGGAAAGCTGGAATTGAGTTTGGGGGTAATTGCCTAAAACGTTTTGGAATAAGGGGCCAAAAAGTGGCCAAAAATAAGCATTTTTCTAGTTTCCAGACAATAACTTGTTTTCAAGTGTATAGATCTCTCTGAAATTATACTGCAATGTACCATACCACAAAGGGAAGGCTGGGATTGATTTTGGGGGTAATTGCCTCAAAATTTTAGGAATTAGGGGCCAAAAAGGGGCAAAAAAACAAGCATTTTTTAGTTTCAGGACAATAACTTGTGTGTAAGTGTATGGATCTTTATAAAATTGTACTACAAGGTTCCATATCACAAAGGGAAAGCTGGGTTTGAGTTTGGGGGTAATTTCCCTAAACATTTAGGAATTTGGGGCCAAAAAGGGGCCAAAAAACAAGCATTTTTCTAGTTTCCAGACAATAACTTGTGTTCAAGTGTATGGATCTCTCTGAAATTGTACTGCAAGGTACCATACCACAAAGGGAAGGATGGGATTGAGTTTGGGGGTGATTAATCATAAGGGGGTTCAAAAAATTTTGGGGGGGGATTTTTTTCCTTTTTTTTCTTTAAAATTTTCCATTTTAAATTGGTTATTTCTGATTTATATATAAAAGCAAATAATAATGATATGGTTTGAATAGGTAAATTAAAAAAATTTAAGTTCTTAGACCACATTCATTGTGTCAGAAACCTATGCTGTGTCAAATATTTAATCACAATCCAAATTCAGTGCTGTATCAAGCTTGAATTTTGTGTCCATACTTGCCCCAACTGTTCAGGGTTCGACCTCTGCGGTCGTATCAAGCTGCGCCCAGCGGAGCATTTTATTCAAATTTGTTTATTAAATCTTCAATAATTTTATGTTTTAGATGACTGTGGGGCTGCTGGGGAAACAAAACCAGAAGGTTATTCAGTTGATGATCATTGGAGAAAACTTGTCATGGAATTATTTTACAATTATTTGATAAGTTCTGTTAAAGCCTCAGAAATTCTCATTAACCTGTCAGCTGTATTTAGCTTACGTAAGTTAAAGTACCAATAAGTATGTAACAATCAGAAACGTGTCCATCCCCCAAATGTGCCCATATGATGTCACCGAAATGCAAAACATGTCTAGTTGCTAAAGAGCGCCAAAGCGCGTCCTTATTATGAATGGCCAATCGTGTCCACTTGAAAAAAAAACATGCACAAACATGTACATATGAGGCCAAAGCGTCTCCCTTTTATGAGCGCTCAACCATGTCAATATTTTTAAAAAACCAAAACATGTCCACAGTTATTAAAAAGTTAAGAAATAATTAAATAATTCTTAATTGTCATATAAGTTAAAGATGATACTTGTGACATAATACAAATAACAACAACAACAAAAAATAAACTTATTTGAATAATTCATGGGGACTTGAATCTATCGTGATTTTACCACAGATTGGCCCTTTATGCTTAGATAGTTAGCTAAGCATCACCAGAGTATATTAGTACAAAAGAATTCACTTCTTAGTAAGCAATGAATTTAACTGTACAAAACTAATTAATTGAAATTTTTATGTTCGCTCTAGATATGCATGACATATTTGTCACTGGACATTAAGCAATCAACAGTCAAGAGTTAATTTATGTGTTGCAAATTAACTTGCAATCATGCTAAATATTAACAACCGGCATTTAACAAACTAATGCTAATAAATGACCACTTAATCAATTGTTGAAGCACTGGGAAATCTTTTTAATTTTTTAAGTGTGAAGTACCTTCATTTAAAATTTAAATCAACAATATTCGTATTGGTAAAAAAATTAATAAAACCACTGTAAATAAAAATAAATTATTATTTTGCCATTGTTTTTCTTATCTGGTGTCTGTTTATTTGAAAGCAGAAGTCAGTGATTTCATCTCTCACTGTAGATAATGTACCATGCCTTTAACATTTCTCTTTACTCATCACTACATCTTTTCTCCAGATGTCCTTTGGTCTTTTTTTTAGAATCTTGCATTCACAACCCGATGTCTTCAATCATGTCCCCCATCATTGAATTGCCGTAACGGTTATTGACGTCACTGCAAACATGTTATCGCTAAACGTTTTGAGACGTTCTGGAGTTTAAAAGTGGACACGTTTTGACAAATAACAATAATTGGACACGTTTGGGCGATTTTGGATTTTAAGGACATGTTTGGGTGAAATAGACAAGTTTGGGTAATCAGACACTTTTGGGGCGATGGACATGTTTGGGAGTGTTACAAGTATACAAATCAAAGAGACAATGTTTGTGATAAAGAATTGATTTATAATTGCTTTAAGTACCTTCCATACCAGGTGTTGCTAAACGGCGGAAACAGGAAACGGAAAATGGAAACGGAAAGAAGCGGTTTTTTGGAGGAATATCAGGGAAAAAAATGGTAAGAACTGCGGAAATCAATAAAGAGTGAAATAGCTCACAAGTATGTCGAAAATATGATAGCAGATATCACAGAAAGTAGCAACCTGTTTTGGAAATACATAACAGCTTTAAAAAAAGGAATACCACAACTCTAAACAGCCCTTACGACAGAAAAAGACCGTGAAAAAGCAGAAACACTGAATGAACAATTTACTAGTGAACTAGCATTTATCATTAGGCACCTTTTTCAACAATATAAATCAGAGTAACTTATAAATTTCAACATGATAGTTCAATTGACTGATTCTGTTTTATTACTTAATATCAAATATCCGCCTCAAGTATCAGTCAGTTAAAGAGCTCTCATGTTCTATGTTAAATAATTTGTATATATGAAAAAGTCGACTTTAAATAAAGATTATCCTAGTATAAATGAATATAAATAATGTCCATGTTAATATTTTCAATAATAGCGTTATGCTCAACACATTACACCGAATGAGTGACAGTATTGTTGATTGTATTATCATGAAACAAAGTTCGCGGAAACTTGAAAATTACTGAATTCTCAGAGAATTGAGCGGCACAATATTCAGAGCACTTTGGTCTAGTTGATTTTTATACGACCGCAAAAAATTTTGCGGTCGTATATTGGTATCACGTTGTTGTCGTCGTCAGCGTCATCCGAATACATTTGGTTTCCGGACAATAACTTTAGTAAATTTAAATAGAAATCTATGAAATTTAAACACAAGGTTTATAACCACAAAAGGAAGGTTGGGATTGATTTAGGGGGTTATAGTCCTAACAGTTTAGGAAGTAGGGGCCAAAAAGGGGCCCAAATAAGCATTTTTCTTGTTCCCAGACAATAACTTGTGGAATGGTGTATTGATCTCTGAAATTATACCACAAGTTTCCATACCATAAAGGGATAGTTAGGATTGGCTTTTGGAGGGTTATGGCTCAAACTGTTTAGGAATTACGGGCAAAAAAGAGGGAAAAACAAGGGTTTCCTGGTTAATTAAAAAAAGTACAATGTTAAGTTTGGATTACCTCCCTTACACTGCTTTTAAATTAAGTATAAATAAATGTTGTATTGTCTTGAGGTGATTAGCTGTCAATTTATTTTTAGAAGTTAATATTTAAAAATGCTGATTAAGGAATATTAATTTAGTAAATTTAGTATTTATTGTAAATTAGACAATACAAATGAATGGATGGATGGATGAATTAATTGGTGTTTTTTTCTAGTGGAAAATAGTACATGCATATCAGGACAATGTCTTTTTAATTTGATATGAAATGCTTTTTGCTAAACCTATGCACTATGTCGTATTTTTTATGGGCTTGTTCCAAAAGTAAAAGTTGACAGAATGACAGTTATAATTAGCCCTACCTGGATACATTATTTTGGCTCTTCACTTTGACCCATTAATGAAAAATGCTTAGGAGATAAAAAAAAAACTGTTTGCTTCAAGTCTTCGGTTAAAAGCTGCCAGGGATCAAAGCCAAAACTTCCCACACTCAGGGTTAACATATTACCATGACACCACCAAGGTAGCTATCAATGTGGGGAGATATGTTTTGTGGTTATGTCAAAAATTTAATTTGAGGTATATTTTATATTAAGATGAAAAAAGGAGTATAAGACAGACAGAGAGAAATAAGACTTCAGAAGAAGCTATGAAATTACTCCTGGATAAATTTGATGAGAAAGAATCTCCTGGGAAGTGGACAGATTTAAGATCTGCTCTTGTTGAAGCAGGTAGGTTACTCATAAATTTATAATAATTCAACAGTATTTAAAAAAAAAAATTACAATGATTAACATCTGCCAACGGACACAAAGAACATTTAAGATATATCTTTTGCAAAAGTATGACATTTAAGTGCTTCATATTGTGAATTTTCCTGTCCAAGAGCAGCATAGATATCTACCTTGAGAAAGCACAATAACTGTCACATAAGCTAATAATTTCAGGTTATGTTTAGACAAAATTAATTTTATCACTACAAATGATTTACAGTCGCCATCAATAGTTATAACATAATGTTCTTTCATCAATTTTGACCTGTACAAATTTAACTTATTACCTAGCTGGCAGCTTCGATTACAGGGCAGTAGAAAAGGTGTTTAATGCAAAGCTGGAACTGCTGATATCATTCCTTGTTTTGATAGGTGTCATGTTTTACATAAATTTACAAACAAAATGTATATCTGGGTCAATACTAAATCACTGGCTACTGATGAAATAACATGTACCGTAAAAAGACGTGTACCATATTAGTCAGTGAAAAATACATGGCAGAAACACTTAAAAGCATCCTGAAATAGATGTATTATATAATTTATGGTTTGTAGTTCTGTATTATCATGAATCCTGTCTGACAATTAAAATTGTTGAATAAAATACTGTTAATAATAGATGCCTTCCTTTATAATTTGTATGGCAAAACTATTAAAAAATAGTTTTTTTGGTATTTTTATTGATTTTTTTTTTAGATTATGAATGGATAATAAGAGCAATTGAAGGTGATGATGTAAATTTTACTGAACTTACAACATGGCAGAATATGATTAATATTTTTACCAAAAAGTTAGCCAGTAAAATAATTCCAAGCCAAATTATACATGACTTGTGTTATGAGAAGATAATAAGTAAAGAGGAATCCGAAGAAATAAAAAAAGAAGAGCAAAATAAAGGTGACATAAGTGCAGCATTCCTTTTGTTAACCAGCATTCCTCGAAAACATCCACAGTGGTATCCTAAATTCATGGAGATTCTCTTTTTAAATGGATGGGATGAAACTGTAGGAGAGGTTGATTCAGATGAATGGAAACGTAAGTTTGTTCATATATCTTAAATTATTCAAGTGTTTAATAACCATAAACTATGAAGAAGCACTTGTTGTATGACTTGTAAAATACCATATAAAGTTTACTCATTCATGCTAAAATTTGTTTATTTAACCAACATGGTTCTGTTGGCATTTCTGTGGAAAAAGAAACTAAACAATACAAATTCTGGATCAGTTATACTCATGATAATATAATTTGATTAATAAATATCATTTTGCTAAATTACTATTCTGCAAACCATGCATGTAGACATCAGAGAAACAATTTTAAAATTTTGGAGGACATTTCCTGAATTAAGGTGTGTCCAGTTTTGGAAACAATATTGTAAACAGAATAAAATATAAAAAAGTATTTTCTTTCCTTAAAGATAAGTATCAAAGGAGTAGGGGCATTAAGGCCTAGTTTTGGCCCAAGAAAATAAAGTTTCTGAGAACATAATGTTTAGAAATGCACACATTCAAAAAATATAAATGAATTATATAAGATTTTTGATGTTATGACGTCACAATTATCTCTTTAAAGACACCAATTTCATGAAAACAAAGAAAACTGCTAAGTTTATGCAGTTTTCCGTCATTATTTTTTTGAGGAAACATCGTGCGCAGGCACGAAACAACAAAATAATTTTAAGAGAAGCTTTATTATAACTATTGACATATTCTAACCAAATATAAAGTTGTTTCTTGGTTGCGAACATACTTTCCCAATCTATTATATACCGGTTTAACGGTTGACGAAAACAAGGAAAATTAAGAAACTTTACAAAATATACACTTTTTGTCATAGCTTGTTGCCATGGTCAGTGTTCTCCCCAGGGCCTTTTAGCATCATGGTAATTTGATGCTATATTTCTTTAATGTGATGCTATCTGAAGTGGTTTTCTTATAGATTGTGTTATGGATGTGATGCTATAATTTTTAGAAACAAGATGGTATTTCAAATTTCCCTGTTTACCAGGATGCTAAATGAAATATCTGGGGAGAACACTGATGGTAACTCGTTAAACGTGAAATTTGTTTTTATTTTCTTAACACCTTGTACCGTAGTGATGTTTGGACAAAGTTAAGAATGTGTATGGTAACTTTTCAATTCGGACAAATATTTGGGCCAAATAAGGGCCTTATTGCCCCTACTCCTTTAAGAAGAAATCTTGGCAAAGCTCCTGTCAACAATGTTGGTCATTCATTATGCATCAGAAGTGTTATATTTTAAGGTTGTTTAATATTATGAGCAAACATGACAAAGCATTTTGTATAAATCTAAGTTTGTTTACCTTGATACTGTAAAAAATCCTTATCACAAATTAATCAGAAATCAGTATTGCAGATATAACAAGAACCAGAATGATTGCAATTACTATATGCAGAATTTTTGAAAAACCATAAATAAAAATTTCTGTTAAAATAACTGGTCAAACCAGTTTTGGACAAAATCTTGTAGATAACCTTCCTTGTAATTGACGATGCCGACTACTTCATTATAAACATTCTTTTCTGAATTTGTTGACATACCAAAATTTCATTCTTAAAGTTTCTATTTTTGAAATTATATGTGATGTAACTCCCTAAGACTCAAGTTGGCAACCAATATTGAAAAAAAAAACTGCAGGTATAACAACAATTTTTTTTATTGGCAATTACAATGTATCTGTATATCAAAATGTTTGTGAATTAATTCAAGGATGGTCTATTTAAGAATCAATCAATAATTAAATGCTTATTTATTTAATATAAAATTAGGCACCAGGCAAAGGTACCAAATCGAGTTGTTGATACTTTTGACCTTTAATTTTGATTTAACTGAATGCATCACAGATTTAAATATATTTTCAGGATTGAACCACAAGCATGAGCAAAAGATGTCGGACAATGCTAAGTATTATGCTGATCAAAGTATATGTATTAACATGGAGAAAGGAAACTTGGAGAAAACACTGCCATCTAAATTCCCACAGTCAGATATTCAAGAAAACTATAAGTCTTGTTAGTATCATTATTCTTGATTGTTTTATCTCATAAAATTTAGATTTAAGAAATGATTGATTCAAGCCCCATGAATTATTTCTGTTCTAATAGAACAAAGAAGGCAATTCGTTTGAATTGAAGTGCTCTAGGTGAATGGAAATATCTACTGTTGCGTAATTGAACACACTATTAATATTGTTGTAAAAGATGAAGAAAACTGAATAAGGGACATGCTTAAACAATTTACAAGTACATACCAAGACAGGTTTTGATGATGTTGAATAGTGATCTTACTTTTATTTAAGAAACTTGGCTTTCTACAAATTATTTTCATCTTTTGTTTATGTCTTCATGTTTTGTCTTTTGACAACTTTCAGTTTCACATTTGTGCATTTTCCCATAAAATGCTTACCGGTATATTCTTACGTCATCCGTCAATGATGTCATTTCCACTGTCTGACCTCGGGTAACTCATTCATAAAAAGCATATGATGTTGGAGTAAGATTGGAACAGCCCAAACAATTCATGACGTTTCGGATAAGCTGACATATCAATATGTTTGTATTTTACCACGGATGTGTGCTCAAAGCATTTGAAGAATGTCATATTAGAATTGAAATTAAGATTATTTTTCTAACTTGTAAAGTTTAGTTGGGTAGACAGGATGATTGTTGTATCTGGTAACTTTAAGAATTCAGTTAGGAGGAGGATTTTTTTGTGGGTTCGATGAGCTAATTTAAGATTAATTCTTTTCTTAACTTTCAAAAGATACGTAAAAGAAAAAAAATCATAACAGATATATATTATTTCGTTTTATAGATACAGAAAAGCCAGTAATATCCAATAACAACCTGAGTTCAAATGACAGGCTTGAACAAGATGATGGACTCTATTTACACAGGTCTACAATGATGGAATTGTCTATTGATGATAATAACCCTTTGAATGATGAACATGATGAAATTACCAGAGAAAAACAATTAGCAAGGACCTCTCAGATACAACTGCCAGCTCCTGCAAGGAGAGGTCAAATAAGTCAGAACCTTCCTTCAGTACCAGAGACATCTGTTAATGAACCCCAGCCAACAGATGAGGAATATGTTCAACCAGACTCAATCATGCTACAGGAAGTGAAAAAGAACCTTGAAATGGAAGTTAGTGGTGAACCAGAGCAAAATATTCCAATAAATGGTATACAAACATAATTTTTGATTCAGCCATTGCTGGATCTATGCGATCACTCTGGTTTTGGAGATGGTGCAGAATACTAAGTTGAAGACATATCATGAAACTAATTATGTGTTTTTATGACTTGCAGAAACTTTCTACACCATTTTAATCATCAACTGAAAAATTTTGACATGTTATTTGCCCTTAAATTAAGAAAAGATTGGTCGAATATAGTGACTTTATTTTAGATATACACTTGCATATAGTTCCTTTCTAAATCAAAATTTATGATGATTTATTATTAATGAATTAATAATTTGAAAAAGCATTTGTACATCAATTGAATCAGTTGATAAGAATTTTGAAAGTATTATATTAGTATCTTGTGCTTGTGTAAATTATTGTTCAATGAAATGTAGGTCAACATGTGTATAAATATATCTAAGTTGATTCCCACACTTTTTATACGACCGCAAAAAATTTTTTGGGATCGTATAATGGTATGATGTCGTCGTCTGCCTCGTCGTCCGAAAAGACACATTGGTTTCCTGACAATAACTTTAGTTTAAGTGAATGGATCTCTATGAAAATTTTTAAGAAGGTTCAATACCACAAAAGGAAGGTTGGGATTGATTTTGGGGATGATGGTCCCAACTGTTTAGGAATTAGAATTAGGGGCCCAAAAAGGGGCCCAAAACAAGCATTTTTCTAGTTTCAGGATAATAACTTGTGTATAAGTATTTCGATTGCTCTGAAATTGTACCACAATGTTTAATACCACAAGTAGAAGGTTGAGATACATTTTAGGGGTTATGGGGCCAACAATTTAGGAATTAAGGGCCAAAAAGGGGCCAAAAACAAGCATTTTTCTAGTTTCCAGACAATAACTTGTGTGTAAGTGTATGGATCTCTCTGACATTGTACCACAAGGTTCCATATTACAAAGGGAAGGCTGGGATTGAGTTTGGGGTTAATTGCCCCAAACATGTATGAATTAGGGGCCAAAAAAGGGCCAAAAACAAGCATTTTTCTAGTTTCCAGACAATAACTTGTGTGTAAGTGTATGGATCTCTCTGAAATTGTACTACAAGGTTCCATACTACAAATGAAAGGCTGGGATTGAGTTTTGGGGTTATTGCTCCAATGGGGGTTTCAAAAAGTTGGGGGGGGGGGGGATTTTTTTAAGGGATTCATACTTTTTTTTCAAAATTTTTTAAATTTCAAATTTTTGAAAAGTTTCAAGAAGAAATCTTCAATTGCACAGAATTGCGCAATAGATTTATAAGATCTTTGACCACATTTATTTTGTGTCAGAAACCTATATTATGTCAAAAATTTGATCACAATCCAAATTCAGACAGTATCAAGCTTGAATATTGTGTCCAATTTAGCCTCAACTGTTCAGGGTTCGACCTCTGCGGTCGTATCAGGCTGCGCTCAGCAAAGCATTTTATTTGAAATGGTATTACTCCAATTCTTTCCATAGGCAAGTAAGAGTCAGAATGATTATTAACTGTCATGATTTTCAAATAAGTATTAATTAGAAACAACCCCAGGCTTAATTCAAAACAGTTAATATCTCATGACCTGTTACATAATTAAATAGACACAACTTATTACACACCTAACTAAATACACACATTCTTGACCTCAATAGTAAACCTACAAATGTATTATTTATTTTGATCTATACTACATTAGAATATTCTGTTAATTTTGCTAGCTAGCTGAAATCAGAAATTTGGTTGAAATATTAAACAAAATGGCAAAGCTTTTACCTGAGCATTTTCTGCAATAAAATTTATTTGTTTGTTTTACATTTATATCCCATTATATTACTATTTAACAGTAATTGGAAATATCTCAGCATTAGGTATTTGTACATTCAGATTTGGATACAGGAAATGTATTTTTCTAAATGAAGAATGAACACCAATTTAGATAAAAAATAGTTTTATTTTTTTTAATTTTTGTTGTTGAGAAAGTGCATTTTTAAGGCCTCTTTCTGCAAATGATTAAACCTGTCATTATTAATGGCATATATAAAATATATTACTTGTTTGACGATTTTCCTTTCCATTGTCAAAAATAAAATCTGACAGAGTCTAAAATTGAAAGATCAGTATATATATATTTATATTTGCATCAATATTGCGAAATTCCCTACCTTTGGACAATAACATAGAAATTTTACAGTAAGATTGGAAATGAAAAGAGAAAAAAATTAGGTCAGAGAGAATATGAGACTAGCTATGAATATGGCTGGATCACACCATCAATGATGCTTTGATTTTAAAAGCTGATGGAAGTAGTCCATTTTTAGCTCACCTGGCCTAAAAGGCCAAGTGAGCTTTTCTCATCACTTGGCGTCCGGCGTTCGTCGTCTGTCATCCAGCGTCGTCGTTAACTTTTACAAAAATCTTCTCCTCTGAAACTACTGGACCAAATTTTACCTAACTTGGCTACAATCATCATTGGGGTATCTAGTTAAAAAATTTGTCCGATGACCCGGCCCGCCAACCAAGATGGCCGCCATGGCTATAAATGAACATAGGAGTAAAATGTAGATTTTGGCTTATATCTCTGAAACCAAAGCATTAAGAGCAAATCTGACGGGGTAAAATTGTTCATCAGGTCAAGATCTATCTGCCCTGAAATTTCCAGACAAATCAGACAACCCATTGTTGGGTTGCTGCCCATGAATTGGTAATTTTAAGAAAATTTTGCAGGTTTTTGTTATTATCTTCAATATTATTATAGATAGAGATAAACTGCAAACAGCAATTGTGTTCAGCAAAGTAAGATCTACAAATAAGTCAACATGACCAAAATGGTCAATTGACCCCTAAAGGAGTTATTGCCCTTTATAGTCAATTTTTAACAATTTTTTTGTAAATTTTTGTAATCTTTTACAAAAATCTTCTCCTCTAAAACTACTGAGACAAATTTAACCAAACTTGGCCACAATCATCATTAGGGTATCTAGTTTAAAAAATGTGTCCAATGACCCCGCCTACGAACCAACATGGCCGACATGGCTAAAAATAGAACATAGGGGTAAAATGCAAGTTTTGTCTATTATTTTTTGAACCGTTATAAATAGAGAAAATCCGAAAGGAGCAAAAATGATCAGAATAATGAGCTCTACCAATTTTCCTCAAAACTGTTAGACAAATTCTTATACGATTTATTGCCCATGAATGACAAATTTTACCATTTTATTCATTTTTGCTTATTATCATGAAAACTATGATATTTAGAGAGAAACATTCTTTTTCCGTTATGCCTTATATGATTTAAATTATAATCGATAAATAAACACTTTAAATCACAAAAATGATCAGCAAGGCAAGATCTATTAAAAAGTCAAATTTGGCCGATATAGTTAGTAGAACTCTTTTTTGTTTTGAGCAAAAAGTAAAGAAGATAGAGAAAACTAAACAGACTAAAAGATCAGTAATACAAGATCAACAAAATAGAGATTTTTGTCATGAAGTCTATTCTTGTCTACAATGTTGGAGAGTGTCCTTTGTTTGATATGCACATAGATCAAGGTGAGCGACACAGGCTCTTTAGAGCCTCTAGTTTTTATATCTCAATAGTTCTAATGGTATTCATTATGATTTAAAGGACAACACTTTTTTAAGTTTACCTAAAGAGTAAGTTGGTCCCTTTAAAACTTAGTATTTGCACAATGCTTTAGATAACTTATCCAATAACAGAGGGAACCCAGAAAAGATGTCTGTTGCAATTGGTAATTTTGAAAATGGTCTTTGATATTTGTATTTTAACCCTTCCTTCCATAATGACACCTTTTGACTTCACGTCTTTTCCTCCATAATGACACCTTTTAATGCCTTTATGTGGTACCTCAGCTGAATCCCTTTGACTCTTTTGAAAAATCTACACCATAAGGCCTTGTGGTCATAAAACTTTGGTGTACGATTATCGTACTCAGACTCAGAATTCAACCAATCAAAATGCTGGATTCGGTGTTTCGAGCATAAATTTCGTTCTCTGAGTACTAAGTAAATTTTATGACCTAGAGTCTAGACGTCATCAAAAGAGAAGGTTCTGTTCTCAAAGGATTAAAATTGGTCTTTAGATTTAATTTTTTTTTTATTTGACAAACAAATACAAAGAACTAGTTATGATATAACAGTTAAAACATTATAATAATTATAGTTAATTATTATGTACAATAATTGTGTTGTAACGTCAGTTTTGGTCTAATTTTTCCATAATTTATGAGTTTTTTTAATAAGTTTACTTGAGCCTTAACCCTGTGCGTCTTTTGAAATAGATTCATTTAACAATCAAACTGTAATGTTTTTGATAGTTCATATGTTAAAAAACCCAGTTTGCCTTTTTCAGTATTTGAAGACATGAAAATTGAAGACTATGATTCTGAGGATGATGGACTAAGTCAACCACCAGAACAATTAACCTTGAGGAGTTATCAAAAAGAGCTGGCAGCACCAGGATTACAGGGCAAAAATTGTATAATTGTGGCACCTACTGGGAGTGGCAAAACACATGTGGCCCTCAAAATCATGCAGGTAAGGAAAAAAATCTCCTGTAATATATATCACATAAAATGTGAACTATTCATTTTCTGATACAAAGACCCATTTATGATTAATGAAAATTTAAATGATACATAATTCATAAGTTAATTAGTTAACCTATAAATTGCTAAACATTTTAAGGTTTTTGGTGAGCAGTTGCACATGTTGCATAGAGTACCAAAAGATTTATTTGATACATCTCAAAGCTTTAAATAAAAAAAAAATACCTGGATCTTGATTTCTAACATTACTTACATTTCAGGAGCATATGAATCAAGTGAGAGCAAGACGTCACCCAAAGGTGATTTTTTTGGTTGAACAAGGAGCACTAGCACAGCAACAAGCAAAGATGTGCATCAAGTACTTACCTTGTAAGGTGAAACTGATCACTGGAGAAACACAGAGGAATGAAAGACAAAAAAGTTTCTCAGAATGGCTTGCAAAGTATGTGTAATGTACATGTATATATTAAAATAAGTAGATGTGGTATGATTGCCAATGAGACAATTTTCCACCAGAGACCAGCAGATGGGAATGTATGCAACTGTATATAGGTCACTTTATGGCCTTCAACAATTAACAAAATACATACCATTGAAAGCTATACAAGGCCCAAATGTGACAAAATGTGAAATAATTCAAAAACTTAACCATACAGCCTGATTTGCTGCATGGTCTGTTAAAATAATAAACAAAAATAACACAGCAACAGACGACAACCACTGAATTACACACTCCTGACTTGGGACAGGCACATTATGAATGTTGCAAGGTTAAGGTGATTATATTAACTCATACAACTGAGGGTGAACTGACGCATGCATTATGTTTAAAATTCTGTTAGTTGTTTGATACCACTATTGTCATACAGGTCAGGAAGGGGATTATGCATTTTTTGGAGGAAAAATTGCATTCATGCAATCAAAACCCTTATGTTACTGGCTTGATAGCTATATCTCCCACTTATCACTACTTGAGAGAGTACAAAATTGCAAGTAAACATTCTTTTCATCCTATCTATTTACATTAATTTTCAAAAAATATCACTTTTCTTTGAGCAGTTTTCCGTCTATGCTTGAAAATAGATTTGAACATGTGACTCTTTCTGAATGAATGAAATAAGTCAGAAAACATATATTATTAATCTTATCAAATATCAGCTGCTCAACACGTTATCAAAACAAGTTAAAAATTATATTTTTCATCATGTTTTTTTAAGAAACTTGATAATTATTTAAATGTATTTAGCAGAGTTTGTAGTAGCAAACCATGCAAGGAGCTTGTTGTTCAGTGGTTGTCGTTTGTTGATGTGGTTCATAAGTGTTTCTTGTTTCTTGTTTTTTATAAAGATTAGAGCGTTGGTTTTCCTGTTTGAATTGTTTACACTAGTCATTTTGGGGCCCTATATAGCTTGCTGTTCGGTTTGAGCCAGGACTCCATGTTGAAGGCCGTACTTTGACCTAAAATGGTTTACTTGTTACACATCGTGACTTGTATAGAGAGTTGTCTCATTGGCACTCATACCACATCTTCTTATTTCTAATTAATAGGATTAATTTTGAATAATTATTTTTTTATTAATGAATATCCTAGAACATAAAATCATAAAATAAGATTGTTGCATCAGCATTAAATGGTATATGTCCTGAGCATTTCTTTTTGTATAGATCTCCCCTGCAGGAGAAATAAAAAACAAACAAAAAAATTTATACATGTAATATAAAAAAAGGGGTATCCATCCATGACACCAAATCAGTACATGCACATAAAAAAAAAACACAAAAAGAAAAGGAACAGCACTTTTATTGCTGTTCTTCATCTCAAAGTCGCAGTGAGGCCTTCAATTTATAATGAATGTTTTAGGCGTGACATCTTGGTAGTAACAGCACAACTTCTGGTGAATGCATTGATAGAACAAGATGTAACAATTGATGACTTTACCTTGATGGTGTTTGATGAATGTCACCATGCCCATGCTAACCATTCCTATAATCGAATCATGCAGGCTTATATGGATCAGAAAATAAAACATGAAGCAGAAAGGAACAAACTACCAATGGTAAGAAGGCCAAAACTATATATTTTGGGGACTTTTGAATTATAAGGTGATAAATAATGTGACTCTAACATGGTCAAATCTGACCTGTGACCTAGGGGGTTTGGCAGACAAAATGATGTCTCATTTAAAGGACTTGTGATCTTTAAAAAGTCTAAAACTGTTTTATTTGCTTAAAAGTGACCTGGAAACCTGAGGAAAATTTTAAATGTGACCTTGGTACTGTGCCACAGTGGCCCAAATAGGTGTATTTTCAGTTTGATGACCTTAATGACCTATTACAATCACTTGGCATCTGTCTTCTGACATCAGCTAGTCTAATTTGTGTTTGCTGCTTAACTTTTCAAATTTTGAAACTGTTTGTACAAATTGATAAAATTGGTAGAAATATTGTAATAGGTTTTGTATGAAATTTGTCATAAATAATTCCTTTTTTTCAAATATTTCTAAAGAATCAGTTTAATTGTACCTTTTATCAATCAGAATTATACAAAAATGTTATATGCAACAGATTGTAGGTTTAACAGCTTCAGTAGGAGTAGGGAGGGCCAAAACAACCGAAGGAGCAATTGACTGGATCAAAACAATGATGGCTAATATGGATGCTGAAGAACTGGCTACTGTCAGAGTTAACATTGATGAGTTGTCTGAGCATGTTATTGTTCCAGAACAAGGTATAAATAGTTGTAATCATCTAATGTTAAACTAATAAGCAGATATATGTTTTCAGTTTCATTTTGATATACCACATAAATATGAATTTTATACTTTTTATGTCAAGTCCCATAACTGTAGACAATGCCCTCCAATAGTTGCGTACATTCATATGATTTTGTCTCTGGTGGATAGTTGTCTCATTGGCAATCATATACCACATCTCTGTAATTTCATATTTAATGATATATTTTAAGTTTACATAAAAGTTCATACATTGTGTACTATAAAATGAGGGATAATTTAAAACTTATTGATTTCTACTTTATTATAAAGTAGGTTACACATGTAAAACAAGTAAAAATTGACCAATCTGTATACATAACAATATAAAAAAAAAGTTATTGACACGCTTAAATCAGAAACAAGAATTCTGGAGATTACCGATATTTACCTGTCATTTTATACTGTAAATTCAGAAATTATTGCGATGTTTTTATTATTGCGAAAAATGCGACAGGGTTATAATCGCAATAATTTTAACTCGCATTTTGAAATTTTTTATATGAATTAAACAGGATTTTTCTCAATATCGCAAAAATTAAAATCGCATATTAGTCTAAAATGACAAAATCGCAATAATAAATGCACGCAATAATTTCTGAATTTACAGTAATATTTTTTGCAGAGCAAGATACCCCTGATGGTACCTTTTTTTTAAGAAATGCCTTTTAGTAATATCTATTAATTAATATTAATGGCAATCATTTAACTGATTTTTTTTACAAATTATAGAAAAACAATTCTGATTAACTGATGAACATTTGATTTTCGTGGGATTGAATATGCTGGCCTGATAATAATTTATCTTGACCAATACAGGATGAAAATGAATATTCTGGTCAAGGACATGCAGATATAATTATGTTCAAAATCAAAAAAGATTAATTTTCATGTAGAAAAATCTAGGGCGGGAATAGAAATTCAAACAGAATAGTTAAATTTCAAGTATTTTTTGGGGTACACATTGTCAAAATCTATACATATTTTTTCAGTGATAAAGCGCACTGCTCGTAGAACAAAGAACTATTTTGGAGAAGCAGTAGGAAAGATCATGGAAGTTACAGAACGATATATGAAGCAATCTATATGTAAGTGCAATGTTTTAGTTTGTCTTGATTTTTTTTAATATAGAATTATAAATTGTATGCTTTGGATAAAGTATCTCACAGTACATTAAAAAGTATAACAGGAATTACTGTAACAGAAGTATTGGATAGTACAACAGACAACACTCAATTCCATGAAGGAAATATTCAAACAAATTAGGTAGAACTATATATGCAAACTTCATTTCCATCATTTCCAGAAGTCACTGCAGGAAATTAGGCCCAACAAACACTATCTAGTACTGAAAAAGTATTGCCATGCAAATAATATGTACAAAATGGTATGGTAGATGGATGGGAATCTGAATAGTTTTCAGCAATCTATGGTGCACTTATCAGCTCACAATATATATATGGTTTAGGGTAAGGGATCATTACAGTTTTTGACATACTTAACAATTAACAATATAAGAGGAGAAGGCATGGCCCTCAGTAAAAAATGCTATTGTGGACTTCAAATGTCTTGCCATGAAGATAATGAATATATACATGTATGACTAAAGTTTGGGATTTGAAAAGATTTTAAGATATTAAACAATTAATGATATACAGCGGGTGCGGCTTTCCCCCAGAACATTAAATGTCATATACTGACTTGCTTGGTCAATAACTATAACTTAATGTATGCATGAAGGGATATCTTCAATCAGTGTAAAAATTAGGCTATTAAATACTTCTATTATTGCTTTGTCTTCTATATTGAATTGGAACTGCTTATTTCAATTGATTACCTGATGATTTAACTATGTTACATTTTGTATGTTTACACATTTCAGATGCTGATGGTCTGGGTGCAGATAAAGATAAGATTTTAAAGGCTCCACCAGTCAAAGGTTCTGACCAATACACTCAGTGGATTAGTAATTTGTGGAGACAAACAGCTAAAGTCTTCAATCAGGAGGCTAGAAGATTCTTCACAACTTGTAGAACCTATCTAGATGTATGTGTTAAAGCACATGAACTAATCATGTATCAGCATATATATATTTTATTTTCAAGAAGAATACAAGGCTTAACATTAATTCTTCCGTAAATTTCTGATTAGTTGAGTTATAGAAACTTACAGTAAGGGATAGCTGCTCCAATATGCATGCATACCATCAAATTTGTTGCCAACTAGATGAGACATTCTGTGACAACAGTTTCATTATTCCACAGCTGACTCGTGTGGTATTCAGGGCTCATTGTGTCTATTCATCTGCTGTTTATTTGTTTGTTTGTCCATCCATACTTTATATCCTCCTAAACCAGAGACTGGATTTTCACAAAATAATCAGTATCTAATGCCATGGGGCACCTCCTTTTAGCTCACATGTCTCAAAGAACCATTTGGAGATATTGCCATTTCTTAGTGTCCATTTTCTGTCGTTAGTTGTCCAGGTTCATTAACTTTTACAAAAATCTTCTCCTCTGAAACTACTGGCCAAATTGGAACCAAAGTTTGCCACAATCATCAATGGGGTAGTTATAAAATTAAGAAGATGTGGTATGATTGCCAATGAGACAACTCTCCACAAGAGACCAAATGACACAGTAATTAACAACTATAGATCACTGTACGGCCTTCAGCAATGAGTAAAACCTTTCCTAGTTTAGACAATATATTCCATGATTCCAACATGGGAGACATGACTAATTATAGAACATAGGGGTAAAATGCAAGTTTTGTCTATTATTCTGAAAACCATTTTAGATAAAGAAAATCTGACAGGGAAGAAATGTTAAGAATTGCATCATCTACTTTCTGTTCGACTAAATTGAAAGATGACTTCTTACAGGAGTTATTGCCCTTAAATGAAAAAAAATCATTTGTGCCTATTATCTTCAAAACTTTAAAAGACTGTGAGAAATGTTAAATAGCAAAATGATCAGCAAGACATCCTATAATTATATGAAGACGGCCAAAATTGTCAGTCGACTCCTTATAGGAGTTATTGTGCTTAAATGACTATTTTATTTTTTGTATTTTAGATTATTACCTTGAAAACTCAAATAGAAAGAGAAACTTTAAATAGCAAAAACGATCAGCAGGATAAGATCTGCTAATATGTCAACATCATTGAAATTCAGTTCACTCCTTATAGGAGTTATTGCCTTTTATTACTTTTTGTTTTAACTTTTTCTTGGCAAAAACTATAGTATTAAAGTATAAGGTACATCCATGAGGGCATTAGCCTGACTGGGTGTATTTAATTTACACCAAGATATTATGGTTAATGCAAAATGATAGATTTCAGTAATTTTAGAGGGAACGTCTTTCAGCAATTTGGTCTTATGTTAAGGAAAACATTATAAATACAGGATATCCATTTTTGATCAAAAAAATCTTTATGAATATAAAAAAAAACCTGCAAAAAGGATTAGCAAGACAAGATCTACAAATAGTTCGCAATAGCTGAAAGGTCAGCTTAGCTTAACCAAGAGGACTAAATATTTATCATATTAAAAGGTATGCACACTTTCTTTTGATGATAGGGCATCCATATCTTACACACATTAAAACAACAGGAAAATAAACTTTCAAATTCTTTTTAACAGGAATGGTTACCAGGTAAAGTTCATAAATTTATATTTTAAGAACATATATGTTACCCTGCAGATATAGGGGTATGCATAATGACTTTTGTTTTTGTCTTCAGCTGTACAACAGGGCCTTGATTATATATGAAGATGCACGAGTAAAGGATGCTTTAGATTTTCTAGAGGAAAATGTTAGAAAAGTCAATGAGAATATAATTCCTGATGAAACAGATAACAAAATGAATACACTTTATAAAAGTAAGTCAATTTATCATTTCAAGTATTCTTGCACTTATGTTTACCGCTACAACTAAAATGGAAGATCTAAAAAACCAGTACCTTTTCTTGGCTTCAATGAAAGGGAATAATTTTATTATTTGGTCTGGAGCTTGAAAATTGTGAGTTGTAGTGTGTACAAAATTTTTTCATCAGCTATGCATCAACTTCCTGTTTGCTACAATTTTTAAAATCCCAAGCTCCATGGCTCCACGCCTCCAATACAATTTCTTTTATCAATGTCATTAATCGGACTAACTGCTTAGGTATGATATGATATTATTTTTTTGCTAGATTTTATACCTTTGTATAAATGGGATGCTTATATTTTTGTAAGGCTGACAATTATTTTTTTCTTGTAGAGAGCAAGGTATTAATGGACCACTGTGTTAATGATGTTAACCACCAAAATCCAAAACTAGAAACTTTAAGAAAGATGATAGGAAAAACATACAAAGAAAATATGGATTCCAGGGGAATAATCTTTGTTAAAACAAGAGATCTGGTAATAGCTATACAAAACTGGATGAAGGAAACAGATGGACTGAGAGCTTTAAATCCTGTTAAGTTTGTTGGTGCTCAGGCTAGTGGAGAAAAAGGAGGTACGTAGTATGATTATTACTGTCCTGGTTTGATCAGGATTTTCAGAATCAGGTTTTAGGTCAACAGATGTATACATGGTATTGTGAAGATTGAAATATTGTACGACAAACTTTTACTTTCAACAAAAATATGTTGAATGAAGAAATTAAATGAGACTTCAGTCAAACCTTAAATTAGTAGCCACCTTCATCTAATGGTATTTTTGAAAACCTCAAAAACGCTTTCTCTTCATTTTTTAACACCTTGCTAACTCCATCAGCTTCACCTATTAAGGGTCATTTTGAAGAGTCAAGGACATCATGTGATACCACATGATAGGGAATTTTTTCATGAAATAATAATAATGAGTTTGAATAAGGTCTTAAGAGGCAATCTGCCAGAAAACCATGCAATAGACTATGAATGCAATAGTACCATATTGACCTGAAATTTTGCATACATGATACCTTCATGACAATTACTGTAAGTGCAAAATATTTAAAAAAAGAATTTAATGATAGTCACTTTATGGAGCATCATCTATCTATTGCCTTTTATGGTCCAAATAAAGCTGAAAATGAGGCAATTTAGCCTCTTTAGCTGATAAATATTAGTTTTTATCATCATGTCACTGTTTTATTGGTAAAATTATGTTATAATACTGAGGTTAAAAAAATTTCCTTTATTGGCTCATACTTGTCCAAATATTCTAAGTATTACAAAAGAGCCAAAATGGTGAAATTTGCAATTTTTAAAAGTCTGTATTTTCTTAAGTGGCAAAATATTGTTTTTTCTCAAACTATGATTGTATATCTTTTAAACATAAAAAAATTCAATTTTGGCAAATGATCATAGTAATCACTGTTAATATATTAGTTTGGAAGGAATTGTGGTTTAGCAGGTGTTGCTGTGGTTTCATTTATTTTCGTGGGTACCAATTTCGTGGATTAAGGAAGACTTACATATTCCTGGATTTTAATTTCATGGTTTTACCGAAGTCTGCATACAAGCCTATAGCAAATTTGTCATTCTTTGAACATTTAATTTCGTGGTTCACCTATACTCATGAAATCCATGAAAATTACTATCCAACGAATAATAAGGAATCCACAGTATCCTATATTAATCATGGTATTTCTCCTATTTGGACCCTTCAATAATCCCCCTCTGGACCCAACATGTGGAAAACAAATATATAATGCACAATTTACAATATTTAATAAGTATCTGATATAATTTCACATTAAACCCTTTAGTAGTTGAGGAGACGATGCAGACCGCAGGTAAATGTACTTAATACACTACACCACTACTGATTTTCTCCTATTTGATCCAAAGTTGCCCTCATGAACCCTCAATGCATAAAACAAATATATGGTGTATAATTTCATGATTTCCTGTCTAAAGTATTTAATTGAAAACATGATTTAAACTTTTAATTAGAAAACTTGGACTGTTTTTGATCATCTCATTTGAAATACTGTCTGGGCCACATGATATTTTTTTCTTCAATGTATGAATTGCATCAGTAATTTCCTTATCTGTGATAAGGATATCTAACTCAGTAAAAAAGTTTGGTTTAAATTCATTTAGTACTGTAAGAGGAGTTAAGGCAGGTCAACTGTTTACTGCCATCTTAGATTGTAAAAACGTTCTTACACAATCAGTCTAGTTCTTTGCTTAAATCTGCAAATTTTGAGACAGATTGGCAATTATGGAGTAATACTATTTAGATTATAAGTGATTTATTGCATTTTTTAGACTGTTTAAACAAATAATAAGTATTTGTTTTTGTTCGATTAAATTTTTCATCTTAGTCATAGAAGGGGAGATAACTCTTAAAGTAAAAATTGAAATTGTTTAATGAAGAATGTTAATGATTTTTTTTTTTTTTTACTGGAGCAAGAAATAGAGTTCGGTGACACCATTATAAAATTTATCTGCTAATATTATATTTAATACTTCTATCACATAGATTTCTATTTTTTCATGAATTATCTATGCAAAATTTTGCAATTTTGCACAACTTGTAGCTTACAAATAGCACCGAAACCCATACTTTTTATAATATTTTTGAAAAAAAGCATGGTTAAATCTACATTTTGGCAAAGTACAAGAAGATTTTATCTGAGGAAAAATACAGTGTTGATCCACCTTAAGGATTGTAAATATATTACGAACAATTTCTGTGTCATTTGGTCTCTTGTGAATAGTTGTCTCATTGGCAATCATACCACATCTTCTTTTTTATACACAGACGGACAGACAGAAAGACATCATGAATATTGTATGTCTCCAGCTATCACTAGCAGGGGTATAATTAGTCTCTGTACAAAAGGATCAACTTGATTCAGGACAGCCAATAACTATAAAAGGTCAAGCTGGCCTTTCTGGCCTGTGTAAATATTTGTTGAAGGAAAAATGCTTATGGGTTATGGTTTGTTCATTAATGTGAATACTCTAATGAATCTTTCCAAATGAATTAGACGTGGAGAAAATTTATCAACTCACCAATTTATTATTATTATAACTTTATCTAAATTGAATAGAGGAAATGTTGCATAGATTCATGACACAAATAAAATTAATAATGGAAGCAGGGAATGTGTCAAAGAGACAACAACCTGACCAAAGAGCAGAAAACAGCCCAAGGCCACCAATGGGTCTTCAACACAGCGAGAAAATTCAGCACCCAGAGGCGGGCTTCAGCTGGCCCCTAAACAAAAATGTGAACTAGTTCAGTGAAAATGGACGTCACACTAAACTCCAAAACATATGAATGAACTAAAATTAAAAAAAAACATACAAGACTAACAAAGGCCAGAGGGTCCTGACTTGGGACAGGCGCAAAAATGCGGCAAGGTTAAACATGTTTTATGAGATCTTAACCCCCCCTCCCCTATACCTCTAGCCAATGTAGAATAAACAAACACACAGCAATACGCACATACGCACAGTAAATCAAAATCTGTATATGTACATGAAAAAAATGCCAGCAAATGTACAGAGCTTTTGTTGCTGTTCTTTATTCAAAAGTCAGAGTGAGGCTTTCAACATGTACAAAAAGCTCACACCTCACTGCAAGTTCAAATTGACCCCTAGCACTGCTTTACTTTATCTACATTTTATCTGCCTGATTACTAGTTGTTGTCTCTTTGACACATTCCCCATTTCCATTCTCAATTTTATGTCAGCACTTTCCATTCTGCTAAGGTGTTTGGTAATCATCATCATCAACTACATTTAAATTTTCAATTTTAACTAAAAATTACTTTGTTGGAATGCTGGATCTTTAGATCCAAGTTTGACAAATTTAACAAATACACTCCAAACTTGAGATGTGGTTAACCACTCATCAGTGTTAAATTTCTTTGTTCCATCATCATTCCTTAATAGTTTCAGATTATTACAGGTTTGATCAAAATTTGGTCTTTTTTCTTTGCCACGTCCATGTTGTTCAATGCATAGCAACATATGGACGTTGTGTCAGGTTAAGCAATACATGATATGTCATCATTAAAGATTTCATAGGGACTTTATGCCGAGTGACTTAAGTGTATATTTGTCTGTTCATGTAAAATAAACGTTAAACTTTTTTGATATTTAATTAATTTTGTGTATTCATTATATCTCAATTATGAGGAAATAAAGACATGCATGAATGAATGAAGTAATAATTCCTTAACCCTATTTACTACTTAAACATTTCAATGGCTAATAGAAACTTTAAAATCCCATCCTTCTGCAATATTTAGATTTGTTGTCAAAAATGATTGTAAAAAAACTTTTTTCTCATGATCAATAGCTACACATGTCTCAGCCCAAAGAAGTTTCACTTTGTAATAAATATTTTCTTTGTTGGCATATATATGATATTCTAAGACATAAGGTTTTTGTGTAAATCTTTATGCAATTTTGCTCAGGACAAGCAAACAATATTGGCTTATCATCTGAATTATCACCAGTCTTGGCTATAACATTTGCTTTTGGAAAATCTTCAGGTTCTACTGTTTCATTAATATATCCTCCATTTGAGTTTTCTTTGTTATATGTGTAATTAACAGAGCTGCTGGTTAGAAAGATTTCTTAATAAATTGTGATAAAATGTATATATACCTACAAAAAAAACCATGGTAATCATATTATCATAATACATGGAATTGCATAATCATGCATAATGTAGACAAAATTGACAAAATTTTAATAGAATAGTGTTGTAGCTCAACACATAGTTTTTTTCTTCTAAATATTGTCCCAAACACATCAGTTCTTAAATACATTTGACAGAAAGTTTTTATACATCGTAGGATTATTTGTAGTAATATTCTCGATTCCATGCTGTAGTGACAGTTTGATTTGACACTTTTAACGTGAGTTATGGAACTTTGACCATATTTTTTTTTTTAGAATTGTAACACTTATACCTTGTGAATGAACTCATCATAGATACCAGGATTGAAATTTTGTATTTGCGCCAGACACGCATTTCGTCTACAAAAGACTCATCAGTGACGCTCGAATCAAAAAAAAGTTAATTAGGCCAAATAAAGTACGAAATTGAGGACCAAAAATTCCTAAACGTTTTGCCAAATACAGCTAAGGTAATCTATTCCTGAGGTAGAAAAGCATTAGTATTTCAAAAATTCAAAGTTTTGTAAACAGTTGAACACAACTCCTCTGACTCAATTTTACAGAAAACTCGCATACTTGACCATTTGTGGAGTATTGTAACTACAGCATCATGTGAACAAAAATCCTCTGAGACTGTTGGACAGAAAGCTTCCATTCATGGCAGGATTATTTGCCATAATGTGTAGTTGACCATATTAAACTGTCATTTTGATTTGACCATTTTATATGGATTTATGTGGGACTTTGACTTTTCTTTACTTATGTACAACAAAGATACTTTATGAATGCAACTCCTACGACACCTTTCAACAGAAATCTCTCTTTACTTGGAAGATGTGTTCGCAATCATGTGCTGTTAATAAAAAATAATTCTTTCATGCCATACTATTTAACATGGTAACATTGTATTTGTCAATATATTTACACCAAATGTTAGGGAAGCATTGTTTAAAATACATCTGATGTTGCAATTTCAATCATGTGTAGCCCATGTTCTATCTGAATTAGAACATGGCTTTGTTTCCAAAGCGAAAGAAGAATGTAATATTAGAATGACAGTATTGTGCCCTCATTTTGATTTTACTATTCTAATGGGAGTTATGAGACTTTTACCAAATTTTGACTATCTTACCACAATGACACGTTGTGACACACATTCAAATTTCTAATTAATACAGGGGTGGGGGACATTTTGCTATTGTGTAGCAATCTTGTTTATACTAATCAACGATTGTCCAAATTTATCTAATAAGCATCCTTTTACATACAGGTATGACCAAGAATGATCAAGACAATATATTGCAGTATTTCAAAGAAGGGAAACATAAATTAATTATAGCCACATCTGTAGCAGAAGAAGGGTTAGATATACAGAAATGTAACCTTGTCATCAGATATGACCATGTGACAAATGAAATAGCCATGGTGCAAGCTAGAGGTATCACTATATATTTCTGTATAATAACACTAATTTATGCTCATTATCAGTAGATTAAAATGGCAGTTAATATAAAAGAAAATTTTGTGCAGACATTCAAATTGATTTTCACTTTTTAAATGGAAACAAATTAAATTATTAACTTCAATATATTGGAAATCTTTTCAGATTGACTGAAATTTTACTTGCATTTATTTTAATTGCTTATTTTATAATTCACTGAGAATTTGTATCATCCTTTTATTAATCTATGTCTTGCTTTGTCAACATCATCACCCTTTTTAATCCGAAACTCTTTGAAAATTGCTTCACAGAATCCACCAACTTGTATAGATCCTTCTACAAAACATGAAGTTCTGCACTTGTTATTTAAATGTTTTATCTGAATGAGTTCTCATGGTTCTCATTCCAAAACATGTCTGTTTCTGCTTGTTTTTATGGAGACGACAAGAGACTTATGTCTTCTTTGTATGCTTCACACCTTTTCACTTTCATAAATTTCTTGTAAATAGTATTTCTATAGGGAACTGTTCTTCGTATTTTTAATTTGAAAATTGTTAAAGATGTGTCTGAAGATTTTTTTTCATCCAATAGAAGGTATCTTTTATTCTTGTGAACGAAATAACATTTGAATTGTTGCCAATTATTTTCAGGGAGAGGGAGGGCTGAAGGAAGTAAGTATTACGTAGTTGCCAGTGAAGAAAAGATGACAGCAGAAAAAGAAGAATTGAACATGATGAGGGAAGCTAGAATGAATCAGGCAATAATTCATCTACAAAACTTTATACGTGATCACAGACAGACATTTATACAAGAAATAGAAGATTTACAGTTGGAGGCCAATATACAAAGAGAGCTAGAAAATACAAACAAAGGAGGAAGAATCATTGGTGATTTTGAGTTTGAAATGAGATGTGGAAAGTGTAATGAATTCATCTGTATGTCAAGAGACATAAAGAAGATTCAGGCTGCTCATCATGCTGTGATTGGAGAAGAAATAGCAAATCATATAAATACAGTCAGGATGCCGAAACCTACTTTTGAAGATGACAATATAAAAATGGGTTGTGGTAAGGTCAATTGTAAGAAATGTGGAAAAAATCTTGGAAATATTGTTATTTATAGAAAAGCACAATTCCCAGTTCTGAAAATTGAAAACTTCCTTGTATCCGATAGCCATGGTAACACAGATGTGTACAAAAAATGGAAAAATTCCCCTTTTGTACCTCTAGAATTGTCATCACAAAATTTATTGGATAGAGCTAGGGGAGCACAGTATATTTTTGAAAGTTGAACAAAAGATAAATATATGTTATCTTTCATGGGTTGCTTTTCAACCTGCCATCTTCAAGTCATGTTAATGTTTATGAGCCCTTGATGTGCTTGAGCTTTTGATTTTGCCATTTGATAATGGACTTTCCGTTTTGAATTTTCCTTGGAGTTCGGTATTTTTGTTATTTTACTTTTTAGGAAATTTTCAAAGTGTAATAATATCAAAACAGCAAAAATACTGAATAAAAGAGACATACCATTTTGTACATATATCAAAGGGAAATGCCGTTCACAGAAATTATTTTTAGTGTGTAATTGCATTTAGAAGAAAATGTGGATTTTGAGTCAACTCAAGCCAAAACTTTTGCAGAAATCCACAAACTTTATTACAGAGACTTTGAAACCTAGATTACTCACCTAAGTTTATCCATGGTGTGCCAGGGTTTATTGTTTGCAAATAGTCCTACACAACCTTTACAATCTAAAAAACCTTGTGCTGAGTCATTAAAGTCTAGTGCACCTAGAAGGTGAACTTGAATTGGTTCATATTTGTACTTCTTTTAAAAAATATCATTATTTCAAAACTTGTTTATGGGAATTCAAAGCTAGCACTGCATGCATTAATCCCCTTTCTATTTAGTACATTTAGGTGTCAAATATAAGAGTACAAGGGGAAAGGCTGTGTTTTTTTTTTATTTTATAAAATTTCCATATGTTTAGCATTGAAACAACTAAAGGGGTACATAATCCTTAGATGCAAATATAGGAGAACTGCTTGAAAGTTAATACAATAGTTCTTTAATATAATATTATTATTCTTGGTCCAGATTTTCTTGCCAATCTACAAAAAAATTAAGTTGAATCAATAAAATGGACTAAGGCATGCCAGAAGATTGTTTTTAGTTCACCTTGCCAAAAGGTCCAAGTGAGCTTTTCTCATCACTTGGCATCCTTGGTCCGTCATGGGTTTGTGTGGTTAACATGGGTTTTTGTTAGAATTTTTTTTTTTTTTGTTATGTTGTAAACTGACATTTTAACTTAATTTCCTATGAAGTAATTTTTAAATTACCCCAGGTATAAATGTAATAATAATATATACATAATATAGCAAATTTTATATTTATTATTTGACTACATCAAAAGACATGTAAATAAGATGTATATTTTAATTACATGTAACATACAGTCTTTCATAAATGTTAATTATATGTTAGTCCAGTAGGACACTGCATCAAAGATGTGGAAGCTTTATAGTATTATCTATTTGACCATTGGACATATTATACTTAGTTTACACTCTTTGTAGTGGATTGAGTAATAAGCTAATTTATATATTGTCTCAAATTTGTGTAGTTGTGTTAATTTGTTGTCTGTCACTGTCGTTCTGTGGACACAATAATAACTTTAAAAGTTATAATAGAAAAACAAAGATATGGTGTGGTCAAGACGAAGTTAGCATATATGTTTAAGAGAGTTATCTCTTCTCAACCATTCATTGGGTATTGAGTATTGCAGAATACAGTCCATAGGTAGTTATATTATTTATGCCAAAGCAAAGCATAGAATAATTGATAACGATCAAAATTTTCATTTGGATCTGATTCTTATTTTAAATGCATTTACATCAGCATTATGCATGTCTGACAATATAAAATTCCTACTTTTGATATATCGGTACATCCTTTATTTTTTGTTAAAAAAAAATCTGTATAAAAATACCTATCTTATATTTATTAACTTGTATTATAATGCTAGTTGAGTAGAGATAACTCTTTTAAACATATATGCTAATTTCATCTTGACCATACCAAACTGACATATAAAATTATCTGGTATAAGGCTCCGGCTGTTATTGTATACAAGCAAGAGACCAATGTGCTAAAAATAACATTTAAACATGGAACACAGATTTTTTTTTAAATTTCTGTAAGTTAAATGGGATTTTTATTCTCATTTTATTCTTTGAAAAGAAATATAAGTATGAAATATGTTGATTGTGTAAGACCAAATAAAAAGAATTGGTGGGTTACCGTGTCTTTTTTTTATGAAGATATACAAAATCAAATGGTTTTTTGTGTTAAATGATTTAAAGGTTTTATATCTGCAAAATTTGAACTGTAAGGTCTTCTGAATATTTATCAAGTTTTTTTTGTTCTAACAAACACAATGCTGCTATGTTTTAAAGAATTAGATTTGCTTAATTTTGATATATATATTCGTGAGAAAGAAATATTTAGTGCATATAAAAACTATGTGAAAAATATAGATGATGTTCCTTTAAACAATGCCATTTAAAATTATCCAATTTGTCCTTGTATGTGTTCAATACTTCCAGATGATAATAACAATAAAATCTACAAAAGTAAATTTATGAAAATACCTGAAAATTTGGTTTATATAGCATCAAATTTACATTCATTGTGAAAACATTCATTAATATGTATCAGTTTTTAGCTCACCTTGGCTTCCGTCATCTGTTAATTTTTACAAAAATCTTCTCCTCTGAAACTACTGTGCCAAATTTTACCAAACTTAGCCACAAACTTAATTGGGGTATTCAGTTTAAAAAATGAGTCTGATGACCCTGCCTTTCAACCAAGATGGCTGACATGGCTAAAAATAGAACATAGGGATAAAATGCAAGATTGTCTATTATCTTGAAAACCACAATGCACAGCTGTGCTCGGCGAAGCAGTTTATTTTAAATTGAAATTTCATGATTTTTTTTTCTTTGAAAATGCCTGATTAGATTTACCAATCAAATTTGTGGAACTGTACATCTGACACTTTTATCAAAGGGGCCAAAGAGGCAGAAACTACACTTTTACATGGTTCATGGGATTAGGATTCTTATATATTCCTCAAAATGTAGAAAGATTCTTCAAGTTCCTCCCGACTTAAACTTTTTGAATATTTTTGTACATGTGCAGTTAGCGTTTTTTACAATGAAAATATAATTAATATCAACAGGTCACATACATATGTGTTCTTTAACTGATTTTACATAATTTCTGTAAATAAATCGTAAATAAAAAAGCAATGACTATATTTTAATATGTACAAATAAAATACTGACAATCAGCTATCATATTTGTATGTCTGTGCTGATTGCCTAAGAATGTAACGGGAAGGAGAAGAACACTTAAAATATCTAATTGAGAATTTTTAACCAACTTCTTAACATTAAGCATGAAAAAAATATTCAATAAGTTATTTCAAAGATACCTTTTAAAAGGTGTATAAAAGTTGTTTTTTTATATGTTAATTCATTTCCATGTGAAATAATTATAAATAAAAACATAATGAAAGTAATGGTTATTTGAAGACAATTAGCTTTTTTTTTGTTGTGAAATGGTCTAATTTACTTTTTGTTTTGATAACATGACTCTGTGGTATTTCATAGTTTTTGTGAATTTATGGCTTTCTCAAATATTGACCACATTTATATAATCAATAGCTGTATAGTTAAAAGACTATTCAGTATTGCTGGAGAAGATCTGCCTATAAACAATCAATCATAAAAAGAAATGATGGCTGATCAAGATGTAGACGCAGATATCTCATTCACTTATTTATCTAATTTGCTTACTGGAATCAACATTTCATGCTGTTATGTTGTATCATTTGCTATCATAAGTTGATTTACTTATTGACAAAACGGTGAAATTGTTATTCAATTAATTGAACCTTGTTTACAGTGTATTATGTTATAAAATGACTTGTTTTGATAAGTTGGGCATTTTATACTGTATACTACAAGCACCAATTCAAGAATTGAAGTATATGATGAACTAGAAAATTTTTCATAACATTTGTAATGCAGTTTCATATCGCATAGCAAACAAAAGAATTATGACAGTGCCATATATTTTTTTTTATAATTCTTTGGAACATTGTTTTTTTATGAATTATGTGTTTGTTGTAAATTTGTAGCAAGTACGTTTTTTATTTTGGGACTTTTCAAAAGAGTTTCATACACATGGCCTTTTCACTGTTTTTTTATGATTGTTATACTATTATTATTTATTTCATTGAATTTTGTCTTATTTAATTGAAATCCATTGTTATTCATCAATAAATTATTAAACCACCATCTTATGTTTTATGCTTACTTTATATCCAACTCAAAATATTACATGCTTTTTCAGGACATTTAAATTATTAACACCTATAATGGTAAACAAAGAGACCTGTCCAGTATGACTATGTGTCTTGAGGCTCAAATTCAGTGTACTTTCATATCCTCAATTTTCATTATTTAGTTTGAAATATGTGGGGCATAGGCTGGAATAGAAAATTTCCAAATGTTCTCCACTTGATCCAAATAATATCTTTGACAATACTAATGTAAAGATATAGCCATCAAAGGTATGACTAAACGTCCAACAATATATCAAAACAAGTCAACACAGCATACAATACCTAAATGAACTAAAGATTGTTTCAAAAACTTCTGGTTTACATCTGTCCGTCCTCCCATCTGTCTGTCCCATAAAATGTTTGTATCATTTTTCTAAGGAACTACAAATAAGTGCTCCCAGAAATTGGGTATCAAGTTTCATTCATACCCGGTATATGTGATCATCTTATACTGTGTGATGCATTTCAGATACACAACTCATCAAATTCCTGTTAACCAAACACTTATTCTTTTACATAATGGCCATGCATCTATGAAATTTTGTCACATTTTTCTCAGGAACTACAATTCCAGTCTTTCTGAAATTTAGAATCAACCTTCATGTCAGCATACTATACAGTGTGATTCATTTTAACATCCATGTCTCAAATACTTCCTGTTTACTGAATACTTTTGGCATGGTTTTTCTAAAGTGAGCAATAGCTCTCATTTCAATTGTTTATACATGTACTTAAACAGTGATCAATGTGAATTAAAATAAACTAGGAGTGCACATACTGAAATGCCTCTTCTGCTTTACTGATCATATTTGAATTTATATTGAAATTCTTTAAGATAAATGTTCAATACAAGTATCATATAAACGTAACACTATCAATGTTCCATGTAATTAAGGTCAAGGTCAGATGAACCATGCCAGACTGACATGTACACTATCAATCATTCCATGCACCATATATATAGTTGACCCTATTGCTAATAGTACTAACCATAAAAAATTAACATTGACCAATGAACCATGAAAAAGATGTCAAGGTCAGATGAACACTGTCAGACAGACATTACTAAATATGTATTGCTCTACAGTTAATAACACTTATGGTGCTACATCCTGTAGATACTTATATTTTGAGATTGCACAAAGGTCATGTTTTCTCAGACAGTCATGACGTCTTTACACTAAATCACTGGATGTGTACATAGTGTACTGATTGATATTTAAGTATGGGAAACATGATTTATTTTATATTAGTTGTAAATTGGCTTTAAACTAGCTTTCAGTAACTGCAAGTACTTTTTGATTGGTACTTTGTGTGCATCTGTATTTTCAGTCCCCTACCGCCTACTGATGAAGTCGAAGGGGACTTTAGGTTTGCACTCTGTCCGTCTGTCCATCCGTCAGTCCGGCAACTCAGTTTTCCACACTTTTTTTCTTCGTTCTTGAAGATATTGATTTGATATTTGGTATATAGTTTTATCATGACAAGTTATATAAAATTTCCCTGTCTTCATTTGCAAACAATTTTAATATTTACAGTTGCCAAGATAAAAGGGATTAATCAAAGTGCTTGTAAGCACTGAAGGGTAAAGATTGCTTTAATTTACCAGTGGGAAGTAAAATCAAATATTGCATTGTATTTAGCATTGGTTGTAGTTGATTCAACTACAATTCTGGATAAAGGAAGATAACTCCAATTTTTAAAAGATGACATCATTGATATTTTAAAACAAATATTAGATTCCTGCACCTTGCATGATACGGGTTATGTTCTTCTCGTATATTTTATGACCCCTAACAGCAGGGATTGTGCATGATTTTCATATGATGAAGACATAACCTTTCAATCAGTTTAATTGAGGTCTGGAGCTGGCATGTCAGTAACTGCTAGTAGTCCTTTGTTCATTTGTGTTGATCATTGTCATTTTGCTTAGTTTCTTCTGTTACCTATTCTAACATCGGACTCTGACATTTTTGCGCCTGTCCCAAGTCAGAAACCTCTGGCCTTTTTCAGTCTTGTATGTTTTTTTGTTGTTTTTTTAAATTTTGGTTCATTTATATGTTTCGTAGTTTAGTGTGACGTCCCTTTTGGCTGAACTAGTATACATTTTTGTTTAGAGGCCAGCTGAATTCTGCCTCTGGGTGTGGGATTTTCTCGCTGTGTTGAAGACCCTTTGGTGGCCTTCGGCTGCTTTCTGCCGATTGGACGGGTTGTTGTCTCTTTGACACATTCCCCGTTTCCATTCTCAATTTACTTTGTCTTGACTAGAGTCAAATGATTCAAACATTGTAGGCTTAACTGAAAAGCAGCAAATACACATTTCTAATACTGGTGAAATATTTTAAGATAAACAGTACTATTGGTAAAATATGTAACTGGTAGAAAAATTGTGACAAAACAACCCTAACTTTAGATTACAATTAATTCATCTGACAAATGTCAACAGATAAAGGAGTAGGTCAATCCTCATTTTAAAATTAAGAATAATCACTACAACAAATGCAGGCTTGTGGTAATTTCAGATACTGTAATTTTTAAAAGTACACTGCTTGAAAAGGAGGCAACAGCAAAACACAACAAAATATGCATGTTTTACAAAAATTTATTTCCCCCAGCTCATAACAAAATCCCTTTCCCCATACATTCAAATATAATCCATATTTCCATCTCTCTTTTATTCTTTTCAATTTAGTCTCACAACATAATGCCAGTCATGAAAATGTCTCTTTTAAATGTTATCTTTAAAAATAGAGAAGACCAAAAATTGATAATAAGCTTGCAATACTGAAAAATCTAGCAATAGCATTCAGTGTTGGCAACTTGGCATTTACAAGTCCAGCAACTAAAATTTGTTGAATACCTATATGTAATTTCAGTAATTGTCGAATTCGGCAGATACAATGTTTGAATAAATAATATTCATAAATTTTTCATAAAAATATTCTTTTAAGTGAGCAACAAAAAATTTAATTTCAAGATATAGTTATGGTTCATTTGAGATTTTATCAACACTTAAGCATAATATTAACTTAGTAATTGGAAAAAAAGGTTTTTCAATGTGTCCCACCTCAAAGATTTTACAAAAACCTATTTGGTAAATGGTGGTAAATTTTTAAGTGTTTTTTTTTTTTTATTATTATTTCAGTTTACAATAATAGCTGCCATTTAGCACTCCAGGCAGGATAAATAAATAGGATTCATGAAGGGGACTCTCAAAGAATAATTCCTGACTGGTTTTGTTTACATATAGTTTTGAAGTAGAATAAAAATTAATTTCTCTATTTCTTTTTATTTGATTTTACATTTTATTTCATATTTAACCAAAATTTAAAGTCCTACCACAAAATATTTAAATGTCAAAGGTCAATGAAAACATACTTTCCGTTTAAAATCCATTCAACCACAAAACCATGCTTTAACAAATAACAAATAAACAACTTTCAAAACCATACATTCAATACAAACATACTAAATTAAACAACGGAATTTGTACAACAAACTGCAATCAATATGAAATGAACACATGAAATGTATCGCTTCATATACAAACATTTATATCCTATCACATGATGCAGTCACATGATACAGTCACATGAAGCAGTCAAAATGAATAGAAAAACCTAAATGCATTACTCTCTACCACACCACCATCTGATTAAAATATTTTAACATAAAGCAACTCATTTTGATTACTTTTACCAAGTTTTTGTTTGTTCAGTAGGTAGTAACTTGGCTCATTCATATACTTTGAAAATGACAGTTGCATTATTTAAATCATCAAAATTTATTCAAAATGTGAAAATTTTATACAAAATGGCATTGGGATTTCCGTCATAAAACTTTGCTCAGTACTAGGAGCACAAAATTTGTGCTAGAAAAACACCAAGTTTAGTATTTTGATTGGTTGATTCCTGAGTCAGAGTACAATAATCTTATTTAAATGTTTTATGACTGCAAGGCCTGGTTCTATCTCATTCTGTCAACTGGCCTTCGAAACAATGAGATTGTGGAATGTTAATAAACAACTGTCCTTTTCAATTTATAAATGAGTCCAAAGGAGGTATGTTATTTGTGAAATGAATAATTAAATATTTGCATTGTGACAAGCACTTTAACAAATTCTCATATGGAAAATTTCTTTACAATACATGTATAGCAAAAGATCAAGATTTTCTATTAAAAAAAAAAACACTTAATGATGTTGCCTTTTGTTTAATTGAGAGAAAAAAAGATGTCATTTTGGATATCAAGAGAATATACTTAAACATAATACATAAATGAATAACAGTAAAAGATTATTTATTACAAATCAATAGCGTTTTAGAAATGTGTAACACTGTACTTTTATTTACATTTCATTTTACTTCATTTTCTGCACAATTTCATGCACAAATGAGGTGTTTCTGCAAAAATGAATGGTACTACAGGCAAGGCACTAATTTCTTGGGGAAACATATGTAAATACACTTTTTTAGAATGAAAATGCATAAAAAATTTATCTAGCTTATATAGAAGATCTATTGTTAATTGCTAAATGTCAGCTAAAAATATCAGCCCTATAAAGCAATACAATAAGAATCAAATAACCTCATCAAATAAAGACAATAAATTGATAATAATGTGCCTGTTTACTATTGAACAGTTTGGGTCTTTATCTAGATATCTAAAAGTTCTTTTAACAGGAGAGTATTGTTCAAATGTCTTGATCTTTTATTATTATGCCTATTGCAAAGGATATAAAACTTTTCCCCAGAATCAGTACCTAGATATAAGAACAGTACCTGTTCGTTTAAGTATTCAAATTTATCAAACAAATTGTCCCATTGAATAAATACAATAGCTATTGCTCTCTGTGGAGAAATTGAAAGTTGATTCATTATATAAAGTCTACATAGAACAATAGCTGTTGTATTTATTTAATGGGGCAGTTCATGTTGCAAAAGTTTAAATACCCTAATAAACAGGAACTGGTTCTGGGGAAAGGTTTTATTTCCTTTGCAATAAAACGGTAAGCAGAAAACATGATTGAGTCACAGATATTCAGTCCTTCATTTAATAATTTTTTTATTTACTTTTGAGATTTTTGTGAAAAGCACTACTGAAATCAGTGAACATGAAAATTAGCTGTTGCTCCCCTTTTTTAAAGTGCCTTTCATACCTGTTATAAAACGTTTAAATGGAATGTATTGTTAAAGTACACCAGATTTTGTGGAGGCATATTCAGAAGCACTGTACTACAGAAAAATTCAATGAACAATCACTGTTCTGTTTTAAATTTTACAGTTTTTGAGAAGCATGAAAAACAGTTGAATTTCCATTATAAAAACCACATGTCAGTTTAATATCTAGAACCAGAAAGTTAACTTCTTTTTTTTTTTGGCCCAGCATTCACTTTGCTGTCTTACTAAAATTATGTAGATATTTTGTTGGCACAGTGTTTATTTTGAGTATGGTCACATGAATCTGTAGACTATTCATTAATCCTGCCTTCTAATACTGTTAGGGATGTTAACAAAAACATACATGGGACCCAGGGAAGGCACATTGAAGTTTGATCTATGGTTGGATGTTAAGATTACCGTTAATTTAAAAATTAATGAGTTCATTTATTATTGTGATTGTTGAAAGATTGACACAAACACGAGTTTAGCTATTGCAATTTCAGGAAATACTGCACACATATAATGCTATTCAAATTTAAGATGCGAGTTTTTATTCTTTGCGACACCCATCTCTTTGCAATTTTCTCAATAATAAAAATATTGTTAAAATTTTTTAATTTATAGTATCTTGTACATTAAAATGTTAGAGAAAAGGTTACCCCTTTTTATTGCCTTCCTTGGGCATCATATATGCTTAATGGAACAGCTTTTAATTTGAATAGCTCTCAAAACATATCAAGTGAAATGTATATTTCTAAGTGAAATGGATTTCATATTAAGTACATTCTCTATCATTACAAATATAGCACTATTATCACATATAATATTCAGCACTTTAGTTATTACTCTGAATCCCTGCACCAAATGTACCTAAAACCAACATGGCAATAAAATTTACCAAGCACCAATTGCCTCTCAAATGGAACAAGATAGGAAATTAAGGGACTGAAAAAATTTAAGTAGGAATACCCATCACCTTCAACCCACCACTGTGTTCACCTATAAGTTAAACATTCATCTTATTTTATTGTGTGTTATTCAATATTTTGATAAGAATGCCCTCTGTTATAATGCAAATTTGAAAAGGAGAATCTGCTGTGTTTGACCCTTCCAACCAATATAAGTTGTCATTAAACATTACGCATCCCATGTAATTTTTCTTAGAATGGCCCTTGAAACCAAGTTTATCTCCATTTTTCACCTTTTTCTGTGCTTGCAAACTGAGTATTTTATGTGTGCAAGGAGACATGCACACACACGCTCGGAACAATTTTCAATTTCATAAGAAATATGAATAAAAAATTGACAAAAAGATAATTATAATCATTTTGTTGTAATATCTCTACAGTTTTAAAGTTAGTAAGAAAAATAACTATATACAGCCAATAAAATATTAGATCGGTGGGAAACATTTGTTGGTCTGACTATAGTTAAATAACAATTCATGTTTTGCTGTATAACAGACAAGTTTTGAGATTGTATAACTGTTTAGATAAATTTCTATCAAGGTTTGTTCTTGCTAGACTTCAAAACAACACTGCTCGTTTATTTGTGAATTAACAGACATGAAAATAAACAAAAAAATAAATCAATAACTACAGCTTACGATTTTCAAATTTATATTCTTTTGTTGGGAATAAAATCTCACAAGGTTTACCTGACAAAAATTGGTCTAAATATGTGACAGACAATTTCTAATTAATATATACAATTTAACTAAAAAGCCTTGTATTGTAACCACAATTAGTTTTTAATTTATTTGCTTATCCCAAAAGTAAAGATATGGGTTTTAATTTATATATAAATAGTTTTTAATTATGAAGCAAGGCAGTTTTACATTGGAAGACTGTGGTATAACAGAACAGTTTTAAACAATCTAGCGTATTTTAATACATATGCAGGTTTACATTGTTTTAAAGTCATGAGATCATTTTATATCTTGCTGAGTAGAAATGATGATTTTTTATAAATGGTGTATGTCCCTAGGACTATAGGATCTTTTTAAAAAATCCCACATGAAAATCAGCGTGCCTATGAAGTCAGTAAAAATCTGTGAAAACACTGAAACTGAAATCTATCTTCATACTAAGACATCCAAACTATCTAATATCAGAATGCACTGTGTCTGGTAGCATTCCGAATTCTAGTCTTTCTGCAATGTTCCTTATCACAAACCAAACCAAAGTTTCTAGTCCTGGTGTCTATTGCTGTAGACATTTAAACAATTATCACAATCTTCAACAGGTATACAGTCATTGATCTTCAGTTAAATTATCTCCCTTTCACAAAAACACAAGATGAAATGATTGAATGATTATCACAGGCTTAGTCACCCACAATTCATCATGTCTAATGAGGGTGACGGTGATGGACTTGACCCACCCGGAGCCTTCAAAGAGTCATTCACATCTCGTCGAAACATTGACAAATTCTGTGTAAATCTGAAGTAAAAATTATAATGAATTAAATCAAATAAAAATAAAACCTGCATTCCTACATGAAGTGTTTGTGTCCTTGTTTATTTATTCTTTTAATTATTATATTGAAAACACTTTGATTGCTCAATTATGTCTAAAACATTAAGTTGTTTTAACAAAAATCATGTTGATGGCCAATTGATTCTTAGGAAATTCATTCCAAATCTCTGCTGATCCACACCTTTCCGTCTGAATATTTTGGTTCACTCAGTCCCTGCAACTGAAGTTTAAAGTTTAACATCAACATATTCTTGCTTTTAGCTTTACTTGTGAAATGAGTGTAAGAATTGACCCTGTCCAAGAAAAAGAATGATTTTCTACAGACTGAAAGGAAAGTAAATTAGAGATTACCATTCTTCTCTCTAAAAATTATTAAATAAATTGATTCGTTTTCATTTCTATATTCCTGCAAATACAAACATGCCAACTTTCAATATATCATTCCTTAATAACCAATTTTGTTGCTATTCTTTTTGTCTGCAATTTCAATTATTTCAAATTACTTTTCAGTGATGGTCACTAACATGAATCATTTCAAAAAAAGAATATATTGTTTTACTTATACCCCTTATATGAATAATTACAAAAACTTTCATAGCAGTGCGGCAAGATGAGAACTCATGTTTAGAGGAAGATGCCGATTTAAAAATCAAGAGGCCAGTTCCAAAGAAACCTTGGACTCTTTCTGAAAAGACAGTGATATAAGGAAAGATGGCAAGCAGTCTTCAATAAACTTAAGCTTTGAATGAAATAAAAATTTCTAAATGCTTAATCAGGAACACATGATGTAAAACCATGAAATAAAAGATAACACCAAACAGACACTTTTCTTAACTACAAAAACATGCATAAAAATAATTGGATAAGTAGAAGAGGAAGATATGGGAAAGATGAGCCAAAAACCACAGGAATAACTTGGAAACAACCAATCAATTAAAGGAACCTCTGATTATTTGCTATTCTTCATTTGGACAGTTGCTGGCGAGTTTATAAAAATAAACTAGGGTAACACTTAATGCCCCCTTCGGTGACGGTGGGGGCATTAAATACACATTACAAGGTCAATATGGTCCATTCTACAGCTTCTTTACTGAATTCACATATGTATGGTTATATAGATTCTGATCTTGTCAATCATACGTTAGGTAAATCTTATGTTATAAATAGCATAACTTACCTATCTCTATTTTTAGATAAAAGCGATCTATCTATTCCATTCATTAAATTTTCAAAACATAGAGCCATACTCTGTTGTTTGTCATTTGGTTGATTGGATATAATATTGTCTCGTAATTTGTTGAAATACTGAAAACAAAAATTATAGGAGTGTTAAATTTCAGTTACTGTGTGATGTAAATACTCCCATTTATGCTTCGTTTTTTTCATTATGGTCATTGATACATAACTTTATGTCATAAAAGAGAAAATATTTAGGTTAATTTAACCATGGTCTAAATCAATTCATAATTTGCTTCTTAACAGCCCAAATTCTAAGCTTCACAATTCCTGATTAATTTTGGTGTTAAATGTCTTTTTTTAATCAATATAATTGGTTTTACTTACATTTTCATTAAGTAATATAAGACCTAATAATGGACGTGACATGGACCACTGATTTCTACAGTCTTCAAACATAATGATATTCAACACTGTAGACAACATCTGAAATAACAAACTACATTTAATAGTTTGAATTATTAATTACTTATACTGCAGTTCTATGTGCATGTGGATGTGTAAAATATGTTCAACATGAAAAGAAATATGCTCGATATAATCCATAATAATGGTGTTTTCTGTTTATTTAATACTGTCGAATACAAATGTATAAACATATCTTACAAGCTTGAGACTTATTCTTAATTACTGTTAAAATCATTAAATCTTGATTCTGTAAATTACAATATCTATCAAATACTAATGTTGTCCTACATTATTCTTCCTTCTGTAGTCCCTGAGATAACAGTAAAAGTACAATCCTTCAAACCTTCCAAAATTATGTAATTTGTTTTTATAAGTAATTACAATATGGTCAGGTAATTTCAGTACAGAAATGTTATTTGTGATATCATATACATCTAAAGCTAGACAAATTTGACCGAAAGGGACCATTTTACACATTGTTTTTTTGTAAAATAAAATATGAGAAACAGATTATCCAAAAAATATTTCACATACATTAAAACTTTTGTACAGGACACTTAGTGTCAATCAATTTTTGTTAAGAATGTTGCTCATTTTCAAAAATAAGAATAAGATCATCTAAAAATTCGTAAGGGTTCCGCGGAACCCAGTGTCTCGCCTACTTTTGCTGTTAATCGCAGGCTCAACAAAAATGAGGAAAAAAAATAATAACAATATTACTTTCGATACAATCTTTTGATTGTAAGAAGCTTCTGTCCCAATTTGGTAAAAATCCAGGATAGTTTATGAATCTAATAAATGTTTTAAATCTTTAACTGCAGACTGTATGTAATGTTAACTGGAAGAAAAACTAAATCCATTTATAAGTAAAATACTGATAAACAGGTTCAAAATTTTTAAAAATTTCCTTCAAGATACTAGCTTTTGATCATAAACAAGCTTCTAACCAAGTTTGGTACAAATCCAGGATAGTTTAAGAAAGTTATTAAAATTTTAAAAACTTTAACCACAGAGTGAATGTAATGTTAACTAGTTAGGCAGAAAAACTAAGTCCATTTATAAGTTAAATACGGAAAAAATGGAATTTTGTTTTTTACAAATTTACTTCTGGGTACTATCTTATGATCATAAACAAGCTTCTGTCCAAGTTTGGTAGAAATCCAGGATAGTTTAAGAAATTTATTAAAATTTTAAAAACTTTAACCACAGAGTGAATGTCATGTTAACTGGCAGAAAAACTAAGTCCATTTATAAGTAAAATACGGAAAAAAAAGGATTTTTTTTTTACAAAATTTAATTTCTGGATACTATCTTATGATCATAAACAAGCTTCTGTCCAAGTTTGGTAGAAATCCAGGATAGTTTAAGAAAGTTATTAAAATTTGAAAAACTTTAACCACAGAGTGAATGTAATGTTTCCTGGCAGAAAATCTAAGTCCATTTATAAGTAAAATACGGAAAAACTGGATTTTTTTTTTTACAAAATTTAATTCTGGATACTATTTTATGATCATAAACAAGCTTCTGTCCAAGTTTGGTAGAAATCCAGGATAGTTTAAGAAAGTTATTAAAATTTCAAAAACTTTAACCACAGAGTGAATATTTGTGGACGCCGCCGACAACGACGCCGACGGAATGTAGGATCGCTATGTCTCGCTTTTTCGACAAAAATCGAAGGCTCGACAAAAATGAGGCTACTTTGGCAGATTTTCCTTAAAGATGTCTTTGATGTATTTTGTTTTCAATGAGTTACCGCCTCATGAACATACACTCCACACCCTTTTACGCATATAAAACTTCACTCATGAGCAAGTATCAAAACCAGGGCTTCCAAAATTTCCTGACGACAGCCGGACATTTTTCAAAGAAATATTTTTGACGGTCAATGATCAGCTGGATACTTAAATGTAACTGAGAGGATGCATAAATTGATATATGTGTCTAAATAATTAGTAGTGTTATATGCAATAAAATTATTTATAACTGTTTTGTTTTCTTCATTCTAAAAATAAATAAAATATTATCCTCGGTATTGTGTCATTTTTCTGTGTATCGTAATACAGTAACCATCATTGCATCAATCAGCTTCAGTACCTGACTGTTCTCATGTTTTTGTTTCTGTTTATATAATCTATCTTCTCTCTGTGAGTACTTAACACTTTGTAAATTAAGGCCATCTTATTTGAAACTGTTGATGTTGGCTTTAATTGCAGTACAACTTGATCATCAATACACGTGATACTTTTCTTTTTGTGTATTGATTACCTGACCACGTGACTTTTAGAACTGATGCGGTATTTATAGATAACATTGAGGAGGCCCGATGAAGGATATTGTTTTAAACCGTGTAAAATCTACTGAACAGTGATAACATTTTTCTTTGTACAATTTCCCAACCTGATTTAGAAAATAAGGAATAAATAAAAACATACTCAGTTGATAAATAATTTAATGAATAACAACATGATATTTTATGTAAGCATATAACAACAATAAAATGTCAGAAGAGCACAATGCTGACAAACACACGCAATAAATATTACAATGAGCACATTGAAAAGAAGCACAGATCACAGCACAAGATTAGAGTTCATTTAGTCTAATTAAAGATTTTACATTCATGAGCTTGCTAAATGCATTGTTCTGATAAACATGGCGGTTACGAACGGATTGCCATTTGCGGATAGCAGGAACAGGGTCAAAGTCTTTAACATCTACACCTACTAAGCTTATCCTCATAAGTTGATCTAAAGCGTCAATACATAGACTACACCTTAGTCGATCATAATTCCCACGGCGGGACTTAACTTTACGTCGGACATCACCTCTTTCTCTATAACATCGGAAATTGTCTGAATAAATTCGGAGCAGGCATTGTTCTCTTGATATAATTTAGAAGTGATCACGGCACCATTTAACTTAGTTAAATCATTTATTGACTGAAATTTGTCCATTGGTTTTTCCTATATATTTTAGTAAATTTTCCCCTTGAGAGTACCCCAGTATTTAACACGATGTACAGTGTTAAATAAAATAATATATATCATACTTATTCATTTATAAATATCCTTATTTGAAGAATAATTTTTAATTTCAGGATACTTTTAAAACTGAATGCTCATTTAAAATAATATCTATAAAGCGTAATTAAATAGGATGTTGTTCCATACACGCTTACATGTTTGACCTCGTTTACCGGATTACCTTTATGTACATTGTTATGCATCATTAATTCTATTGATAAAGATAAGCTAAGGACACCTCATCAAAGGTAACAAACCTGTAATCAGTGAATGATTTATGGCTTCAATATAACTTATTGAAGGGATAATTGTTTGACAGCTTGTTGTTATTTAAATAAAAGAAAACGTGTTTTTTCTACTTTTTATTGATGTACACAAGCTAAAGACCAAGCCGTACATTTATGTACCCAGAGGATTAGACTAACTGAGACACTTCACAGTATCTGAAATATGCTGCTTCTGTTTTATTAAACCCAATTATGACCGAAATATCTTTGTGAAATAGATTGCCACAATTATAAACTAAAATGCCCAAACGGACATGCCCAAAGCCCCAAACGGACATTTTTATCGATCGATAGTTGGTAAAAATTGAAATGACCGTTTCATGAAAATGCCTTGAATAACAAAATGTGGCACACCAATTCTATTTGACCGTTTGAGGCTGAGAGCAGCCGGTCTTTTTATGAAAGTTTCGGTCAAGTCCGGAATATATGACCGTTTTGGAAGCCCTGATCAAAACCAGATGTTAGTTAAGCAGATATGTTTTTCATGTTTATTTCAGTAAAACTTGAGACAGTACTATGATAGACTTTAATAATTAGGCCTTATTTTCTCATTTGAATTTTTTCAAATTTTTCATGTTGGGCGGCGCTTTTTTTAGCCGACTATAAGGTATGGGGTTTTCTCATTGTTGAAGGCCTTATGTTTGCCTATAATTGCTAACATTCACTTCATTTGAATTCTAATGGACAGTTGTCTCATTGGCAATCATACCAAATCTCCTTATTTTTACATCAAATGTGTATGTTTACATTTACCAAGTACAGTCGACTCCACTTAATTGCATACCGCTTAATAGCATAATTCGGTTAATTGCATAGTTTTCTCCTGCACAAAACCATTTCCCATTCATCTAATGTTAAATTGTCCGGTTATATGCATAGCTCTACAAGTGGCCTTTCGGTTTATTGCATAGAAAATTATCGCCATCTAGATATGCTTAGTTAAATCTATCGAAATTTTTGACCGGAAACGGCAAGTTGGTGAGTATATTTTTCTTGAATGCATCATTATTTTCATTATTATTTCATATTTACTTTTGTGTTATTCAAATAAAGTTTTAAAACAGTTTCTTTCGTGTTTATATGATTGAATTTGATTTAAAAATAAACCTCGATATCTACACAGGTAAAGTTTCCCATGTTCTATTTTAAGCCTCGAGGTCATAAAAATGTCAAACAGGTAATTGTTGTAAAAACACTGACCATTCTATCTAAAAAGGTGTAAATAATTGATTGGATTTCAAACACTGTCAATAGATTACATTTGGGGTGAAATTCAAAAACAATAACGCCTGCTAATTATCGATCATTATCCAATGTGAACTCCCGTAATTGGGCTTGGGGTGATCTGCATTTATGTTAAATATTACAGGGCATTTTTATATGGTTCAAGAATTTTATACATCAATCATTTAATTTTAATATATTTTGAAAAGAGCATTTATTTCTAATTATTATATTTTCTCACTTTCAACACTCGTGTCCAGCAAATAACCCGTACAGGGCCCCTTTACTGCTTTGCATATACGAAACTATCGAAGTCAAATAAACAGTGTTACTTCACTCTGCAAGCTGTAAATATTGTATATCAAAGGCAGTTTAGTACACATCTATTGTTAAAATGATTATAAACTGTGTAGTTTTGTTAAACAGTTTATTTTAATCAAAAGGGTAACATTGTACATTGAACATACGGGTCATAGAAACAAATCTATTTTTAGAACGAATTTATTTTCGTATCCCAGGTAAACTGGTAAAGGAAACGTCGGTACGCAAATAAACTAAAACAAAATGTGTTTATAATCTTTATTGATATAATACAAAATAAAATAACATGTATGACACTAGACATATAACTTTTATTAGAATAAATCAACATTCAGTATATTGTAAGTAGATTATAGACGTTCATCTTTCTTCAGGGATTTCCTTTACTGATCTGTTCTATGGATGTTGCTTGACTCCGTAATTTGGCATTTCGGATATAAGCATACTCCGCTTTATTGCATAATTTTGTCTGACAAATAGGCTATGCAAATAACCGGAATGTACTGTACTTGCAAAATAAACAAGAAATTGGAGTCTCATACTCAGCGTGATACTGAAATTCATGTGTTGTAATTCAGATAACAATGATTTATTGTTTTTACTTCTTCTGAAATTGACTTTACAGTAAACTTATCAATGAGTCAAACCTGTTGCAGAATGTCTGGATGTAATTCTAAAATTCTAAGGAATGCTTCACTATCACTGACTGCTCCTGGGGAACTTTTTTTCTTCTTACTCGTCAGTCTTTTAAATAAATATGTGATGACTGTATCTAATGTGGCACAGCAACCTGTACATACCATGGTATCTATAAAATAAGATTTAAGATATATACAATTTCTAAAAAAAAAAAAAAGCGTCACAATGATCAAATTGTATCTAAACAGGGAACTGTTTCAGACTGGTAATGAATGAAAATCTGTAACAAGAAGACTGTTAATCGTAACACCATAATTTTAATCCAAAATTAGTAACAACTAGGGAAAAAATCGTAACACTTGGCAACTATGCCTGTACTGTTCTTGGACTAGTAACAGTAGAGTTTTTGATTATTATAAAAGTAGATTATATCTAAACAGGGACACATTCTGTAAGAAGACATGAACAAATCCAATATGCCTTTTCTTCGAGAGGTAAAGGCATGGATTACTATGATGAGCTATAGAAATCTTTGTTTTTCTGATATATTTCTACTTCTTGTTAGATTCCCCAGATATTGACCCATATCTGACAAATACTTGAAAGTAAAGTAGGTAACAATCAACAGCTTCCTTAACACACACACACCAATTTTGGGAACAACAACTTTTCTTTCAAATTTCACTTAATTCACAAATGCAACTATCAAAGCATATTTCTAATCAGAAATTTCACTTAATTCACAAATGCAACTATCAAAGCATATTTCTAATCAGAAATATCTGGAAAATAGACAATCCATACAAGTTCAGTATTACTGTACAATTTTTCAACCAATTTACATCTTTACATATTATGAATAAACAACAATATACTGAACCTTGCTAGTTAACTTTTACATAAATAGTACCTACCTAATGCAGTTAATCCCTCTGATATTGTTGACAATATATACAGAAAAACCTGAGGTTCTAAGTTACTGATGAAGGACATATGGTCATTGGCTAAACATTCTAATAAACCATAATAATTCTGACTAAGTTTAGGGTAATCCTGTAAAACATAATCTGTTTATTAATAAACCTATAAATAAAACAACTAAGTTAAAACAATTCTATAAAATAAATATGTTTATCAAGAAATATTATAGTAACAGTTATTGCTGAATACCAAAGAGTATCATTTCGTGGACTGTCTAGTATTAAAGTGGGACTTGGTCTTTCTGTATAGTGTGCGCTATTTAGTTAATCACTGAAGACCTTCCAGTATTAAAACTGTTATGATGAAGAATTTTCCTTTGTATAACTTCCTGGTATGTCACATGCACGTTTGCTCTTACTTTTTTCCATTACATGATAATATTCTGAAGTCAAAAATGACAAGATAATATTAATCTTATTTATTCTGTAAATTTTATCATCTATCTAAAGAAATTCTGACACATTTAACCGTTGAGTACTGCCAATATAACTCAAGTACTGAACAAAACTAACATTGTGATTCAGCTACAATATAATTTTCAGACAAGACAAGGACATTTCTCATCTCCTTAGAAGGTTGCCCCTTATTTTTATTTCTCTGTACATATATTTTTTGATCAATTCCATGAAAGTTTGCCCAACTAATCAATTTATTTTGACTCTCACAGGATACCTATTTGTCATGTCAGCTCTGTTTCATTAACTAATTGACCTTTCTTTCAAGAATAGATTACTTATGCTACCCATTGACACAATGAAATACTCACCATTAAATCTCGTTGAGATACAGATAACAATAATTTAACAAACATATTTAACACATCATCTAAAGCATCGTCGCCATACAGTCTGAACACACCAAAATTCACATAATTCCCACATAAAGCTGCCTTTAACATTGAAAAACATATAGATATTCCTTTTAATCTGGTTACTGTTAAGGTTCATTATGTATATAAATAAAGATATTTAAAAACATTTGTACATTAAACTACAAATGTGTCAAACTAAATTTTAGCTTAAGTATGAAATTATTATGTTGTAAGTGAAATTAATCCTGTCATAAGATACCAACAACAAATAGTTTTCTTTCGCCAGTTTATTCTTATGTATCTTTTCAAAATTCAAACTAATTTTCTAACTTTTTGTCTTTATTTCTGTAAAACTATTATATAAATGTTGTTCAAAAACTTGTCTGTAAAAGATCACATCAATTTTGTCTTTTATTTTTCACCACAAGTCCTTCCTTTCTCCCTATACTTATGAACATATGTTCTTGTTTATAATTTGAACTGAAGGATACTTCATTGAATAAATCTGGTCCTTTGGAACATCACCTAAGGAAAGAACTCTGGAACCTAGGGAAAAAAAACATATTTGATCAAAATATGATTTATTGTAAATTGTAATATGTATTCATGCATGGATAAGTTATAGTTCAGATCTTAAAATGCTCAAAAAATATTTTACATTAAAAAATTTCAAAAGAAAACCATGTGTACTTGCGATAACAAACTGCTATCACATATATGTCATTCTTCTTAAGTTGACCAGACTGCAACTTTAAATAAAAGGGATATTTGCAAATGTGTAAAATAAATATTTGCCCATGTGTAATTGTCAGTGTTTTCACATGTATATAACAATATGACCCAAATGTTTGTTTTTCTACAAGTCTTAAACTTTAACCCCTTTAACCTGATATAACTACCAATATGTTTACTAACTTTAACCTACCATAACTGACAATCATTTTACTGACTTCTCTAAACAATAAATAACCATTTGGTGATGAGACATCAAACATTAATCTTTGTGATCTGTAAAACAATGTATAGACATCTGTTAAAAAAATGGAATTAGCATTTCAGTGTTTCATTAATCAAATTTGAAAGTTTGAGTCATTATTCTATGGTCATTAATTTGGCAACAAATATGCTTTATTATCTTTTACAACTTTAGGACTAAATCTAATGCATTCACTTGAAATGAGTCTTATCCAAAAAGATATTTCATTACAAGATGTCTTTATATACAAAGATGCTGTTGTGGGTAAAATATATTTTGCGCTACTTTTGTCAAAATCCAATTGTAAAATGGTCATTTTAATTTCAACATGTTTAAATTGTTTACAACATAACAGCAACATCAAGTATGACTAAAATGACTAGATCACATGAAAGATTTGCAGAATTTTGCTTTTTTTGCAATTTAAGGGCAAGCTTATTGCCCTTATCATTCTTTCTCCTTCCTAAAAAAAAATTGGTTGGAAACAAAAATGACATGAATTTAAATAAGAAACACAATATTCTTATATGCCTTACCTGCTTTGAGCTAACTCTGTGACAAGTTTCAATATAGGTGTTGTAACACATGGCTGTGGATACCAAAGTTCTATGGCTCTATGTAATACAGGAGTATAGGCTGGATATCTGCATTATCAGTTAAGAAAACCTATATTTGCTATGAAGAAAATCAAATAAAAAATAAAAGTTTTACAGTGTTCAAACACTATTTACATTCATTGTGTGTCAATTTTAAATACTTTAATCGTTTTGACCAGATAGTACATGGAAGATTACTGCATAAAATTGGTCCAGTCTGATGTGGTGTATAGTATTAATACATCTTGCACTAAAGGACCAACTAAAGATTGTTTATTTGCCAATGCAAGCACCATTTTACATCAGTTACTCAAATAACTGATGCAAATATTTTACCACAAGACAGCTATGGGTATTTGTTGGAGTTATATTATTCCCATTATAAATACACAGACATAACATATATTCAGCTTTGAAAAGGATACATCCAGTCAAATAGCATCATAAAACTAGTTTTTGTGTTAAAAGCAAATGCTAATCCCCTTAAATCTCTGGCTAAGCCCACTAGTGATCTCTGTAAAAGAAATAAAATAGACATGTTATTAAATCAAATATCTGATTTATACAAATATAAATGAGAATGTACCTGAAAATTATTGATCTTTTTAAAACCAGGAAAATGACAGAACAGGAAATTAAGTGTCATTGAAAAAATCTTGAAACAGAGATGGTCAATGGAGATGTCTACCAATGTCCTTTCACTATCTGTGTCATGACTGTAAGTCAATGTTCTCCCTATGGCATTTAAGCATGGTAATGTAATGCTGTATTGCTTGTTTGTAATGCTAACACAAATAATTTTCTTATAGAGTGATGAAATAAGATGACGCAAGAAAGTGAAATAGAACTGTGGTTGTGCAGCTTTTCTTATAAAGTGTGAACATTTCCACCCTAAATAGGCCACAAGATTAGGTTTTGGTGAAATTTGGTAAAATCGTGAGAATGTCTACCATATTTAGACCTAGAAAACATAAGAGCACAGGCTTTGACAAACAAATATTAAAATCAGATATGTAAAATGTTACAACTAACACTATGTTGAAAAATCTTTCTTGTCGACGCATGTGCTTTATGTTTCCAGTCCAAAACATCAATGGAAATTTACTTGTTTTCTTGAATTTTTCGTGGAAAATCAAAATGTGTGCTAATTGTGACGTCATTAAAAGAACGCTTATATGTAAATTTTCAACGAAAAGATATATTTCATACCAAGTCATTGTTATAACTATAATTATTAGTAATTTTAATCATAAATCCTATTTTGAAATTAAGCTAGAAACAGGTGCCATTTTAAGGCTTTATCAAACTTACTCCTATGTGTGTAACCTGGTAAAAAAAATAGTATTTCCTCAAAGATTAAATACCTTTGCTTCTTCTGATTTGAGTTGTATATTTACATCAGACAGCATGTTTCCTACAGCTTCAAAAGCAGCTGTGAACAGAATAGAAACTAACTAATAAGAAAAAAGAGACATATTGTATAAACATGAGGTAACAATCTGACAAAGTATAGTTAACCAAAATTCAAAGGAATGCTTCATCTATTGCTGTTCTTGATACAGAATTTGTCAATAACTTTGATCATTTCCACCTTACAGCAAGAGAAAGACATCCACAGAAATATATTCTTTTTTAATAGTTGCAGAATATAAGAAAATAATGGAAACTGACTGTGTGATTCGAATGTACTTGTGAACAAATTCATTACTTCTATATTCTTTCCTTTTCTGTGTGCTATTTTCAATTTTTTAAGTTCATTCTTTCTTTGCTGTAATACCAGACTTATCACCATCTTAATATATCAATGTAATTCTTTTGAAAAGTTGCAAAGCCTGATGTTTGCTAATCATAATGCACAATTGCTTTACAAGGCTTGAATGCATGAGTCTTACCTGTTAAAGGCATCATAAACTGGTCAAATTTGTCTTCATCTTCACCAAGATCAACAAGTAACAACCTGCCAAGGGCAGTATAAAAAGTTGTTCGACATCTCATGTCTGCCATGGTTGTGCTGGTAGTGTTAATACCAAGGAATGGAAAATGTTCACTCTGAAATTAAAGAAACAAATAAAGTAGTAAATACCAACGTCAAATCTGAATATTAAATCAAGCGAGTCAAACTCAGTTAATACTTTTGTAATGTTTTTCTTCTTCTTTTTCAAATTCATCAACAGACAAGTTACATTTTGGAATGAAGCAGGTTCAATTTAAAGACAGTTTTCAGTTGAGAATTCCACTGAATTTTATGTGTTCAAACAATTCCTCACTAGTATATATTATTTTCAAGTTTAAACAAAATACACTGATCTAAATGTTTTTATTTGGAGTTAAGATAAAGAAGCACTAATTTAGAATCAATCTCAAAAGTTCAAAATAATTACTGATTCAGCGGTCTTCCTTCGAAGACTACTTGCCACTTGACAATAGTTTTTTTTGGAAATAAAGGTCACTGGTCTTCTTTGTAATTATGCAGAAGTATCTTAGAACCTTACTTAATTCATCATTACCTTACAATAACTAAACTGAATCTATGACATCTGACACACACAGAACTTACAGTATGATTATTTAACATGAATTGGACGGCTTCTAATTTTACAAGTTTTCTAACACTGCTGTATCCTACTGAGAGATCACTAAGTAGCTGCAAGGTTTTTGATATGATCTGCTCACTCCTGGCCCAGTACTTCAAATTTGTAATTCTGCAATTAAAATAAACCAAATATATATGTATTTTTCTTTCTGCAAAATTTAATTCTGATTCATTATATTAAGGAAATATTTAATGAGACAATTCTCTTCATGTTAACACTTTCATTATATGCCTGGACCTTTTACAGCAGTGTACACAGTGAAATTTCCTTCAAATTTTCAGGATTTATGCTCAAGTAAAAAGTACAATTATTTAATGTAATTTGTTCTTTATGAAATGTGGTTTTGTAACTTAAAATATTCAAGTACAAACTAGCTGTCCTCAAACAATATAACTTTTTTTCACTGTTTGTCTGAAATCTTATCAACAGGTCTGTTACTTACATTTTGCCTATAAAAACACTTAATACCATAGATTCATCACTTAGTCCTAAAACTTCTGATAATTTTCTATAAACCTGAAAATAAAAGAGTTGAATCAAGAAGTACACATGAAAGCAAATGTCTCCACCCAAAATTCATTGAATAAGTTACACTGAGTATTAGTCTTAACAAACAAAGACTTATTTTATGCAAAAAATACATGAAATTATTTTCACTACAAAAATGAAACAAAAACATAAACTTTGTAAGAGCTGGTGAAAACATTGGGAAATAACTATCAATTTTATTACTGTGATCAAAACCTGATAAAAAATCTTTTATATAATGTGCTGCAGGTGAATTGGTGAATAATTTACTTAACAAATGTAAAATTTTGAAGATCAGCAGGTTGTTGTGAATTAATAAAATGATTGGGTCATATGTATTTTTGAAATTATGCAGGAAAATTCTTTTTCAAAAATTAGCATTGGCCAATCCAAAAGAATTAAATACCAAACTGATGTTGCCTAAATAGTTACCACCTACCTTAGACATTTTATGCACTTGATCGCCCACATAAATTTTTCTAAATTGTTCAAAGAAACTAAGTATTGCAAGATCTAGTTTTTCACAACCTCCCTGAGCTATTCTTGTGTCTGTTAGGTTCATTAATTGTAAAACCCTAAAAATAAACATGTATTATACAGTTATCATAATCAATAATCAAACACATTTTAAAGCAGTAATTAATCCATTATAAATGTTTATACTTATATGCCAATCAAATAAATATACTGTTGTATAAAAATATTAAGTTGCATGTATGTTTGGTCGATGAAATTGAAAAAGATAAGAATGATACCAGTCAAGAAAATAAATATAAAAACATCTAATTTTGTCTCAGGATATAAATCCTGGTAAAAATTCATGTCAACAAAATTGCTACATTGTAGTCAAAAGTTAAAATTAACCACACATACAACCAAATATAAGAGCCGTCCAATAAAAGACCTCTAAGAGTTTGTTCAAAAAATGAAATAAAAGAGAGAAAAACATTGCATACTTTTTGTTTCTTTCACTGCAACATGGCTTAGGAGCAAATATAGTAATTGAAGTGTTCAGTTGAATAATCAAAGTGCTTGTTAGCACTGAAGGGTAAAGATTGCTTTAATTTATCAGTGGGAAGTTGATTAAATATTGCATTGTATAAAGCATTGGTTGTAGTTGATTCAACTACAATTCTGGACAAAGGAAGATAAAAGTATAACATCATTTTTTGACTTGAATATCTGAGTGTTTATTTCATTGATAAATTTCTGGAAATGTTCATGGATGGGATGTATAGAATGTTGTGATCAATGCACTATATTCTGGAATGGTTTAAATAGTATTAATTTATATATACCTGCATGCTAACTCCCCATCCATGGCATCATGTTCATCTGTACTGGCAAAAGACACCCTTCCTCCTATCACAGCACCAATTATATATACCAACCAAGATAGACGCCCTAAAAGTGTAGTGTTTAGATAATCAAAATTAATAGGAAAGTTTCAAGGAGTCAATTTTAAACAATCAAAAGAACATGGACACGCAATTTTTTTTTATAGTTTTCCATGAAATGCCAAACAATCACTTGCTAAATATTTCATAATCAATAAAAATATTATTTAGCAATACAAATTACATTTAGTCTACAGTCTACATTTATATCAAATATTTTTGATGCAGCATTAACTGCTTTATTCCCCCTCTATACATACCTTCCTGTATGGTTAATTCAGCCCCAGGTGACCCTGCTGACACTAATTCCTGGTATCTCTGAGCAGCTTCGTCAAATAGCTGTACTAAAAGGTTACAAGTTTTGTCATATTCACACCGGCCTATACTGGATATCTGAAAATTGAATGTACGAATTTTAAGTTAACCTACTGTATAAGAAATTACAGACTTTATGGCAGAAGTAATACAGTAAACCTTGATGATGATGATGATGATGATGGATGGCTGCTTCACGTCCAGCGGCAAATAAATATGCATATTCAGGGCGAGAACATATTAATGTAATATGAATATTAACCCTGCTTTAAACTAGACCTACATGCTGAGCTGGATTTTTTACATGCTAGTTCACTAGGTATCAGTCTGCAGGAAGACATATTACCTTACCCAGACATATTATTCTGACTCCCAAGCTGACCAGTCTTTGCTCTTACTCCTTAATGCTGCATGCTTAGCGGAGAAGCAGCAAATACCAATTTTAAATTCTTTTAAAGTTCAAACCCACAACTTCCGGCACTCAAGGAGAACATGCTACCAAGAGACCACAGAGTTGGTTCAGTAATTCTTGACATTGGTGTAGTAAAACAGCTGACTGCAAGAAAACTAGTTATAACTGATCTTATGAGGTATTATGATATAAATATAACTTACTTGGTCTAGCTGTTGTGTTATCATCCCTGAATCATCTAAAGGGTCATCTAAACCATCCCTGAAAAAGTCATAATTAATTATGGCTATCTAAAAATAAAATCATTTGGATAGTCACTAAAAATCAACAATTTATGGCTGGTGGTTGAGTGAATAAAATGCCTTCAAACTTCATTCCACTACAAATTTTAAAAGAATAGCTCTTTAATAAATATTGCTAGAATCATGTAATACATTTCCATACCATATTCCTATATGATATCTCATCAGACAACAATTGAAAATAACTACAGAAAAGTTGTTTCTGATTTTTGTAAATTTTGGTAATTGCTGTCGTCATTTCATCAACTTGCTGATAGTGATAGCCCTACATAAATCAGTCTAAATAAAATTAAAGACCTTATTAGTACTAATTGGGGAAAATAGTATCCTTATATCATGAAATTCTTATTTAACCTGAATCACAGTACCATTTCTGGATAGGTATCACTTCAAAAAACTAACTGAATTATAACATTAACATTTTTATCCCTGTGACAGCTTTACCAACTGAAGTCATGGACAAGACACAGAATCTGTAAATATGCTTTTCACAGTCTATTGTAATCTATATTTAGATATTTTCAGATATGATAACAGTTTATAATTTACCATTATTTGGTGATATGAAAGTTTTCAATGCTTGATTAAAAGTGTTCTTACAACAAGTAGAAAACTTACTTGACTACGACAGTAACAGACTCCAGACGAGACATCACATAAGCCTTCATCACTTCTGGAGTGTAGGTTTCTAACATGTGAGGTTCTGTGGCTTTCACATACGGAACAGAAGCCACCATCCTCTGCCACAAACTTAAAAGGTAATGAACACTGTTTGGGGCAAACTGCCACATTTGCTGAAAATAAATAAGTTTCAAATTTAAAAGCTTTAAATACTTTAACACAAAAAAACTAGCTCAGATATAAATTCCTTTTTATCACTCATCTCAACAGTAAAACTAAAATTGGGGATATAATTAAATGTCATTTCTGTGAATTTGCCAGGAATTAAAAGCAGACGTAATGAGAGAAAAAAATTGCACACTTTCAAAACCACAAAACAAGACTCTTAACACTGTCAAGTACGATTTCAATCAGCTCCTTCTCTAACGAGACGTCTTATAAACTTGAAATTTTATCTTTTTTGTTGGCATTCACAGACACCACTGTGACTCTTAAAAGCTTTAACATTGATAATATAGAATAACTCAATGACTGAGTTACATTTAATCTAATTTTTAAAATATTTTAATCTAATAACTTTTCTGTTATCTAAGAATAAACTGTATATAAACTACCATTGTATAGGAATGCCAGTATTAAACAGAGCCCCAAAAAATTTAAATGTTGTTATGTTGACTGTTGAAAACTGGGATAGGTCAAGGTATTTTGCCAGTCCTGATAAATTCCCATTTGTTCGATGCAGTAGAGCTCGATTGATTCGAAATCTCAGTTAACTCAAGTATATTTTGAAATTACTTTGAAGAAAATGAATATAAACCCAGATGTCCTGAAGTTTGAAGTACAAGTAATTTTGGAGGGAACAGAATATATTTTCAGTTAGAAGATGTGGTATGATTGCCAATGAGACAACTCTCCACCAGAAACAAAATGACATAGAAGTCAACAACTATAGGTCACTGTATGGCATTCAACAAAGAGAAAGACCCATACCTCAAATGTATAGTTATTGCTTGTCGACCTGACCAGATAGCAAAGTTGAAAGTTTAAAAACAAACAGTCCAAGGATTTGTTTTGTTCCATTAGTACTTACATGCATGTATTTTTACTGACTCATCTTTGTAAACATCAGTTGTAAAATGTTTTTTTTTAGCATAGTCTCTTTTTTATATGAAGTTAATTTATTTTCTAACTCTTTCAATGCATATGAATTGGAATATAAAACATGTCTTCTATTTGAACATACAGGTTGGCAATAAAAGGGATACAGGTTGACAATAAAAGTTATATTATTGAAGCAGGAAAAACATGATGAACTTGTGACCTTGAATGACTTGAACCTCAAATGAGTCTTATAATTTTGTCAGGTCCCTTGTTTCAACTTATTGAGGTTCCACTGTACACATTAACAGTTCCAACCTATACTTGCATGAATAAATTGTTTTAAAAGACTAATCCTGGTTGCATATCTTACTAACCTGTAAACTGGTAACTGTAAATTCTGCAATGCGTTTGATGGTATCTGAGTAGTTTTCTACTTTGACTAGTTCCCCTAGCTGGTAATTTGATTTCAGTCTGGCTAAAAGGCGACAGAATTCATGGTAGTTACTAGGATCTGATAAACCCTGGAAATATTCAAACATGGAATTTAATATTTATGTAAGTTCATGTCTTGATGAACAACAATCTACAGATAATATATACTTCCACCAGTTAAATTTTCATACTGTTGCTTTCATGGCCTAATTGCTTTTCTAATGAACATCTCTAATACACATCACTGTAGAATATAATAATAAAGCTAGGGATTTGCAAATACAGTCAGTAATATTTGAAACATATGCTACACTTTGTTGTTACTCAACAAATGTTAAAAAAAATTCCAGACATTCAAATTTCTCTTCTTATAACATTAACCATGATGAATTTTACAGATAACTTTATATATTAACTTAACTATGTGGGAGGGTAGGAAGGGAAGTTTAATTATTGAATGTGGGTCATGGGTCTTTTTTCAGTATGCATCTATAACCATTATGCAAAAATTCAGACCTGGGGTCAATTACATGCCAAAGTAATTAATTACATTTCAATTACATTGATTTTTAAATGTAATTAATTCAGTGTTCCAGCTTGAATCTCAGGGCAGAAGGGTGCTAGTTGTCTGAAAGGGCACTTTAGCGTTAAAACCCAGATTTTAAGGGTAATGTTGGACCGTGTATAAATTAACTTGAATATTGCTAGGCTCAGCTGGAGAACATTAGTTGTATTTAAACCATATTCAGAAATTAATGTGTTCTTGATGTTGGTTTCAGTAAGAATTTTTTTTTATCAAATTATCATACCATGATGAAGGCATATCATTTTGATGTTAATCTAAACAAACTTGAACATTTGGTGAGGAAAAAAATCATCAGAAATTTCAATGTTTTATAACTTATACCAAAATAAACAAGTAGTTTTGAAAGATGGAGTTATACATGCAAAATTGAATGTTGAATGTAATTAAATTATCTACATTTAAATTACTTGTTCAAACATATAGTATATGTTATTGAGAGTTTGAATTGTTACAAAAATGTATTTTTAAGTGCACACCAAAGTGCTCCTCAGTAAGGAGTTTTATAAATATAACAGGTGAGACAGGAGATGATCATATTATATTGATGCAATATTATATTGCAGAAGGTATAAACAGTTACTTTTTTCTCCATTATTGTTAAAAATAAATTTTGTTGAGTGCTCCTATGTCAGGAGGATTATAAAATACAAGAAGTATAACAGGAAGTGAATCTTGTTATGTTCAAAGTACAAATTTCTTTGATTTAAATTTCATACTCATGGTTATGAAACAAAACATTTTTTACCAATAAAGTCAAAACTATATATGCCTTTAAAATTGTTTAAGATTTTATTTTTTATGTTATGCCTACTGAAATAATTTTTTTCAGGTGTACATGCTGTGCATAAACATTACAAATGGATAACATGTGGACATTTCATTCTGTATTAAATATCTAGTATTTGTTCAATTATCTTAAATCCACTAATTAGCAGTAAACAATCATTAACAAAGGGAATAAAACTGCCAAAGCATTAGGTTTTTAACTTAATCCCATTGTCAGTTAATTAGTGTTACACAATCAGGTAACAATTTTACCGGAAACGCCGGTAGGCATGAAATTTGGAAATTTTATTTTTTTGAAAAGGCAGAGGGGTGCATTCTTTTACTTTGGAGGGCAGAAGGGCGGGGGTAAGGGCACCAAGGGCGGGCCGCCCTTCTATTTAGGGCAGGCGGGAACACTATAATTACAGCACAATTAAATTGATTTTCAAATGTAATTATTTACATTACAATTACATTGCCAATGTAATTAATAACATTTCAATTACTTTTGAGCAAAGACATGTAAGAGCTATATCATTTAGAATAAATTCATAAAAAAGACAATAGGCTAGAATATTATGAAACTTTTATATATACATGAACTTTTTAACAGTGAAAACATTTTTACAAGATTTGTTTTAAGTTTTCAAATTTCTAACGTCATTGTTACATTTAATCACCATTAGTTTTTCAATGCTAATTATTTGATTGCATTTCTTAATTGAATGGGAAAAAAATTTATAAGGATTTATATAGATCCAGATAAATATATTTTTTTATTTTTTAAAAACTTTTTCTTAAAATTTCAAGTTTATATTAAAAAATATTTATTTAGATTTTAAAGGTTTTCTTATGTACCTCAGGTGAAATTTGAAGTAACTTTCCAGCTTCCATTTATTACAGAAGAAGTAATAGTAGCATTCTCCAGATTTGTCCTTTGGCATGTCAAATTTGTCAAATATATATATTAGAGTCCATTCTTGCATGTTCGGACTACTGTATTTAAACTTCTATAGAAGATGTTTAAATAAAATTCATATGAAGAAATTTTAACATAAATAGATATAATGGTTTAAAATAAAAATTGCCTTTGGCATTTTAATCAAGGGACATCATTGTACTTCATAATTAGCTAAGTTAAAGGAATAACCTGAGGTTAAGATCATTGTCAATTGTTAGAACAACATATTTACAAATTGTATGTAAATATATAAATTGGTATTGTTTTATATTTTTAGATTTTTTATGTAAACATGTGAAAAAATTAATGAATTAAATAGAAATAAAGATTGTTATACATGCTATAAGGATTAATAAAATATCAAGGAATGTTATATTTTTTCATAATGATAAATGTTTAAAAAGTATTAAAAATAAATGTGGATAGTGTCCACATGTGGACACAGATGATGCCCCCGCTTGCATATCATATAGTTATAAAGGGACATAACTGATGAACAATAAAAGTGACGCTACCCAAATTTGAACTTGATCTGAGTTTTGTGGTAATAAGCATTGTAAGTCTCATAACATTTGGTTGAGGCTAACTTAAGTAGAGAACAAAAACTAAAAATTCAGCAATTTTTCTATTTGTAAACACGCATAACTCTAGAACGGTTGTGTGTAAGTTTTATAACATTTGGTTGAGACAAACTAAAAAATTCAGCAATTTTTATGTTTATAAAGGGACATAACTCAAGAATGGTTAAAGTGTCGCCACCAAATTTCGTACTTAATCTGTATTATGTAGTAATAAGCATTGTATATAAGTTTCATAACATTTGGTTGAGGCAAACTAAAGTTAGAAAACGGAAACAAAAAATTTGTACTTGATCTTAGTTTTGTGGTAATGAATATTGTGTATAGGTTTCATAATGGTTGGTTGGGGCAAACTTAAAGTTACAGAATTGAAACTAAAAATTTTGCAATCTTTCGAATTATAAAGGGGCATAACTCAATAATGGTTAAGGTGACACTACCCAAATTCAACTTGATCTGTGTTTTATCTATGGAAGTTAAAATTAAACATTGCATTGTATAAAGCATTGATTGTAGTTGATTCAACTATAATCATGGACAAAGGAAGATAACTCCAATTTTAAAATTACTTGACATTTAGAAGAAAATAAAATTTTTGCAATTTTTCCATTTATAAAGGCCCATAACTCTAGAACAGTTAAAGTGACGCCACCAAAATTCAAACTAGATCTGTGTTTAGTGGTAATTAGCATTGTGTATAAGTTTCATAACATTTGGTTGAGGCAAACTTAAGTTATAGAAGGGAAACATAAAGGGCATAACTCTAGAACGGTTAAAGTGACGCCACCAAAATTCAAACCTGATCACTGTTTTGTTGTAATAAGCATTGTGTATAAGTTTCATAATATTTGGTTGAGGCAAACTCAAGTTAGAGAACGGAAACCAATTTTGGGACGTACGTACGTACATACGTACAGACGGACAAGGGTAAAACTTAATGCCCCCACCGCTACGGTGGGGCCATAAAAATCAAAGTACAACTGTACAAAGTGCTAATACATGTAATAAATGCAGAAAAAAATAAAATTTACAAGTAATGTTAAAAATGTTTAAAACAGCAAATATTTAAATGTAATTCAAAGTACTTGAAAAAGTAATTCACAATTACATGTCAAAAAGGCAATGTAATTCATTACTTTCAATTACATGTAATTGAAAATATGCTCAATTACACATTACATTGAATTACTTTCAAAATTGTAATTAATTACAGCTAATTACAATTACATTTTTAATTACCCCAGGTCTGTGCAAAATTATCTAAAAAATGGTTCTTGGTTGTAGGGATATTTTGAAAGTCCCTTCCTACCCTCCCACATACACTTTAATGGAATAGCCCTTAGAATTTAGTCTGTGATGTATCCATAATTTCTTTCTAAAAGTGGAGTTCACTAAATTACAGGACCTGAATGAGTCCATATAGATTATATTCCTATCATTTCATTTTAAATTTTCTGCCCAATAAAAGGGAAGCTAGGTCTCATACAATATTCTAAATTACCTGTGGGTTTTCTAATATATTCCGCACACCAACGACAATTTGATTTAAAAACTGTGATCTTTCTGTTCCGTTGAATAATGATCTCCTTACTGATGCTATTTGTACTATACATGATAATGACTGAAATAAGGTAATAAAATAATTCTTATATAAATACCATTGTGCATTGATATGCAGTGCCCTTTTTAACTTAAAATTTATTTTTATTTAAAGAAAATGGACAATTATTAGTTATAACATAGATATTTAGCAAACAAGTTGAAAAGTCATGTAATGGTATGGTGTTTATATGTTTTACAAATTTTATTTCATGTAAAATCTATTCATAAATGTACAGGTTCAACTCCAAAAGTGTTTAGACTTCAATGAAATTCTTGTGTCTTGCTTTGATAAATTTAGATTGACGGATTGTGTATAAAGACGAATATAACATGCAAATTAGGACGAGAACATGTTGACGTGATATGATTATGCATCCTGTTTTGGACTTGATAGCCAGGATGAGACAGACTTTTAAAGTGCAAGTTTACAAGTAAACAGTCCATAGGAAGAAATGTCACCCTACCCAGACACATTATTCGGACTCCCAAGGCCCAAGCCAATCAGTCTTTGCTCTTACTCCTAAATGCTGCATGTCTAGCAGAGAAGCAATAAATACCCATTTTTAAGTCATTGCTTTGACCTGGCCAGACCTACTACCACCCTCTCTCTAGGCAAACAAGTATAAGATAACCAAGGACGTTCTTTTCAATGAACATTAACTTTTACAATCCTAGATAAGTTGACAAAAATTTTGGCATAATAAAATTGCTATATTTCCAGTTTAGAATATATCTACTTTATGAAATTCTTAGTATATATACAAACCATTGATGAGAGAGATGCAGGTAAACCTGAATACAGCTCATAAAACAGGGTTAATGTTGACAGGTCTAGAAATGCTGAAATAGAAAACATAGAATAACTAACAAGACGCGGTAAACTGTTGACAGGCCTAGGAATACTGAAAAATATAATGAAGTTTAATGTTAATAATAGCCCTATGAACACTGAAAAATATAAACAGAGGACTTTTTTTTAATAGTGATGAGGTTTGGAAAATATAACTGAGAATTGGGATATTACAAATTTACGTTTTTGGTGAATTAAAAGGGCCCATAAGCCCCATTATGTATCCAACATTTTTTTCGTTTTTTTTTTTTTTTTCTACCCAAAACAACAATCTGTTATATACCTGTTCTCCAGCTAGTTGGTATTTGTACTGTACACAGCTCATCTGAAGACTCATCATTGGAAGTACCAATAAAATCAAATGTTAGACAGTTATGTGCTAGTCTTAATGCACTTGATATTAAACCATGCTAGAAAAAAACAATCATATAATCTAATAAATAACTGTTAACAATAAACTGTTGACACAGAGATATGTCTCGCCTGTCAGCATAAAATTCAGAAAAAAACAATCTGATGGACAGCAACATTGCTAATTAATTCAAAGTCACTGGACCAACAAGTGAAACTGTGAGCTACTGCTCACTGATGATACCCCCCGCCCAAATATTTCGGTAAACAGGAAGTTTTGAGTGATGAATCTGAAAACACATCACACTGCATAGCTGACTCATATAAACCCTGAAACCAAATTTCAGAAATCCTTGTAATGTAGTTCCCGAGATAAATGTGACTAAAATTTTCAACTACTTGGATGTCATGTGTAAAATGATGTAAGTGTTCGGTAAACAGGAAGTTGTTGAGTGATGAATCTGATAACGCATCACACTGTATAGCTGACTCATATAAACCTTGAAACCAAATTTCAGAAATCCTTGTAATGTAGTTCCTGAGAAAAATGTGACAAAATATTCATGAGACTAACGGACAGACAGACTGAGGGACGTACTGACAGATGGACAGACAGAGGTAAAACAGTATACCCCACTTTTTTAGTGGGTAGGGCCTCCAAATGGTTGACAAACTGAGATGTACAAACAGCAATATAACTTTATAGAAAATATTGTCTATTGTAAGTAGTTCCTATCAAACTAACTTAATCATAAAACTTAACATTGAAAATTGTTAATTGATTGAAAGTCACTGGACCATGACCAAGGGGGCAGGGCCTTAAAATAGTTGTCAAACTGATATGTACTGATAGTAATGCAACATTATAGAAAATATCATTGATCTATCATCAGTGGTTCCTATCTATCTAACTTCAGCATAAAACTTGACATTGAAAATGGCTAATTAAATCAAAGTCACTGAACCATGGCCTAGGGGGCAGGGCCTCAAAATTGTCGTCTAACTGATATGTACTGATAGTAATGCAACTTCATACAAAATATCATTGATCTATCACAAGTAGTTCCTATCAACTTAAGCAGAAAACTTAACAATTGTTGACGCCGTCATTGCAGCCGTCGCTGGAAAAGCAATCCCTATGTCTTGCTGTCGCAGGCGAGACAAAAACCTGCATAAGCATGTACAATTAAAGAAAGATGTATCAGTAAAAGAGCAAGATTCAAAAAATTGACTCAGGCAATACTTCTTTAAAAACACACATAATCAGAAAATCTAATGCATGAACAATGATAAAAATTTGGAAAGTTACAGTAGCATAAATGATGGTGGATTGATTGATTGTTGATGTTTAAAGCCACTTTCAGCACGATTGGCTATGTTCAAGCGGTCAGTTTTTATTAGTGAAAACCAGACTTTCAGCAGAGCATAAATGAGGGGCAACTCATCCAAAAAATTTAAACTAACCTGACTGTCATCTGTAAAGTTCATACTTTTAAGATTTCCAACAGCAGTACGAAGAAGTGAGCATGATAGTTGGAAGATTTCAAATAACTGTGTATCTCTAAATGATGAGGCTATCTTTCTGTGTTTGTTGATTGACCTACTTGCCTCAGCCTGTAAAATATTTTTTCAATTCCATATTTTTAAAACCTTTACAAGACACATGTGTATATTATACTATAAAGAGCAATTAATAATTTGTGTTCAGAATTTCTTTCATAATAAATGATAAATTAGCATTAATCCAAAATAAAACAATGAAGAGCATAGATAAAAGAAATAATGAAATGAGTCATCAAAATCCAAATGTTACCAATATATCTTTTTTATTTATATCACATTTAACTAAAGCTGGACCCTGAAACACACTGTTCACACACAAATTGGAAAAATATAAAGATTATGATGATTCAATTTTAGTAAAGACACTGGAATAAAACAAGAGTGCACAAGCTCAAATGTTTTGCCTGCCTTACCTATCATGATTGAATTTGTTGAAAGTCTGTAATATGAGGTTTTTACTAAAAATATTACATAAACTTATTATTATCAATGATCCATGTAAATGAGGTCAAGGTCAGACTTGCAAAATGGTATAAGAACTGGGGACAAAGAATTTCCAGACTAGATTTTTTTTCAATTATAAAAACATTTGATGTGGCAGGCATTTGCAAATTGCAAAACACAATGGTGCTGAACTAGCCAATTTATTTTCGGGTATAACAAGCTGTTAATACCATCCCAAAGTCCTGGCATCTTTGATTTTCTTTTAAATACATACCTCACTAAGCTGATTCATTTCACAGACAAGCTGAGACAGCAGTTGTACACCTATCATAACATGCTGCGTTGACCCACTCTGAAATTTTATGATTATTTATAAATATAAAATGCTAGTATCAAATGTTTTAGAAAGACGGAAAAACCATGGTGATTTATCAGGTATTTCAGTTTCAAATCATGGTGATTCGTGAAGAATTTTAGTCTCAAATTATAGTGATTTCTGTAGCATTTCAGTCTCAAATTAAGTTGATTTATGTACATGTGGTATTTTACAGTTTCAAAACATGGTGATTGATGTAATATTTTAGTTTCAAATCAAGGTGATTAATGTAGTATTTTACAGTCTCAAATCATGGTGATTCATGTAGTATTTTACAGTCTCAAATCAAGGTGATTAATGCAGTATTTTACAGTCTCAAATCATGGTGATTCATGTAGTATTGTACAGTCTCAATTCAATGTGATTTGTATAGTATTGTACAGTCTCAATTCATTGTGATTTGTGTAGTATTGTACAGTCTCGAATCATTGTGATTCGTGTAGTATTTTAGTTTAAAATCATGATGATTTGTGAAGTATTTTTTCATGATAATTTGTGAAGTATTTTCACAGTATAAGAACACAAGTTCAAATTCATGTCAAATCATTTAGTATTTTACACAGTCTGGTAATGTTAGTTTTAGTTTATGACCTTTTCCTGATGATGAAATTTTGTTTTAATAATAATAAAGATAAAATATCTATCATTGTCAAAATATGCTTCATTTTTCCTGAAAGGGAAAGTGTTTGATTTATGTGTTGATACCAAATGTGCATCTTTATTTTACTTGTATATATAAGACTTCAATGCAAGTAGATAGTATTAATTTGTATCCATCTAAATTGATAATATATTATTTTTCATTTGTGTATCATTTCTTTTCATGAAAAGGTTTACTTTAACAATTTCTTATGGCAGACAAAAGATGATTAAGATTGTTAACACCTGAGACTAAGATAAAGATGATTACCTGAATGAACTTTGTGACATCAGACACAACATTACGGAAGACAAATCCTTCATCTTGCACATCAAACCAACCAAGTTTTGTAATTCTGGCAAATAACTGAAAAGAACATATAGAAAACAAGTCTATAAGTCAAAAGTTAAACAACATATTTACACTTTAAAACAAATGCGATCCTTTGACTAATACTTCTATATCAAGTAATGTTTTACATCTTCGTGAATTCTATGTTTTACATCTTTGTGAATTCTTTGTTTTACATCTTCGTGAATTGAACTGAATTCTATGGGCATATAAAACAAACTGCATTTAAGGACTGAGATACTGGTATTGTTTAAAATGAACTAAAATCTCCAACACATGCAAATGCATTATTGGTACTGTGTGTATTTACTTTTTTTTTTGTTAGTTTTTTTAGCTTTGTGTCATTTTAATGAGTTGAGCCCTTTTCAGCTATTTTTTCCAGTTTTAAGTTGTGCTGTTACACCATTGTCAAAGGTAAGAGGAGGGTTAAGCACTCATAAAACATGTTTAACCCCTCCACATTTTGTATGTCCCTGTCCCAAGTCTGGAACCTGTAATTCAGTGTTGTTGTTGGCTTTAATTTTTTTTTTCGTGAATTGTTTTGAAAATAAGTTAGGCTGTTGGTTTTCTTGTTTTAATTGATGTACATTTTGCAATGCCTGGGTCTTTTATAGCTCACTGAAAGGTATGGGTTTTGCTCAATGCTGAAGGTTGAACAGTGACATTTAGATGCTTGCATCTACATCATTTGGTCTCTGATGGATAGCTGTCTCATTGGCAATCATTTCACATCTTCTTTTTTTATTATAGATAACTGAAAAGATAAATAGAATATGCCAGAAATTGAGAATGGTTATGGAAACTGTTGAAACTTCTTATCATGCTAGAATCTCTCAAACATACCTGTACTAAGGCCTGTAGTACATAATGAACAAGTTTTGGTCTCGTGGCCAAGTAATTCAATATATAATTCCCTGAAAAAAAAACAAAAAAACAGATGATATACTCCTCTTTCAACAAAAACCATGCTTCAATTAAATGCCTTCTAAATATCCTGTTTTAGTTTTGCAACCTTTACAATATGTGCATTAAGGTGCAGAATTCTATTATCATTTGAGGTCAACCACCACTTTTACAATGCTTACAATTTTTTGTTAAATTTTCTTATAAATTGAACAAGGATACAAAAAGAGCTTACAATAATATTCTATAGGGTAATATAAGATAAGTTGTGATAGTCTTTTTTTGTGTTCTTGATTATCATGATGATGCTACCAGACTTGTGTATAGAAGACAATAAGTATCAATGTGTCTCCTATGCATAAAGAAATGAAGACTCGCCTTAAATTTACAGATAATCTGTGAAAAAAATGTTAACAATCAAAAGATTTAATACAATATCAGGAATAACCCTCAAAGACAATCTTAAACAGCTGAACTTTAGATGAAATCAATAATTGCATTATATTCACCATATGATGACTTTTCAGTGTTTATATAAGATTATGGATTTTCCTTGAAGCCTGTTAAAACCTTGCAAAGATTTTGCAATTCATGGTAAATTTATGAGTTTCTCAAAAAATCTTTTACTTACGTATATCAATTCTTTGTTCTAATGGCAAAGTTAAATTTGGCCGAGAGACAAGCTTTGTCAAAGTTGTGGCTGCCAATAACTGAGCATAAGGAGACTGCAAGTAAATCATACAGAGTTTAATGAAGCAAATAAACTTAGTACCATGTTTACACATAAAGTTACAGCTTGATTCTCAGGGCAGAAGGGTGCTTGGTGTCTGAAAGGGTACTTAAGCACTATAATTCAGATGTTTTGGACAATGTTAAACATTGTACATAAACTGGCACATATCCTAGCCACAAAAAATGTATCCAAAGAATGAAACAATATAAAGCAATCCTGCCAAACAATGTACAGGCTGTATGTCATTGTCACATGTAATTCAAATAAATCAGTTTTTATAAAGGCAGAAAGGAACTTTTTGTTTTAAAGAGCAGAAGTGAGGGTCTGGACATTTTTTCATGTGATTTCAGTCTTTTTTTGGAGCACTAGATTGCTGGAATCTTTTAATTTTGAACTGTCAAATTTCAAACAGAATGTCATGACATATATGTATACGAACCCCTATCAATGGTTTTGCTGTATGGACTGCATGAAATTTGGTACCTGATTTTGTAAAGGCGTTTAAATATAATGTGTGGAATGCAACATTTAAAACTGCAATGACTTTAATGACATAAAACTGCAAATTGATCATGCTACTTTCATTTTTTAGAAACAAGAAGTTTTTAAAAATTACAAATAAAATCGAATTTATGATACTAATTTTTCTAGGATAACACTAAATTAACGTTTTTGGGAATCATTCTTGTAAAAGTGTTTTGATATGAATAATACTTTTTTTTTGTGGTGTATTTCGCATAATATTGATGTGCATGTTCAATAAAGCATATAATCTTGTACTTGTCCAAAAAGAGGGGCACTTGCATGCATGTCATAAATATCAGCATGTTCAACTGAAACTAAAGTTCTTTTTTAACAAAATTGTCAGTCAGGGGTTCTACTTGTACAAGTAATTTTTATTTACTTGAAGAAGTAATTATAATATACTTATATAAGTAAATTTGTAGGATACTTATACAAGTGTATTTTATTTACTTGTATAAGTAAATTATTTTTTGGCCTAGTTATGTCCCTTAGACATTCAGATTTTTTTACTAATACAAGTAAAAAAGTCATCCTATCTTCTTTTCTTGAATACTAAGAACTTCTTTGCTATAACAGAATTTTGAATTCTCTGTCCTTTGCAGATGTCTTTACTATTCATTTAAGTGTAATTTCATGGACAATGAAAATCTCATTTGTCTGTTATCTTTAGAACACTGCTCATTTACAAGCCCCCAAGGAGCAATTTTTGAAGGCCTTGCGCAAATACTTAAGATCTTTGCTCAATCAGTTTCTTTGTTGAATTAATGAGATGAAACATTGAACTCTTATCAAAAATTATGAGCTAACCTGAGAAAAATTGTTAAAGGCATGATTTTACATCTCAAAACTGAGAATTTTTGTGGGATTGTAAAAAAAATTTACTTATAGAGGTAAATTTTTTAGAAAATTAAGGGGAGATTATTCAAACAATATAATTTAAAACTTGTATAAGTATATTTTATTTACTTCATCAAGTAAATAAAAATTACTTGTACAAGTAGTATCCCTGACTGATTGTATAAAAAGCTATAATTTTAAATATAAATTATCAATAGCCTTAGCTGAAAAGTTATTTCATAATAAAATCGATCATCTGTACTTGTTCAGTATTTTTTTCTCTTATGTGTCAACACTATAAAAGAATTGCAAAATTTATTTAAAAATGCAACATCTGACAAAAGGGTGTTGATAAACTTTTCCTTTCAAAAAAAATTCTTGACCTAAATTCAAAAATACATTTCGGTCAAGTACCTTTTACTGGAAAATATGATTGATTCTGGATCCTTAGGCAGAACGATGGGTCACCCTTCTTTTCAGGTCAAAATCCTTAAAGAATGGTCATACAAGAAGATTCCAGACCCTTTGAAAAAGATTGGGTCACCCTTCTATTTAGGGCAGATAGGAATACTATATTTAATTTACATTGGTTCAAGCAAATAGATTTATCATTACAGGTGTAAAACCATTTCTTAAATTGTAAAAATCAATTAATTATATGAACATGAGTCAAAATAGTTGCAGGGTTCTCACTAAGATAGGTCCAAAGTTCTGAACTCATAAAAATTAGACTGGACTCCACATTTTCTGACCTGTCCAGTCCAAAGATTTGTTAAAACTATACATGCTATATGAGCTGTCTCCAGTCACCGTCATTTCATTTCAAAAGTTTCAAACATTTGTCTAAATCTCTATTTTCTTCCTTAATCAAAAGAATTAAATATTAAGTTAAGACCTTAATATTGTTTTTCTTCTGAACTTTGAATGGCCATAAACAGGGTGTCAATGGACTTAGTCGATTTGATTACAATGACATTTATAACTCGCTAATGACTGGTCATTGTTCAATATACTAAAGAAAGAGATATGATTATTACATTTTAGAAGGAATATGGTATAAAAAGCACAAACATCAAAATCTTTTACCTTTTGAACAAAAGCATTTTGACATATTGTTTGTTTTCCCCAGATAAATGTAAAATGCGTGTAAAGTTACCACATCATGCACATGTGCATATTTACAACCAAAGCATCTTTGATTTTCAAATACTGCAATCAAACAACAACTTTAATGCCAAAAACTATAACAATGGCCCTTCTTAAAAATATATCTTTTGATCAGTTTGTACCAAAATATTTTCTAACTTATAGTCTGAAAACCAATATTCTGACATTTTTCCTATCTGAAGTGTCTAAACAGTTTTGCAAATACTAGTCCAAATAAAATTTCACCAGTCTGGGGCATCCGATTAGTGCTTAACAGTGTAGACTGTGTGAATGAAAAATAAATGGGGAATGTGTCCATGGGACACAGATGATGCCCCCGCTTCCATATCATATAAAGTTATAAAGGGACATAACTGAAGAGCAGTAAAAGTGACGCTACCCAAATTTGTACCTGATCTGAGTTTTGTGGTAATAAGTATTGTGTATAAGTTTCATATTATTTGGTTGAGGCAAACTTAAGTTAGAGAACGGAAATGAAAAATTCAGCAATTTTTCCATTAGTAAAGGGGCATAACTCTAGAACAGTAAAAGTGACTACACCAAAATTCAAACTTGATCTGTATTTTGTAGTAATAAGCATTGTGTATTAGTTTCATAACATTTGGTTGAGGCTAACTTAAGTTACAGAATGGAAACGAAAAATTCAGCAATTTTTTTCCATTTGTAAAGGGGCATAACTCTATAACGGTTAAAGTGACACCACCAAAATTCAAACTTGATCTGTGTTTTGTGGTAATAAGCATTGTGTATAAGTTTCATAACATTTGGCTGAGGCAAACTAAAGTTAGAGAACGGAAACCAACTTTGGGACATACAGACAGACGTACGGACAAGGGTAAAACTTAATTCCCCCTCTGCTACGGCGGGGGCATAAAAAAATTAATTTGAACCTTAACTTTTGGATCAAAAAGAAGATGCAAGAGTTACTGTGCTAAACATACTCCCATTTGTTATTCAAACTTTCAAAAAACAGGAAGTAGGTGTTTGACAGATGCAAAATGTGCTCACAAATTACAAATCATTAAGGTCAAGCAGCCAACCATATGAAGTTCATTCAATATTTGAAAAATTTTAAGTATCAGCAAACAGAAAGTAGGTGTCTAACAGATCTAAGAGTGCTCAGATGTTACAACTCATCACTGTCAAGCTGCTAACCAAATATGAAGTCATTCTGTTCTGTAGTATGTAGGAAAAGTGAGACAAAAATAATTGTTGGACGAATGGACAAGGTGAATGTGATATGGCCAACACTACTAGAGTGGTTTTTGTTTGTAGACTTACATTTCCTCTTTCCAATAATAACTGACATTTGTTCAGACAGTCAGGTGATTCAGCAAACTGTATAAGGGCTTTCTCAGCTTCAGAGCGTAGATTGGTATCAGCTGTTTCATACAATTGTTTGCACAGATTTTCTAACTGCAGAAGCTCCTGCAAAAAAAATAATACTTTTTTCAAAGACAGTACAAAAACATTCTTAAATAGCACTCTCCTTTTGCTTTGTACATGTTGTATGCTAAGAAAAAAAGGTGGTCAATACAGAATACCTGCCACCCCTCCAGTAAAACGGCAATAATTTGGGAATCTTCAACAACCGGTATCACTACTGCACAGGAAATCAGAATCTACAGAATTCAAAATTATGACCTCCGATGACCATCATTCAAACCTAAGAACTCTTGGACTATTCTTCTATAAGGCCAAAATAAATAACTTGCGTGTTTCCGGTTTCCCGACCCTACATGCCCTACCTCCGTTTCCGACACCGACCCTACACATTTTATTGACAAATTTTTTTTTTTTAAATCTGGATCCGATTATTCATTTAGAATACTACTGACCTTCAAAACGTTTGATAATAACAACCAATGCGCTAAAGTAAAGTGTTTCAAGAACCAAGATCTTAAATAAACAAGCATGGCTTTTTCGACAACCAAGTAGCATATTAACTGTCAAATATTCAAAAATGTGATCACAAGGATGCTAAATAAAATGACATCGATTCTGCATAATTATGATATGATGAATCTTTTTGAAAACATCATGATGGACCTATAGATGAAAAAAATACAAAGTTGACGGATATTGTCAAAACCAACAACTCTTCAAGATTACATTCTGTTTAACATCTAAACACATTTGTATATAAAGTAGAGAGGGTGCAAGGATAGATTATTACCCCTCGAAAAATCATCATCAACCACTGCTTATATTACCATCGGTTCACATGTTTTCAAGGGGTAATAATCTGCTCCCACACCTATACCCTGTGTGCCATTTACATTTAGGTTCAACGAGGCCCAACATAACATGCCATGCCGGAATTTTTCACTGCCATTCTTGGTTTAAGATAATTCATAGGCAAGAACATATTCCTATTACAACCCATGAAATGCATAAAATTTTGATTAAAGCTTATTTTCTAAATATCAAAGAAGCAGGCACATCAAACGTTTTCATTTGGGTCCTTTTTCTACTGTCATTATTGAATAGAAAAATAATAAAATGTTTTCTTAAAATAAAATGTTTTACCTACCTACCCTACCTAATTTTTTTGGCGGTAATACATGTAATATAGGAAACACACAATTTATGTATTTCGGTCTAAAGAATGTAAACAAAAGCTTGTTGCTGGGTAAAACGTTTCATTCAGGAATTTTTTTTTTTTAAATCAATATTTTTGGAAATGTTTCCGTTAACGATTCAGGCAACTATAATTTTTCATAGTTTGTCGTCAAAACGCTTTAAGATCTGGATAAGAATGAAATCAACAATCGCATTTTATTAACAACGATTCAATTATGTCAACATGTGGTAACCGATTTTAGCATAGAAATCAGATTTGTAAGATAAGGTAATTATAATTTGTTATTATGTCTTCATTATAGGTTATCAGAGTAGTCATCATGTATTATTTTTTCTCTCAATATCGTTGGTATCATAAAAGCAGACACCTCAGATGCAATTGATCAAAATGCTATGAGAGTATTTGATCTAAAAAAAGCAGGTCGCCCAGCAGGTCGATCAAAAAGATGCTTTTTGTCAAAAAGGGTCTCGTAAAAGCAGAAAAAGCAAAAAGCAAAAGCAGAGAGCAAAATATAAATATTGATATAACATTGATGAATTTAATGGGCCTGGATCTCGTATTAGCAGATCGCCCAGCAGAGCCATTATACAGTGTATAGGTAAAAAAAAATACAATTTCCTTTTTAAATAATGTTATTTCGTCTAAGATTTTATGCATAGAAGAATTCCCAATTTGATGGTCAAGGGACCCATTTGAAAAAAACACCTGGAATCATCCCTGATTTGAATAGTAAGCATTTAAGACTCAAACTTCCTCAAATGCATAAACAATTGTTTCATTAGTCAGAGATCAAATACTGTTGAAACTAAATTTTGATTTGACACAGGTAAACATTGGTTCCAGTGAAAGTTTGTTAAATGTACTAAATAAAGAAATTTTAAATTTAGCACAACTCTTCTCATTTTTGACATTCTTTATCAGTAAATATACTATTTGACACTTATTTGTTATAGTTGTCAATATACAATTTGAAAAAATTGTCCTATAAACATTATCTTTATCCCTCGTCATTATTTATTCAAGCTCTTTATAGAGTATAATATTGAAATGATCAAAATTTAATTTTGTTTATTTTGCAGTTGGAAATTGATTGACCAAATCCCTTTTTTTAAACAAAATGCAGTTCTCAAGAGTATTTGGAATCAATTTAGTATACCATCAGATAAAACATTAATTAGTAATAATTGTGTTAATTATAACTATGAAACATGTTCTGAAGCAGCTATGCCAAGTGATCTCCCTCATACACCACTGGTGTTAAACTGATCATGGTAACTGCTATAATTTCGGTAACGAGACCATATATGATATTTATAAACAACATACAACAAACCTGTACAAATCAACCGGGCGGCTGAGGAATTCTTGAAAACAACATGTTTACACGTAGAAATTAGAAGAAAACGATTTTACTTATTTCTACCTCCTCCATATTGGGATCGTGGTAACTGCAGTTACCATGATCAGTTTAACACCAGTGATACACAGTTCCATAGGATGACAGGTATGCTAAAAAGTTTTGTTTTGCAATGTCATTTTGGTGATTTTCAGAAATGTAGACCAAGATGAGATCTTTAAAAACTAGAAAATAAAACATAGGTTACTGTGCTTGCATTTTAAAATAGGATCAAAATTGTGAATTTTTGTTTAAAAAAAAATTATGTCACCTTTCAAGTATAAATCGCAATTATATTGGAATTTTGGTCAATAAAATTGTTCTGGAAATAATTCAGACAAAAATAATTACATATTTTTACAAAAAACTTTTCTATTTTGCAACCCATATTTTGATGGGTAATTTGAGCAATGTTTTATTTTTTCAGACTTCTTGCCCGTTGGTTTGATATTGTTATGACACTTTCATAAACAAACCTAGTAACATTGGGACACTTAATGTTCAATATCAGGTTAAAAAGTTATCTCCCCTGAATTGAATCCACACCCGGCAAGTCCATGTACCAATTTGATGTAAATGAATCTCGGTCCTTGGACAATACAACCGGCACAATATTGACAATAAAGATAAACAGAATAAAACATTGTATTTCGATACTATCATGTAATTGGTGTGGAAGATTAAGACTTTTAATTTTAAAAAAGAATATTTTTTTTCGGTTTGACAGATTTATACATTTTTGGGACTTGGATGCACGTGTTTGATTTGCGCCAAATCGCTGACACTAGGAAAAAATGATCGCCTGGCAAAATAATTTTGATGTATAGGAGCCTGCAGTACACTTTCTGCAATGCAATTAATAATGACATGAATGCCCTGGCATAGTAGAGAGGTTTATTTTGAATTCACCTGCTCTTCCGCCATTTTTGTTTTCCCCTCAAATCATAATCTGTACTGCGCAGGTGCGAGGTTTTGCTAAAATTCTAATACCATTCCGTAAGTAAGTAAGCATTCCGTAAGTAAGTATGTGAGTAAAACTATTTTTATTCGGCATTTATATATATATATTTAAAGTAAAACTATAATTTTTGTAATTGATAAAAAATAGAAATTTGAATTGCATTGCAATCTGTTTATACAGCATAAAAATGCACGAAAAATGTATCCAAAATTACCTGCAGGCAGAGCAAAATCAGTCAGATCCACTCCAGGACTACACGAGACTTCTAAAATATGTGAAGCAGTTTTCAGTCCTGAAGTGGTCCGGCAAACTATTCCACAAAAAACAGCAGCAAATCTAAAGGGTTTCTTACCGCATGAAGTAGTTATAACCTGTGGTATTTCCAAAATGTTACTGTATTTCAAAGAATATTTAATGTGTTTAATGTGAAGCAAATTTTGTAAACATAAAGAAGCCAAATTATTCAAAAAAAAAAGTCTCAAGTGCCTTTGTCCTGATCCGATCTTCGTCTCTCCATAGACGGAACGCATTGGCAACATGTGAATGCCAACAAAAATACTTCTGATAGTCCTTTACTAAAATGCAGATTCATTGTGTCATAGTATTCCCAAAATATTAAAAGCATATGTTATCTAGCTTAATTGTTTATAACCAGTAGTCTACTGACAAATTTCTCACATATTTTGTACTTATAGAGAAAAAAAGGACTCAGTTTTATTATTCTTATAAGACAACTTAAGGATATAATTTTTAAATAACTGAACAAAACGTGAATCTTATAAAAGGCTTTCAGAAAAAAGAGAGTACTTATACTTAATATATTGCTTCACCTCGACAATTCTTTGTCCTTTTTCTTCTTAAATTTGTATCTGTCCTGAATTGCGCCACAAGCGTCGGAAATACACATGTGCATTCACCCTTTGTTGTCAAGAGTATATATATTCAGCTACAAATATTTCACTTGGTCATATCTTTTACAAAAAAAAGGGGCTGAAGATATTGAAGGGATAATCTAAACTCATAGGTCGAAGAGAAACCGACAAAATTATGACAAAACACGACAATAAAGACTGAGCTACACTATTACCCGCATCAAACGGGGGGTAATCTCTGGTGCTCGAAACGGGTAAGCAGATTCTGATCCACATGTGACACACGTCAAGGTTGATAAGTCATATCAATTGAAAAGACATCACACAATTGTGGATTATAAATTTACTTCTGTCTAACCTTGTAATCATATACAATAACACTTGTTTAAATTTATTGTTTAATCTTATTAAGTAGAATATAGTCTAAATTATGCTGGATAAAGATTGTCCGGTATCGGTCTGGTTTCGTTTGTGATATTCTGTTACAATATGTTGAGTACTACATATGTGTAGATAAAATGTCAATCGTACCAATATAAAACATGATAAGAAGATGTGGTACGTATAATTGCCAATGCAACAACTCTCCGCCCAAGACCAAATGACGTAAAAGTTATAAAGGTCCCATCTCTTATTTTCTTATGGTATTAGCGTTTAAAACAAAGGACTCCAAAAGCTGGTTTATAAACATTGTGGAAATTGCTGACAAGTATATGAGCTACCACCCCCTTATGAATTATTAGACAATCCTCCTTGCATAAACAAATGGAAAAGGTTGGTCTCAAACGCTATTGACTTTTTTTGGTTGGAAAAAAGCTGATGCCAAAGAAAATTCAACTCTACAATTACTAAATATTGAAGACAAAATAATTAGCAAAACTCATAATATTTGGTTTAGCGGGGTGCAGGGTCATTTGCTGTCAAACGATGTAACATTACATTTGTTTTGTTATTTTTTATTCCATAATTGATTTTATAAGTGCAGCGATTTTATCTGTTTGGAGGATATACATAAATTCAATTAGAATCTATGCTTTTGCCAAAGACAACAGTGATATACAGCACTGGTGGCAAATACAGGATAGGCAAAGATATACTGCTGATGAGCTAATAAGTCCCTTTCTTCTATTTATTTGCATGATTCTTGAACTAATGTCATTTTGTAGAAAAGATATAGTACAAGTAGCTAGAATACCAACAACATATTTTCTTGTGTAGGAATATGTGACTGTTGGATTTTCCAATTTATAAATATGGACAAAGAAAGACTTTTATCTGATTCCTTGTGAAAAATTAAAGACATTCCGTTAAATGATTGGATACTTCAATAACAAGAATGACAACCCTGTATAGGATCTGTTACAATACGTGTAATGTTCATAAGCTATTATTTATTATGTTTTTAGTAGCACTGCAACTCAAATTGTATCAAAGAAAGCACACTTCATTGGTTTGCATTAAACTTGATTCATAATTTTAATAGTCTGATCTAACTCAACATGCTCACATTATGAAAACGTCTTATGAACATTTCTTTTGTATTAAGTATGGCGTATCAAGAGGGTCAAAAGTATTTTTTTCATGCAAAAGCACTAATTTAATGCAAATGCGATATTTAATGTTGCAAATGCTATATAATTGTAGCTTTTGCGCTTCTTGTAATATTTCGTAGCAAATCCTATCGGCTAACATACCATTAGGCTCATATATTCATTTGGTGCATTTGCGGTAATTAATGTAGCATTTGCGGTATTTAATGTAGCATTTGCGGTATTTAATGTAGCATTTGCGGTATTTGTTACCGCATTATCTTAATCTTAACACAAAAATATACAGAGAAGAGCAATTGTATATTTCTTTCTTCTGATACCGAGAGGTTCAAAAGTATAAACAGCAAATGCAATACTTAATTCTTAAGCAAATACAGCAAATGCAATACTTCGTATTTAAATTAGAAGGTTGTTTCTTCTCTTCGCTTGATTCTCCGCCCATTTGTACTTAAATCTCCGCCCACTTCAAATATCGAAACACCCAATCAGTTCACAATGTGTAAAAACTGAAAAACGTATATTATGTGAATAATCATTGACGTAAATTAATAATAATAGTTTTTGTGATTTTTTTCTGCTGATCCTCTGTTACTAATACCTAAATATTTGTTCAAAATGGCGTATAATGACAATTTGAATGGCTTTCTTAGTGTATTTCAAACCATTGTTAATGACATCGTACGAACTTTAAACAATGACGATGCTTCGTTTGATTTTATGGATGTGGCATTGAATCGACTTAATGCACTATGGCGGAATTTAGGAAGAATGGTTACTGCATATCCTCAATGCAACCTACTTACAGAGGATTTTCAAAGACTGATCACCATTATAGAAGATATTAAAAGGTTTGGAAAATTAATAGGGATGTCAAATCGGTGAACAATTACTAATCGAGTACTCATTTTTTTTTTATCTATTGTTTTAAAGCATTTTATAAAATCTATCTTCTCAGATTTTATTTCAAAATTCTATCTAATAGATTTGTTATTATTCACAAAAAAGTTTTTGTTATCATGAATAATCTATGCAAAAGGAGTAGGTTCAGTAAGACCCCCTTTTGGCCCCAAAATATAGCAGTTTTACAAAATCATTAAAATGTAAACTTTATTGGAAAGTAGAATACTTCTGCTACATAAATATCGGCTGTTTTTGACAATACAATGCACATATATCGGGTACTAGCATCTTAAAGTCATGCTAAATTACTGAAATCTTCATAATTTTAGCATTTGAGTTTTTAGACGGTTTCCGTCTTAAATGGAAGTGGGTGCATTTGTGTTCATTCTTAATATTTAAATGTAAGTTGTATTTCATGAAAATACATAACATATATAAAGGTTGAGAGTGAACACGGATGTGGCCACTTTCATTTTTGACAAAAAACATCTGAAAAGTGACATATTATGGCATATGTGATATATTTTTCATATTTCAGCTTGCATTTGAGCGTCTTAAATGACTAAATCAGTTCAAATCTTTAACATGAAATAATTGAATCGACTGAAGTAGACACTTAAGTGTTTAAAAGTGTCCAAAATATTTCATCGGATGAACCTGAAATTTGAGGTCAAAATCGGCTCTTACCGGACCTACACCTTTCCCAATTTTGCAAGACTTGTAGCTTGAACAAAGCATGATCAAATCTACATTTAGGAAAAGTATAAGACAATTCTGTTTGAGGATCTACACCTTAAATCAGTCCACATGTTCTGCATGAGAAACGTAGATAATCTTGTTTCAGGAGATTTATAAATATACCTGAACATGTAAAAATAAGAAGATGTGGTATGATAACCAAAATGAGACAACTCCCCACCAAAGAACAAATAACATAGAAGTTAGTGTAAACATATTTTATTAATTAAATTCAGGTTACGTAATGTACACAAATTGGCATTTACATATTAATACAAGTGAATAATTAATAGGATCCAGAAACAAGCTGTTAGCTTATATTAATCCGTTTCCTAATTCAAATAAGAACATTCCATATTGTAATACTCAAGGAGAAGAATGTAAAAAAAATAACAATGTTACACTAGATGGAAAACAAACAAAACATATACATGTAATAAGGTTGTGAACACAAAAGAGAAAAAAAAACATAGAAGTTAAAAACCATGAATAACCATACGGAAATAATGAGCAAAACACATACACGCATAGTAAGCCACGAAAGGCCCTGAAATGACAAAACGTAAACAAATTCAAACGAAAAACTAACGACCTGATTTATGTACAAAATAATAAACGAAAAACAAATATGATATGTTTGGAAACATTTGGATGTATTATACATTTTAAAGAAACAAATTATAATCTCTATCTGCATAGAAATAGCTGTCACTCACAGCATGTATTCCGAGGGTTTATCAAAGGTGAAGCAATACGGCAAATTGGAAACACAAATGACCATAACAATTTAATAAACAATCTAACTAATTTCAATAGGGGTTATGATAACGTCGAAATAGATGATAGTATTACTGATGCTTTATCAATTGACCGTACTGAATTATTACAGCAAAATAAATCGAAGGAAAAAGAAAATATTCCGTTAGTTTTGATAACTAAATATAACCATATATATATATATATACGTAAAATAAAGAAACGGGCATTTATTACAGTTTGACGAAGATTGTGTATAAATATTCAATGATGCACCAATAGTTGCGTATAGCAAACATAAAAGTGTTGGAGATATGCTTAGTAGATGAAAGTTGAAGACTTTAACATAAAATTGACAGTTGGACCCCTGATGATGGCAGATCTGTCATAATAACTAGACCTATTGATGAAGAATTAAAATATAAATATATCAATATATACATGAATAATTTTCATATTTGATTATATTAAAATAATGCATCTAAAATTACCATCCCAAGCCAGAGCCTCTAATCCCAAGCTTTAACTGCCGAAACACTAAAATAGTGATCAATAGTACGTGTTGGGTCCTATCATGCAATTTGGGATGTGTGGTTGCATGGGTGTTTTATAATAACAAAACTCAATGAAAATCAACAAAGCACTTAAATAACTTTTTCTAGTAAATTTTTTTGGCAATTTTATCAAGTGAGATGTAAAGATTTCTGTACTTAACTTTTAATTTTCACATTTTTTTTTCATTTTTCATTTTCAAAATTCAATATCCCTAAAAATGCACCAATATCCCATATCCCATTTATTTTTAGGACAAATATCCCATATCCCTAAAATTAAAATGGCAAATATCCCGTATCCCAATAAACACAATACAAGCCTCACAACTGTTGTTCATTCTCGTCTATATGACAACTGACTAATATCAGAGACATATAATACAAGACTAATATCAGAGACATATAATACAATGTATTATATGTCTCTGCTAATACATAAAGTTTCTCACAAGATCGTGCTATAAACATCTGTTCTTAAATTTGATTAAACATTGCTTTATGATCTTAGATTATTTTGATAAACTTCTAAATGTTATTGCATCTGTACTGTGCAACCCATGTACCGTATAAACTGTCACATTAATCAAGATGTAAGATCATTAAACTGATTAAGAACTGACCATCAACTCTTTGATGTAATTAACCACGCCACAATAGACTAACAGCAAACGAAAACTTAAATAATTTCTATGAAATGTATTACTTTTACAAAAACAGCACTTTAAATATATGCACGATTTAGAAATATTTGGTCCTTTCGGTTTAACGGTCCTTTTTTGGTCATAATCATAACATTATATTTATTTAAATACTCACGGATTTCGAAAGTTAAGCGCTTCGAATACACAAAATATCTTTATTGTATAGTTCATTCACATAAGGGAAATCTTAAGACGAGAACATTCATTTATTTCGACATACAATTTTCAAGCTAAGAATTTTTTATTCATTTCAAAATTGCGCGAGTTTTTATGACAAGATCAGCAATTATATTGTATCTGTTGAAAATATTCGTGCGAAACATTAAAAGAGGACAATAACATTGCTGAAATAGTGGAGATTTGAAAAGACCTGAATCACATATCCTTTAACTATAAATTTTATGACCCGATTCGTAAAGATGACCGTTACAGAAAACACCAAAGAGGTGGTGTTCTCGAAGCTATCTTATGATTAGGACGTGTCCTAAGACCAACTTATGACAAGTCTTTGTCCTAAGTCGTGTTCTCGAAGCTCTCTTAACTTAAGATATATTGCATTTTTCGTCCTACCGTTCGAACACCTAATTAGGTGTCTTAAGATCATCCTTTCTTCATTCTAACTTAATAAAGTTTGAATTTCACTTTTTGCTCAATTTTTACGTGTAGATAAACATGAAATAAAACGCACCATCGGTTATTAACTCGTATATAAAGAAATTGTGCAGGCTTTTAAACTTTGAACTTCGTGTATCACGATACGATGACACTAAAAATTTAATTCTCATTTCAAAACAAATTGTTTTCCAGTTTACAATCCTTTTTTTATATAATTAAGACCATCTTATGACATGTATATGTCCTAAGTCATGTTCTCGAAGCTCCCGTAACTTAGGATTTATCACATTTTAGAACACATAATTTAGTGACTTAAGATCATCCAATTTTAGTTTTCTCGTTTGAATTGTTTTACATTTGTCATTTCGGGGCCTTATATAGCCGACTATGCGGTATGGGCTTTGCTCATTGTTGAAGGCCGTACAGTGACCTATAGTTGTTAATTTCTGAGTCATTTGGTCTCTTGTGGAGAGTTGTCTCATTGGCAATCATACCACATCTTCTTTTTTATATTTAATAGTATACATGTACATGTAATTATAAAATTTGTAAACAATTTTATTAATTGGTTTTCGTCATTAATAAATGTTTTATAAAAAAAAATACTTAAGCAAATTGAAATTTCGCACTTAGGATATGTTTAGACCGTCCTTAAATAAGATGCGTCTGAGATAGCTTCAAAACTTAACTTAAGCAATATCTTTATTTTCATAACCATTGCAGATACATAGGTACAGAGAGAGTGCAAAATATGTACATGAATATGCATCTTTTTACAAAACATATATACAATACAGTGGTTTTCAAAATAATATACATTTTAGCCAGAAGGACACACATATTTATTTATACACTTTATAAATTTACATAATCTTTTTAGATCTGACTTTTTGTTTAATTTGCTCATCAATTTTCTAAACTTTAGTGTATTAACAAGAGCAAAATAGTACTTATCAAGGTATAATTTTCTACTGTCGTTAAAAAATGGACATTCTAGCAGATAATGAAATTCGTCTCCAAATTCTACCAATATTACAAAAATGACATTTTCTTTCATTTCTATTAACATTTTTCCACCTCCCTGTTTCTATTGGGAGTCTGTGGTTCTATATCTACATAAAATAATACTTTCGTGCAAATCCAAGATATCGAAATATTTTTCAAAATTTAATTCTAACTTAAAAATTATATTATTTACTGCTTTTGTAGACTCTTGTAATTGAGTATTCCACAACTGTTTGTATTGGTCTTGTAATCGCAACTTTAGTGCATTTTTTAACCATATATCATTTCCATAAGAGTGTCCAAAGATGATCCATCCTAAATTTGAATCTTAGTATACTTTCGAGAACACCACCCCAGATATGGTCGTCCAGCAATTTGATGGAGGGACAGTCCAAGATAATGCAAAGTTAAACAGACTGTACCAGCTTAAGCATTTACTGTTAACTCGAGGTCAGGTGTTATTCCAAGACAATAACTTAGCTTCTACATAGGATTACTATCTGACACAAAAAAACACCAGGACGAAAAATGCAATATATCCTAAGTTAAGAGAGCTTCGAGATCATGACTTAAGACAAAGACGTGTCATTAGATGGTCTTAGGACAGTCACGTCCTAATCCTAAGATAGCTTCGATAACACCACCCCAGACTTACACCCTGATCTGTCATTGGAAAACAACATCTAACAATGTTCATGCATATGAGGATTATCAGATATAATAAAACCTTAAGTTATATTGAGACTTGCTCCTTCTCTAGCATATACCGAATGCGGTATGCATTACATAAACTGTATTACATAATTGTGTTTTGTATTTTATCATACTTTTTTGGTAAATCTGTCATGGTATATTTTGGTATATTATAGTGTGATAAATAGTGCAGTATGTAAGTTTTAAAGTCTATTCTAAAAGAAAATCATACAATATAAACAGAAAACAATCAAGATAACTTGGCTTTGGTGGAAAAGAAATATACTGAAAGGAAAGTCTAATTCAGTATTTTTTTTTCTTTCATACGAGCTAAATGATATTAACGATTTCGAAAAACCAACAAAATTGTTGGATTATGATTTCAATCTTATTTGGGGTTACTGTATATTCTTTTGTGAAACACAGCTATAACACACGATTTTCTTTTGGAATTTCGATACATTTCATTGCATTTCTATGTCTTTAAGATTTAATGAATACTAATTCACACAATAAATTCATCAAGCCAAGGTCTTTGTGTAGATAGTATTATGTGTTATAAAGGTCAAACAAGTATTATGAAGACAATGACATATGTTTCAGAAATTTTGTAACCATCTCTTATCGGTTGAGGAAATTGCGAATTGAATAATATTTTCAGTTTAAATCCATTTTCCATAATTCCTTCATCTACTGTATTGCTTTACATAATCTTTTTTCCTTAACAATGCTTTATAACAGTGTGTGTATGTATATCATTGTTAAATTTATATAACGTTTAAAGTAAATAAAATTCATTCAGTTATATTTATTCATATTCTAAATTCCACAATCTCTCATCGCTTGCAAATGCAATGATGCTTATCAAACAAAATTTAAAATATGATATACCTAAGAGCGGATACCTGTTATCACTAGCTATGACCTTATGGCAAACACATCTGCATCAAATTTAATCATTATAGAATGCTTATATATCCGTTAAACATTTCAAAAGCATTTGTATCGGTTATCTGCCATCCAATTAGCATCAAATTATAAAATTATAACCATTAGGAGTATTTGCGCAATCAAAGTTAATTTGATACATTTTTGAAGTAAAATGAAATTTATATTGGCAATCAAACTTTGTATATCATTTTCTGAAAAGTGACACATTTTCAGTTACGAGGTTGTGGCATTAACTCATCGATGCATTCATATATAGATATTAAACAGTTCACTTTAAAATATACATGTGTATTAAGTGTGAAGTTGTTATGACCAAAAGTACTTCAAACCAAAACATTACCCTACTTTAAACCAAAATTTTAACCAGATACGAGGCGAACAAAAGGACGAACGGGCGGACACCCATACCTAAACATTGTGCCCCCTCTACTGTCGTAGGCGGGGAATGCAGAGTTTTGTTATAGACTCTCTACAGGACTCTTCTTCACCAAAAAAAAACTGTCATTAGTAAAACGAGGAGAAGGATCTGGATACTAGATTTATTCATCACTCTTTTACAGGTCGGAAACAGAACATATTGGATTAAGGCTATCTCAATATGGCGGAATAGGACGCCCCAGGTACCACATCTCTCGTGAGCAATTGGAATTTTTGGTTGAGATTGGATTTTCTAGAAAATGTATGGCAAGTCTTCTACATGTATCAGTATCTAGCATAAAGCGTCGATTGAGGTAAATATCAAATTCAATTCTAACAATTTATGATACAGCAAGCAATCTTATATCTTAGATTATATAACTAAATAATAAGGGGGGAATAAAACGAATCTTAAGAAAAAAGACAACACCATCTCCAAAGTAAATAAGGACGAACATGCAAACAGCAATAACAAAACATTTGAAAGAAAACTAAATATTGTACAACACTAACCGAACGAAAAAACCGGTTCTATCCCATTTGTATCAGAAGGGTTAGCAGTTTTTGATACTCTAGTGCAAGTGGTATCTGTGGAGTTACCCATTGCATGGAAAATACTCTGATATATATATTCGATAATTGAGTAGACTTATAAAAAGAATTGATATGTTCGGTGAAACCTGAGTAAACTATCCCGAACATATTCTAAATAACATAGAAAATAATTATTTTCAGGGACTACAGAATACTCCTAAGGAGACGTTATGCAGTCATTAGTGACACCGATTTAGATAATCATGTAAGGAGGATAACCCAGTTTAACAGATCGTTAGGTCAACGAATGGTCCAAGGAATTTTGAAAACAGAAGGAATCGTCTTGCAAAGACGAAGAGTAGCAGAATCCCTCATCAGAGTTGACGAAGCCGGAGTAGCAATACGATGGTGCCGAACGATACGAAGAAGATCGTACCAAGTTTCTGGTCCAAACGCTTTATGGCATGTAGATGGGAATCACAAGTTGATAAGGTCACGAAATATTTGTAACTTTGAAATATATACATATTTTATAATTTTTATCTAATGATATGATCGAACGTGGTAAAATTCATACATGTTATTAATACGCTCAATGTTATTGCCTTGCCTCTGTGGGCTTTTTGTTTTCGTCGGCATCGATGGTTGCGTCGTCAACAGTTTACAAGTATTATTTTGTGATTTGATCAATCCAAGGGAACCACTAATGGTACGTCAATGGTGTTTGGTATGCACTTGTGTTGACATTGACGTTTTTTCCAAGCACATATGTTTTGACAACTTATATACCAGAATGTTTTTCATAGTTTAAATGTTGAAATTTGTAATTTATATAAATATAATGAGATGAGGCATGATTGCCAATTAGACAACTTTCCATCAAAGTTCAAATAAAGTGGATGTAAGCAATTATAGGCAACCATACGTCCTTCAACAATGAAAAAATAACCATACCGTATAGTCGGCTTTTGATAAGTCAATTGTATTAGCACTTTCATTCGCATCTCATTTTCATGGAGATTACATAACCCACTCTGACAAGCATGTACATGTTTTTTTACTTTAAAACTGTTATATAATTTGAATGTTTGTGTTTTTGACAGTTTTTAAAGACTAAATGAAAATTAGAAATAAAGAAAAGTGGTATGATTGCCAAGGAAACAACTATCCAACAAAGTTCAAATTAGGTGGATATGAGCAATTATAGGCAACCACACGGCCATCAACAACGAGACATGAAAAAACTTATCCCCGGCTTAGTATATTTCTAGGATTTTGATTGGTTAAAGAACTTCGTAACAAAACCCATAGCCCCTGGTTGTTAACTCATATCCCCGGACGTTGCTATCCATTACCCGGGGGGGGGGGGGGGACGTCGCGCGCGTTTCCCTTATTTCCATGGTTGTTCCTTGTGAAATATAGAATTCTGCAGATTATAAATGAAGTCTGTAATTAAATATTTTATCCACTAACAATTTTAACTTATTATGTCGATCATTTGCACTCATTTTAGTAAATGCGTCATTTGGCTGCCACATTGTCAATGAATGGGACTACAGACCTAGCTATGCAAACTACCCACGTCAACGTCGCGCCGTCTATGATGTAACTTTCACAACATTGAGCGCCAGATTCGACCCATCTCAGTTTCTCTGTCTCTGTATAAAAACGTGTTATATTTGACTACCTGTAGGGTAGTCCTACACCCCGTAAACAATATGTAAAATTCACAAATTTCAATAAAAAGATTTTAAAAAAAATGAAGAAAAAAACGTTGCTTTCACGTTACACTTAGTGGTCGAATTTCTCTAATAATCGCCAGATTTGGACTAAGACCGGGGATAAATTCGTTATCTACGTTCATATCCGTAGATATAGATATTTTAACATCCTTCAGTATCCAAGTTAATTTATAACAAGCGAAAAGGAATGTTATTTTTGCACTCAATAATATTTGCGTAATTATACTAAATACGATCGGTTATCAGTCAAAAAAAAAGAAATGACTACGGCAACATAACACCGGAATGCCCTCACGGTCATCCACTGTGAAAATCAGTTGAAAAGGCTTAACTGTTCAGATCGACATAAAGAATAAGATCAAACAATAACACAGACCGGTCGAGGAATAAAAAAAAATGTGGTATGATTGCCAATGAGACAACTCTCTACCAGAGACAAAATTGCGTAGAACTATATGTCACTATACGGTCTTTAACAATGAGAAAAACCAATACCGCATAGTAAGCTATAGAAGTCACCGAAATGTCAAATTTAAAACATTTAAAACAAGAATTGTCACTGGTTCAGACGTACAATAAATATGATAAACAGCAACAAACGACAACCGCTGAATTACAGGCTCCTGACTTGGGACATGCATTTGAACTAGTAGACATTATTTTATTTCCACAGAGGTATTTGTTCCTGCTTTAGTTACGGATCATCGAGTTTAAATGTTGTACTTAATTTACATGTCAGAGTATTTTCATTTAATTTCATACATGCAAAGCGTGACTCTGTGTAAACAGTTTATATTTATATGAATCAGTGCGAAATCTAACGGCAAAATAATATTTGCCATGCAAAATATGAGTAAACGGAAGAAATCTTAAATGCATTGCATTTTCTTCGCAAAGATGCTACTGATTATAAATTCATAAGAAATAGTTATTATTGAAATAAGTAAATCTAGAATTTGAGTATGATATAATCGTTCATATTCTGAACAATGAGAAAAACAAGCTAAATAATAGTTTTACGACTAATTATTTGCAACTGTTGTTTTGGAAATACATTTCGCACCTACTACCAATTTAAAACCCTTTTTATACGACCGCAAAAATTTTTTGCGGTCGTATATTGGTATGACGTTGGCGTCGTCGTCGTCGTCGTCGTCGTCGTCGTCGTCCGAAGACACATTGGTTTTCGCACTATAACTTTAGTTTAAGTAAATAGAAATCTATGAAATTTAAACACAAGGTTTATGACCACAAAAGGAAGGTTGGGATTGATTTTGGGAGTTTTGGTCCCAACAGTATAGGAATAAGGGGCCAAAAAAGGGCCCAAATAAGCATTTTTCTTGGTTTTCGCACAATAACTTTAGTATAAGTAAATAGAAATCTATGAAATTTAATTACAAGGTTTATGAACACAAAAGGAAGGTTGGGATTGATTTTGGGAGTTTTGGTCCCAACAGTTTAGGAATTAGGGGCCAAAAAGAGGCCCAAATAAGCATTTTTCTTGGTTTTAGCACAATAACTTTAGTATAAGTAAATAGAAATCTATGAAATTTAAACACAAGGTTTATGACCCTAAAAAGAAGGTTGGGATTGATTTTGGGAGTTTTGGTCCCAACAGTTTAGGAATTAGGGGCCCAAAGGGTCCAAAATTAAACTTTGTTTGATTTCATCAAAAATTGAATAATTGGGGTTCTTTGATATGCCGAATCTAACCGTGTATGTAGATTCTTAATTTTTTGTCCCGTTTTCAAATTGGTCTACATTAAGGTCCAAAGGGTCCAAAATTAAACTTAGTTTGATTTTAACAAAAAATGAATTCTTGGGGTTCTTTGATATGCTGAATCTAAACATGCACTTAGATTTTTGATTATGTGCCCAGTTTTCAAGTTGGTCCAAATCGGGGTCCAAAATTAAACGTTGTTTGATTTCAACAAAAATTGAATTCTTGGGGTTCTTTGATATGCTGAATCTAAACATGTACTTAGATTTTTGATTATGGGCCCAGTTTTCAAGTTGGTCCAAATCGGGGTCCAAAATTAAACTTTGTTTGATTTCAACAAAAAATGAATATATGGGGTTCTTTGATATATGCTGAATCTAAACATGTATTTAGATTTTTGATATTTGGGCCCGGTTATCAAACTGGTCCACATTGAGGTCTCAAGGGTCCAAAATTGAACCTTATTTGATTTCATCAAAATTGAATTTTTGGGGTTCTTTGATATGCTGAATCTAACCATATATTTAGATTTTGGATATTGGACCATAATAGGCAAATGTCCAATTTAAAAATTTTAAGTTTTTAAGTTTAAGTTCTTAGACCCAATCATTCTGTGTCAGAAACCTATGTTGTGTCAACTATTTAATCACAATCCAAATTCAGAGCTGTATCAAGCTTGAATGTTGTGTCCATACTTGCCCCAACTGTTCAGGGTTCGACCTCTGCGGTCGTATAAAGCTGCGCCCTGCGGAGCATCTGGTTTTTCTAGGCATACGCTATTAGAACACATCATTATATACCGGCGAATTCATGTCACGCATAACTAATATATCAAGTTTAACTATTTTCCAACGGGTGTATTTCATTGACGTTTGAAAATTATAGTTGATTTCTCAGTTCTCACGCATACTCGTAAGAATATAATTATCCAATTTTTCAGATGGGGTATGGTAATCCATGGAGGAATTGACGGGTACAGCAGAATGCTAACTTTTTTAAATCTTGCTCTTGACAATAAGGCGAGTACAACCTTTCAACCCTTTGCAAACGCCTGTCAGGAGTTTGGAGTACCATCCAGAGTAAGGACAGATCATGGACGGGAAAATCTAGACATTGCAACATTCATGATTGCCCATAGAGGTGCAGACAGGGGATCAATAATAACGGGACGAAGTGTTCACAACCAGCGAATAGAGCGTTTGTGGCGTGACATGTTTCAATCATGCACATGTGTCTTCCACCAACTGTTTTATTTCTTGGAGAGAAATGAATGCCTTGATGTTACTAATGAAATGCATTTATGGTGTCTGCAATACATTTATGCACCACGTATCAAGGCCGCACTTCAGGTTTTTAAAGATGGGTGGAATAGGCACAGTTTGTCATCGGAACAAGGACATTCTCCTAAACAGTTGTTTGTTCTTGGTGTGCTACAACAAGCAGGACAGGGACACCGTGGTATTGATGACCTTTTTGTACAGGAAGAAATTGGAGATATTGAAAATTACGGTATAGACTGGGCGGGTCCAGTGCCAGAAACCGATTCAAACACCGTAACTGTTCCAACGATAATATGTCCGATTAGTGAAGCGGACTTTCAACAGCTAAGACTGGAAGTCAATCCCTTGGCAGAACTAGATGGACTAGGTATAGGTCTTTATTTGCGCGCACTAGCGTTTTGTTTATTGAGGTTGTGAATTTAATCATGTTTTTATTAGTGAAACAAATGAGGTTGTCGCCTTTGATAAACTGATGCACAGATACTAATTTATTTCACATCCTAAGCAACATTTTAGAAGAGCTTGATCTTAATTAATGCTGTTGAAAGATTATTTAAGTCAATATGAGACATGGTTATAATAGTTGAGATGATACAAAATGTAACTATAATCATTGTGATATTAACAATTTTGTGAAAATATGTATTATTTAATGATAATATTGTCTAAAGAAGGGACTGAAACTATTTTAAAAATGTTCATAGGAGAAATATATCTCACTCTGTAAATATTACTGCTATTTTTAAAAACGGAGCTTGATTGTCAGAGTTATCTTTGCATTCTACAAAAGAATTGTATTTATTACTTCAAAATAAAATTTGTCAGCACACTGTTTGCTATGATAAGTGGACGGAAGTTTTTGATATTGCATATCATGATCTTCATAAAGCGTGGAACAATGTCACTTTTACTTAAAACCATCTATGTTAGTGGATCTAGATGTCAAAACAGCACATCATTGTATTTTTACTTGTAGACTTATGACTATCAACCTTTAATTTTTTTGATGTTTATGAAAAGGGAGAGCATATCACTCAATTATTTCTATTATGTTCTGAACTAGTAAAATCTCCTACGTTTGTGCGACAGAAGTTGTTAGTTTTATTGGATAATGTTGATTGATAAAAATTAATATATTCTTGTACGAAGAAGTATTTATGTTTGGTTTACATAACACTACAGGGAGATAACTCTGTAAAAATCAGCTGAATGTTTAAATCACGTTTTATTATAAAGGAAATATTAAGCTTCTCAATTATTATTTTTTTTGTTAAAGTGTCAAAGTGAACAGAATATTTTGTTTTTATGAAAATACAACGAGCAAAATCAATTATATTCAAGGTGTTTGGTACCACCTTAATTGGATCCTTAAAAGGTATAAATGTTAGTTTTGTCAATTTCATGTTGCTTATATCGAGATATTTATCTTCATCAGAAGGACTTTAAATTACTTTAAAATGTAAACAGTAATGTTGGTAATTTCAAACTATTCAAATATACTGTAAAACATTATATAACTAACCTGCATGAATATTTGTGCAGTTTAAGATGTATGAGAAATGTTTGGTTTTTTTTTAAACACTTTTTAAAGTAAATAAAATTGAGAATGGAAATGGGGAATGTGTCAAAGAGACAACAACTCGACCATAGAACAGACAACAGCAGAAGGTCACCAACAGGTCTTCATTGCAGCGAGAAATTCCCGCACCCGGAGGCGTCCTTCAGCTGGCCCCTAAACAAATATATATACTAGTTCAGTGATAATGAACGCCATACTAAACTCCAAATTGTACACAAGAAACTAAAATTAAAAATAATACAAGACTAACAAAGGCTAGAGGCTCCTGACTTGGGACAGGCGCAAAAATGCGGCGGGGTTAAACATGTTTATGAGATCTCAACACTCCCCCTATACCTCTAGCCAATGTAGAAAAGTAAACGCATAACAATACGCACATTAAAATTCAGTTCAAGAGAAGTCCGAGTCTGATGTCAGAAGATGTAACCAAAGAAAATAAACAAAATGACAATAATACATAAATAACGACAGACTACTACGGTTAACTGACATGCCAGCTCCAGACTTCAATTAAACTGATTGAAAGATTATGTCTTCATCATATGAATATCAGGCACTATCCTTCCCGTTAGGGGTTTAGTAACAGTATCGTAACTATATCCCTTCTTAATAAGTCTATTTAAAGGTTTTGTTAGCTTCAGAGGTGATTACTGACATTTTTGTGCTTTATAAAGAATATTTCCATAAAAAATTGGATGTGAAATACCTGAACGTATAAGAAGTCTGCATGTTGAGCTATATTTACGAATGATGTCCTTATACCGATGATAAAATTTAGTAAATGTTTTGACTAGTTTGTGATATCGAAAACCCTGGTGTAATAATTTTTCAGTAATACATAAATTTCTCTCGTTAAAATCTAAAACATTGTTACATACACGAGCGAATCGTACAAGTTGAGATATATAAACACCGTAAGATGGTGACAAGGGAACGTCACCATCTAAAGATGGATAATTAACGATAGGAAATGAAAAATCATCTCTTTTATCATATATTTTAGTATTAAGCTTTCCGTTAATGATATAGATATCAAGATCGAGGAAAGGGCAGTGGTCATTTTTAGTATAAGCTTTATTTAAAGTAAGTTCAACAGGATAAATTTCTTTATATATATATAGTATACATACTGAAGTCGTCATTATTGAGAGCCAAAATATCATCCAAATATCTAAAAGTATTATTAAATTTGTGTATCAGATGTTGTTTCGATGGGTCTTTGCTGATTTTTGTCATAAATTGTAACTCATAGCAATACAAAAAAAGGTCCGCAATAAGTGGTGCACAGTTAGTCCCCATTGGAATTCCGATAACTTGACGATATACGGAATCTCCAAAGCGAACAAAAATGTTATCTAGTAAAAATTCAAGGGCATATATAGTATCAAAGCATGTCCAATTGACATAGTTTTTTTGTTTATTGCTACTAAAAAATGACCTAAAAGAGTTTGAACATATATATTCACATTCTGACTTTTTAAATGCCCATTTAATTAGGTGTGTGAATTTTTTCTTAATGAGAATGTGAAGCAATGTGGTATATAGGGTAGAAAAATCAAAACTTTGAACAGATTCAAAATCACCAATATATGCATGTAATTTATCAAGTACTTCCAACGAGTTCTTGACACTCCAATAGTAATTAATTCCACTATTTTCGAAGGCCTTATTTGAACAATTTATTATCAGGTTTTTGATTGTACCAAGTGTACTGGTAAGAAGAATAGACAATTTAGTAGTGGAACAATGGCTTGAAGACGAAATAAATCTATATTTGTAAGGTGTTTTGTGTAGCTTCGGAAGCCAATACATAGTTGGGACTTTCATTGTATTTGGTTCTGCTTGTAAAGCGGTAGCTAAAAGTTTATGTTTGTTACAGATGTCGTTTTCTGAAAATGGAGTCAGTTGGAATGTTGGTGAATTGGTGATTTCTTTTTTCAGAACCTCAATGTAAAATTTATTTCAAACAATAATAATATTATTAGCAGCTTTATCGGCCGGGACAAAAACAAATTCCTTGGCTAGTTCTTTTAGTTTATGTTTGATACGAGAAATAGGTTTATTGTGGTTATTGTTAAGAGTAAAATGTTCTTTAAAATGTTGAATACGTATATCAACTATGTTCATTACTGAATTAAAAAAAGAGTCCAAAGATTTTTTGTCAGCTTTTTCCCGTTTTATCCATTTCAAACAGTAAGTATGGAGTCAGTCGTGGATGATATTACGATACTCATTCCAATTAATAATTGACGGGGGACGATATTTAGGTCCTTTACTGAGGAATGGTTTTAACTCTCGGTCTTGAACGATGTTAAGATCTCCTGTTATAACATGGGAAATGGGTCCATAAATGTATTCGGAATTACTGCAATTACATGAAGTAGGTGTATTTTCACTGATATTAACATCTTTACACAATTGGCTATAATTAAACACAAATTTCCGGGTAGATTTCTTGTAAATATAACAAATAAGAGGGAGCTCAGTATTATCAAAATATCCCGGAATTTGTTCTTTAACAGAATGGTCGTTAAAAATACCGGCAATATTTACAAAATCAAAACCTTTATTGACATACTTTATTTTAATAAACTGTTTTTTATGATCTTCAGGGCGATCAATTTTGGGAAACAGTTTAGAATAACAATATGCCATTATAATTTGAACGATTTCATACTTAGGACTGCTATATGAAATTGTGTTGCAATCCTCTAAAATTTTATTTAACTTATTAACCGGTAATGAACAGAGCTTTGTTAACAGATAATGTCTGCCGTTGTTTTTTGAAATAGAAATTAGGTCCGAAATATTGGTATGATTGGTCCGAAATTTTCTTTGATTGCGATTTTTTCTACGACCATGAGAACGGTTTTTACGAACAGTTTTAGAAACTATATCCAAAATGTTAACAGAATCGGTTCTTGATATATTACCAATTCCCATGATATTATCATTAAGACCGAGAGGGTAGACTGTCTGTAATTTTTTAATCCAATTTAATCTCAATTATTTTCCGTGATCGTACAAACTTTGAATGAGATTCACCAGGCTGCTTATTTACTACTTCTAAAGGTTGAACTGCTAAATATTTAATAGGATGATTGTGCTTCTTAAGGTGTTGATAAATGATACTTTTGAATTTATTGGGTCTTTTAAAACGATACAGATGTTCTTGAGTGCGTTTAGATAAATATCGTCCAGTTTCACCTACGTACTGAATACTACTTGTGCAAGAGACTGAAGGTACCATTGCATTCAATATATGAGTATTGTGTTGATAATATATGTCAAACTTTTAAACTTTGTTTTGTGAATATTCTTGTGTAATATCTAATATAAATATTGTATATAAATATTGAATATTTGAATAAAGAAAAATAATTATTTCAATGCTAAACATGCTAAATAAAGATAAATAAAAAAATATTTAAATGCTAACTAAAGAGTCACAATAAGCATAATTATGTGTTAATTTATAATATGAATATGCTCATGCAGTCAAGTAAAATTTGTTTAATAAAATTAAGAATGGAGGCGGGTAAAAATGGACGTCATACTAAACTCCAAACATATGAATGAACTATAGTTTAAAAAAAACACACACAAGACTAACAAAGGCCAGAGGCTCCTGACTTGTAATGCTCATTTCAGTTGTGAAATTATGTGAATTATATGTTTCTATCATTTGAATTGTATGCTATATTATTGTAATTTTTTAGCTGTCTGGGTTATCGTCAATATGAATATATTAATATGACTTTCATATACGCTTTTAAAGAAAGAGGACCTTAAAACAATTTCAGTCTTAGTTTTTACTGTTCAGGCCCTTACTCCAACGGGACACCAATACCCCGTTCACACTAGCCTTGTTAAACCGGGTTCGACCCGAATTAGTTAATCCGGGTTAAATTTAGATAGTGTGAACGCCTTAAACCGGGGCGAACCCAGTTTAAAATTACCCCCCATTTGAGGTGGAGTTAATGTGGGTCGAACCTGGGTTAACTACCTCACTTCTAAATGTGAACGCAAAGTGAAGGTGATGTGAGGTTGTTGCTACAGTGATATATATGACGTTTGCTTAAATAAGTCTTCAATGTGACTTAACTATTACGTGACGTCATATTTTGACAGACGTCCAGTAACAATATTTTTAAAATGGGTCAAGAATTATATAACCCATATCAAATTAGCGGCAGCAAGCCCTGTGATATAAGTGTATTTACCTATGTTGAAAAACCTGCATAATGAAAAACGATGAATACAATATATATATATATATGATTGCCGTTGCTTTTTGGTGCGAAAAATGGGTGCAATTTGGATCAAGTGCCATTATTTTAAAACACTGAAAGTGGTTGATGGTGATCGAACTCCTCCAAAGCGACCAGGAGTGCGGTAAAAAATTTCAGACTTTAAAATAATGCATCTGTGGTGAAACAAAATGTAAATATGTACAGTTGACAGATGCGGGTTACAATTTTAGCGCTAACATTTCTATTTTTGT